TCCATGATACTTAATCTCTACTCCAGTCCTCACTGGCGATCATAATCTAGTTGTTATTTCTTCATTTTTTCAATTGAAAATTGATCAAATTTAAGAATGCAATATTTCTTGCAAATATCATACAAATGAATCGATGCAGTTTTCTTGCACATGCTATGATGTCGTAAATCATGCCTCCCTCTAAATGAAATGTTCAATGAAGGACAATATACACTTAACTCAAAGAAATTAAAAAAAACCCCAGAGAAATAACTATAAATGGCTGGTTAACAGAACGGCACTAATAATGTCTCTGAAGAACAGCAATGTCAATTAAAACTGTATCAATTATCAAACTATTGCTGTGGATAAGACACTTGGAGCTAACTTGCTTGAGATCAATATGGATGTAATGAAGAGTCGCATTAATCCCATCCCAATGTCTATATATATACATTATACTACAAAAGTTGGTACCTCCACTTAAACATATATGTGAAGCTAGCCACTGGTAAACAGTCAAAACAAAGAGAGAAGGATTTCGGCTCCCAAACTAGTGAATCCACCGCTAATGATCTTTACTGGTTCTTTATAAATCATGTAAGAAGGATCCCTTCTTTCCACTTAAATATACATGTACAACGTTATTTTTACAGTTAAGTTACCATGTACAGTGAATTTAATTCGTAGAAAAGTTCAGGTCATCGTCAAATTTCTCCTTGCTCAAGCTACATAGTGAAAGGCTGAAAATGTCACTAGTTCAAACTCTGGCAGACACAAGGTATTTTTCATTACTCTTTCCTATAACGAATTTGGTAGGTCAACCACTCCAAGAGTAGAATGAGATAGACTAACTCGCAGTATGTAATACCTGTAAAATATAATATACCACTTGGCTAGAAAGAACTTCTCTTTAACTTGATCGGTGGAGCGTAAGACTTGTAAACTAGAGGTCTCAGGTTCGACTCCTAGCAGAGGCATTGAAATGTATAATGACTTCTGTAACATTGGCACCCAAGTAGAGACTCGGAAAAAATAACTTAGCCATACCCCACATACATTGATGTAACTTTGGGAAACTTGAGGACAAGTTCATTAATAAAGGGGAAGTATGTAACCCTAGTGAAATACTAGTCGCAATTTACTGTTTGACAAGTGAAATCTTCTCTTTAGCTTAATTAATTGAGCATCAGACTATATAAATATATAGTAAGCTAGAGGTCATGGGTTCAAATCCTAGCTGAGAAATTGAAGTAAATAATGACCTCTGTTACAGAGATGTTAAATTTGAAGTTGTGGTTGAGTTGTCTTTGGGGCCATTGTCTTGTGAAGGAGGGAGTAGCATAGCTCGTTTCAACCCTACCGGCACAGGTTTTTCATTATTCGTTATTACAGAATTATTTGATATAACGTTCAAATAACCCTACAAAAATGACTAGAAAATATACTAATGTGTATAACAAGTGCTAACATTCATTAATGATCAAAATTCAAAATGGCTGCTGGCTGTAATATCGGGTATATGTAATCAACCTCAAAATGGCTACTGGAAGCCATCTTGAATATCACATGATACTTATAATGTAACAAGCACAATCTCTAGTTCCTAAAATATCCCTTTCATCATTCTTCAGAAATAGTAGTAACAAATTTGAAATATCAATTCTAAAATGGTCCCTACATAGCACCCATCATAAATATCCAACCAAAATCAAAATGTAATATGTCATGCCAAGTACCAATACTGAACACTGATAATCATAAAGTAACAAGGAGATGTAGCAAAAACATCCATTTAGCAGTATAGTTCTTCTGAAAAAGCACTAGCAAACATTCAATTTCAAAATTTAAAATGCAATTGGCAAGTACCCTGAAAAACCAGTGAACTTCAAAATGTGGCATACAACTAGAACTGACACTTAAGATATCAATCATGTCTCAAGGAGATTCCTTCACATCTTCGGAAATACTGACAATAGTTTAAACATTAATGATTCAAAATGGCCTCTGGTGGTCATCTAAAATACCTGACCAAGTTCAAAGAGTGGCATGCACAATGAGCTCCCATATTTAACATGCACATTAAGTTTAAATGAGAATTCCAATAGCAGTTCTGCAGAGAGAGCAATAGCAAATTTTAAATGTGAAAATGGGGTTGGTGGCCATCTTGATTATCAAATGAAGTTCAAAATGTGGCATGTACATTATCAATGAAATATAGGACCAACGCATAACATGCCATTCTCAAAGAGATTTCTTCATTACATCTCCAGTGGTCACAAGGAATTGCTTATAGAATGAATGGATATGGATGAACAAACAAAATGATGGACGCGCAGAGCACAGACAAAATCTCTTTTGAAAAGGTATAATGTGCTATACTTTTTAGCTCACCGTCACCACATGCTGGGCTAAAAAGTACAGCACACTATCTTTTTATGTAATCATTCTTCAGTTAGAGACTAAATATTAGCAGATCAATATTTCAACAGCTCAGTTAAAAGCATCACAGATCTTTAATGAACATTCCCTAAAGGTTCATTTAAGCATGAAACTGGTATGGCTTCTGATGCCATTCATACATGTTTTGAATGAGTGCCTCTGTGTTACAGAGAAATAACATGAACTATACATCACTACAGCTCATATTGTGATATTTGTTAAAAACATGTTGTGTTAAACTGGACCATCAGTCTGCATTACCAATGTCATGTTGCAGGTATTTATACATCAGAACAGAGAGGTAACACACCTACATATGTACTCTAAAAGCCTGAAAAAAAGAAAACTCCTGCTAAATTTCTTAACTATTTTTATCACTTTCTGGCATTCATCCATCCTAATATGACTGAGTATGGAATTAAATATTAAATAATATCATTTCCACTCTGAGTTGACTACTAAAGTTACTTCATATAGCTTGGCTACATATTTTTCCTAAGTGATATATACTTGAGTTGTAAAAAGGAAAGTATGGGTGGTGAACAAATGTTGTTTCTACTGTACACTTTACATGTAAGAATGAAAGTGCATCATACTTATCCCATAAGACAAGATAACAAGATTTCATGCGGCTGCACATCAGACATCTATCTGCCTAAAAGGTTGAAAGATCTGGTTTTGGGCCAGAAGAAACTTGCTGTAATGATGGTCAGCACTTAAATTAGATATCATTTTTAAGTATTTAAAAGAAAATGTGAAATCATTATAATAACCTTACAAGAGATTTGAAAATGTTCTATTTAAAAAAAAGACCATAAGTAAACAGTCCTATTTGCTTGTAATCACAAATAAAACACAGAACATTGTGTTCTGATATGGAATTCAGAGTCACAATAGGTTGATCATTTGGTACATCAGGGTATCAAGGTGCATGGGTATACATAGAAAATTCATTCCAGCAAGGTCATATTTTACAGGACCAAAGAGGATTGAACAATCAGATCAGGAAAATGACAGAAGAAACATGGTCCTTTGAGTGGATAAGTGGACATACTACATAATGATCTCTTGTACAATTTTAGACTTAAAAAAATACTTTCAGTGACATGTTTTCTGTAAGCAATGGTTTCTTCTGAGAATCATCTGATCATAAGTATGGATAGCTACATGATTACATGGGCTTCCCTAGGTTATTTGGTTTCTCTCTACAGTAAGACCTTTCTTTCCTTTCTATCCAAGCAAACACAAGTGATTATATATATATATGATAGTATAACTTGCTTTTCAAAGGTTATATAAATAAGTGAAGTCTATAGTTAATAATCATTTTAAATCTAGTTATTGGTCTGGAAATTAATATATAATATTAAAATATAATCAATCAAAGAATGATTCATTCCTTTTAAAGCATTCGAGAAGAAAAAGAAGAAACTTGGATGTCTTCCTGCTTTTTCAAATCCAATACATTATTATATAATTAGCTTCAGTACTATCTTCCAACAATTTATAATTAAATCAGCAAAACAATCCAGATGCCCTTTGTGAGATGCACAGCAACAGATGTTTGAATGTGATTATTTTGCATCACCTTGGTCTTTCAATAGAACAGGGCACTTCTACTTCAAGGTGGCATACTGATTAATAATTCTAGCTTTTACAAGGAAATCAATTTCTTCTCCATTTTATTCTATACTGGTTAGATATGTAGAGCTAATATAACCACCATGGATAAGGGAAGATCATCTTCAAGTTTGATCAGTAAAATATTCTGTAGTATTGATCTTACATATTTCATGTATAAGTAAGTAATCACAGTAACTGTGGTACATCATGATCCACTAACAGTCCAAGGTTGGTAGTAATATTCAATGTGAATACTAGTAAATTCAAATAGGCAACTACACACATGTACATATACACTGTACATTTTATCTTAAAGTATATCAATTACTATGGTTTATTACATAAACAAAAACAAAAAAAAAAAGAAACCATTTAATGCCACCTTTTTTTACATGTATTCACATTCACTTATTCTGATGAGGTATGATATCATACCAACAAAAAAAGAAGATGATTGATCAACAGGGCAATAATATTGTGCAATTACTGAAATAATGAAGAAATACAGGTGTGTGTAACAAGACCATTTCTAATACAAACATGCGGGAAATTGTATTATCTGATCATCATATTAATAATGTAATTTGTATCATCAATATTTCTTTTTAAAGAGCTGGTATATGTAATCATGTCTCTTGTGATCCTGATTTTTGACATTGCTGTTTATTTTAAATATACATTCCACATGTATATTAACATAATTAGTAACATACCACGTCCAATATCTATTGCATAATGTGACTTAATGCATTAGAAATTATACAATACGCAACCTGTGTAAATACTTTCTAGATGCACGGTCTAAATGCGATATAAATTGAGTAACAATTCTGTAATGATCGACAGAAATATGCTGGTCAACTATGGGCTATCTGTCCCCGAATTTGCTGTGTTTACAAATGCACGAACGATCAATCGCTAATATTTCTGTCAAAAAATATGATTGCATTGCTTACTTCGCTTCATAACATCCTCGTACGGGATGTACGATAACTTGGACTCCTTTCCACCCATTCCTCCTTGATTTGGTATTAATTCCCACGAAACATTTAGCTATGACATGTCGAGAGTTGATATATCCTCTTCCTTGTCATCCATGATACATCACGCGACACAACCGATATCTCGCGAGAATAAAAAATAAGTAAGGGGGCGTAACTCTTAATGTCTGTTTCTGGTGTGAGTGGGAAGTCCCTTCCTACTCATCCCCTTCACTCTCTCCCTTCGACAGCCCACTTCCCCCATCCTCACACACACAAGTGTGAAGAGCCAAGCTCCTGTGTCATCAAAGATCGGGACACAAAACTTTGTAAATACTCAGTACCTTTAGGTGCTTGAACTTCTGTATACAATCTGCAATACGGCGTCTTGTTACTCCCCAGTATTTCCGTTTTAATTGATGTTTAATTTTGTTGTCCACAAAAAGACATTTTAAAAATTGACATCGGGTTGGTTTATCTCGTCAGTATTACATGTAACTACAACACATTTTAAACATTTTCTATCTACATATCAAAATATCAGTATAATTTTAAACATTCATGTATCCGAGTCATTATTTCAAACCCAGTTTCAACATTCCCTTTTCCCCACCCCCTTTAAATTTCTGTAACTCTTTTATCATATAAATTTAGGTACATAGATAACACTGATACTAATACTGACACGGAGAATCCTGAAAATGTACAAGGAAGAATTAATGTGAAAAAGTAATGATAAGGTAAAAGACGGGAAATGAAAGGATAGAAAACATAACTTGAATGTTCACCCAAGATTATACTAAGATCTGTTAATTACACAATACATATTAGTGGCATTCCCATCATAGGACGTATAATTAGATTATATATATATGATATAAATATATATGTATATATAAACAAGCAGAAAAAAATCAAATACTGCAACAGTATATATTTATGCGTTGCGTGAACATTTCGCTCGATTTGATGAACGCTTATAAAATTGCGTTATTGATGAGGTCATCATAACAGCCATCTGTATATTTCTTCCTGGTTAACGTTACTCTACCTAAATAGTAAAATATTATGCTCTTTTTATATATATATATCTTTTGATATCCGAGATGCTTCTACTTCAATACTTGACCTACCTCAAGAATACTGACAATCAAGTCAATAAGTTGTGAAGGCGGTGCCTACATGACAAGTTATTCTTATAAAAGAGGACGCAAAGAGCAGAAATCTTAGATCTAAAGATATCATGGGTGTTAGCGGGCTACCAGGTCTGTTAGGAGTTTATTTCAGTGTGGTATTAGTTCTGGAAAAGAAGAGTATTCTTCGGGAATCAGTGTTACATTGCGGTAGTTAGTAAGAGAGGTGATGCAAGCATCTGGTCTATTCTGACAACAATATCTGACAGAGATCTTTGTTTAGTATGCACTGTAGTGTAAGTAATTTTGAATATAATGACCAGGCGGTCCTCAGCCAGGAACGGCCAGTTGAGATCAATCATCATTATAATACCGGTATTATGATATCTGCTGGATAACCATCTGGTCGCCTTATGCCGAACAGTTTCTATAGTTGATGTCGCCATTTTGGTAGTGATCATTCCAAATAGAAGTAGCGTATCCTTAGTTTATTTTCAGGGCATTTGTTTTTGGTTACTATTATATAGGGATCCTCCCATTTGAACAGAGACGTGATTTGCGATATTGTTGGATGGCTACACTTAAATACTGGACATTGTTAGTATGTTCAAGGCATGCGCAGTGATGGTAGAGGTAGTAGTTATAACTTATAGAGACTGAAAGAACTTATTTTGTTGGCCAGGTGAGACTAGGTGTGAAAGGTAGAACAATAGGAGATAATTACAGGTAAGGCTATAGATGCTTCATAAAACTTCCTACTTTCAAGAGAAAAATAGCTCTGGATATTTAAGAATTACATGTATTTTTATTTCACGTTGAATGCATTTACAACATTAACTTACTTATATACCATATATATAAGAAACATAGCTACTAGTTTTAAATTATAGAAAAACATAGGAATATAAGAAAGTACACATATAGCTACTATTTTTCAACTATTTCAATTATATATGTATATATACATATAAAGACACTAGATTTCAAACGTAGTTTTGAATAGGAGTATTATAATGTTCTGTGCATCCTCTATGTCGTGAATTAAAATCACCTATTAGTAATTCAATGGTAAAAGCTTATAATTTGTATAGCTGATAAACTATATACGTGAAGGGAAAAGGTATTCCCATACGAAAGGAAATGAATTAATCCAATTCGGTACTAGAATGTTTTTTTTCAGCAAAACTGATATTTCTTTTTTGATACAACACATGCAGTTTATTTCACTATTTTACTGTAAATGCAGTCGATGGGAAGCAGCATCAGCATAACCGAGCACATCAATTTGTCCATTTCTGTATTGGTTCTTTAACTGACTAAGGCGAGAGTCTATGTGGCGGTATTTCCTCTTCTTTGGTCTTGGTTTACCTCCGGTCGAAAGTTGGATCATCTTTGCTTCATCGGTAGCCTGAATTTTCTTCAGAAGCTGAACAGTCGCAAAGATGTTCGGGTGCGCATGCTGGCAGAGCTTGTTGACCTTGCTGTGCCATCCCTCTACACGATTTGTTGTCCGTGGGCCCTCGTTGTCGTTCCACAAAGCTACAATCTGTCCCTCATCCCACGTTTCTGTCCTTAAATCGTGTAGTTTTAGGGCTAATATCTTAATTGCTGTCTAGGGCAGAAAACAACACATCATCTACTTGATCATTGGGCACTAACGGAAGCACAGCTGCGCGTCTCACTAGAGATTTCAGTTCGTCATCCTTGCGATAGCGTCCAGCCAGTCCAGAAGAAATCTCTCTCCTGCTAGGGTTTCCGTTCAGGCGCCCTGTAAGTCCGCTTCTAGTTGTGTAGATGGAAGTTTTGGCAAAGTCTTTGAACGGGCTCTGTTGAGGGATGCTTTACAACTCTTAAATGTGGGAATCTTTGAAATCATCTCACCAACATCATCATCAAAATCAAATCTCTATCACGCAGATTTCCTAATGCCTCGCCAAAGATAGTAACAATAGGACACACTACTTCACGACAACTTCATTGGGAAACACATCCGCTGCCAGTTTGATGGTATCTCCGGGATGGTCAATGATATTTCCAAAGGTAACTGGAATGTTGTTTAGTGTTGTAATAGTGGCCGGGCACGGTTTCTGTACACATCTCCAATAAACTTTATCATTACGTCTGGTTCTGACGGAAAACTTGTGGCCTGCATGAAGAAAATAGTATCCACCCCTTCCATTTTCTTTGAAGTTGATGATAACCTGTGCATTAGCCATCATGGAATATGAACGATATGAAAATATGTTCTATTTAATAGAAAAGTGTTTGTCCAAATGTTTACTTTTCCCCTTATGCCGTAGTGGCTGGATTTGTGGAGAAGTGCCGCAGTGGCCGAGAGTTAAAGCGTCTCACCATTTTGTCAACGACCCTCTACCTCAAGATCGTGGGCGCGAGGCCTACATGGGACAGTTGCCAGGTACTGACCGCAGGTCTGTGGTTTTTCTTTGGGAGCTCTGACTACTTCACAATCCACACCTGGCACGTCCTGAAATGACCATGGCTGTTAATAGGACGTAAAGTAGCAAGCAACCAATGGTGGATCAGTAGACAGTGGCTGGCTTTATCGAAGGTTTTTGAAAAATCAAGAATGAGCACGTGTTTATTTTATTCAAGATTAATATATCACCAATGAATTCAATAAGTTGAGTTTCGCAGTATCAGGATTTTGTAAAACCATTTTGAATGATATATAAAGTTTTGTTTCTAACGAAACGCGACACAATACAGTACAATCATGTGAAAGGATTGGGTTGGTAATTTTCTGGGTTGTACTTTGTACGTTTCTTTTGTTAATGAGGGAAACGTGACATACATCAAGGGTATTCGAGCTGGGTTTCAGATATCTTAATCAGAGTTCGATCTAATCTGATTCCAATGTTTTGGAGGAAAATTATCTCGGAAGAATCTCCGATCATCTCAGGATTAGTTGGATGGAGATAGGACATAGGACATCATCTCAGGATTCAGAATTAGTTGGATGACTAGAGATAGGACCACCAGGAGGTAGGAATCATCTCAGGATTAGTTGGATGACAGAGATAGGACCACAGGAGGTAGGACCATCATCTCAGGATAGTTGGATGACTAGGATAGGACCACCAGGAGGTAGGACCATCATCTCAGGATTAGTTGGATGGCTAGTGATAGTTGGACCACCAGGAGGTAGGACCATCATCTCAGGATTAGTTGGATGGCTAGTGATAGGACCACCAGGAGGTAGGACCATCATCTCAGGATTAGTTGGATGGCTAGTGATAGGACCACCAGGAGGTAGGACCATCATCTCAGGATTAGTTGGATGGCTAGAGATAGGACCACCAGGAGGTAGGACCATCATCTCAGGATTAGTTGGATCACTAGTGATAAGACCACCAGGAGGTAGGACCATCATCTCAGGATTAGTTGGATGACTAGAGATAGGACCACCAGGAGGTAGGACCATCATCTCAGGATTAGTTGGATGACTAGAGATAGGACCACCAGGAGGTAGGACCATCATCTCAGGATTAGTTGGATGGCTAGAGATAGGACCACCAGGAGGTAGGACCATCATCTCAGGATTAGTTGGATGACTAGAGATAGGACCACCAGGAGGTAGGACCATCATCTCAGGATTAGTTGGATGATAGAGATAGGACCACCAGGAGGTAGGACATCATCTCAGGATTAGTTGGATGGCTAGAGATAGGACCACCAGGAGGTAGGACCATCATCTCAGGATTAGTTGGATGACAAGAGATAGGACCACCAGGAGGTAGGACCATCATCTCAGGATTAGTTGGATGATAGAGATAGGACCACCAGGAGGTAGGACCGTCATCTCAGGATGAGTTGGATGACTAGAGATAAGACCACCAGGAGGTAGGACCATCATCTCAGGATTAGTTGGATGGCTAGAGATATCACCACCAGGAGGTAGGACCATCATCTCAGGATTAGTTGGATGGCTAGTGATAGGACCACCAGGAGGTAGGACATCATCTCAGGATTAGTTGGATGACTAGAGATAGGACCACCAGGAGGTAGGACCATCATCTCAGGATTAGTTGGATGATAGAGATAGGACCATCAGGAGGTAGGACCATCATCTCAGGATTAGTTGGATGACAAGAGATAGGACCACCAGGAGGTAGGACCATCATCTCAGGATTAGTTGGATGGCTAGAGATAGGACCACCAGGAGGTAGGACCATCATCTCAGGATTAGTTGGATGGCTAGAGATAGGACCACCAGGAGGTAGGACATCATCTCGGGATTAGTTGGATGATAGAGATAGGACCACCAGGAGGTAGGACCATCATCTCAGGATTAGTTGGATGACTAGAGATAGGACCACCAGGAGGTAGGACCATCCTCTCAGGATTAGTTGGATGACAAGAGATAGGACAACTAGGAGGTAGGACCATCATCTCAGGATTAGTTGGATGACAAGAGATAGGACAACTAGGAGGTAGGCCCATCATCTCAGGATTAGTTGGATGATAGAGATAGGACCACCAGGAGGTAGGACATCATGTCAGGATTAGTTGGATGGCTAGTGATAGGACCACCAGGAGGTAGGACATCATCTCAGGATTAGTTGGATGACTAGAGATAGGACCACCAGGAGGTAGGACATCATCTCAGGATTAGTTGGATGACTAGAGATAGGACCACCAGGAGGTAGGACCATCCTCTCAGGATTAGTTGGATGACAAGAGATAGGACAACCAGGAGGTAGGACATCATCTCAGGATTAGTTGGATGGCTAGTGATAGGACCACCAGGAGGTAGGACCATCATCTCAGGATTAGTTGGATGACTAGAGATAGAACCACCAGGAGGTAGGACCATCATCTCAGGATTAGTTGGATGATAGAGAAGGGCCACCAGTAGGTAGGACATCATCTCAGGATTAGTTGGATGATAGAGAAGGGCCACCAGTAGGTAGGACATCATCTCAGGATTAGTTGGATGACTAGTGATAGGACCACCAGGAGATAGGACCATCATCTCAAGATTAGTTGGATGACTAGTGATAAGACCACCAGGATGTAGGACCATCATCTCAGGATTAGTTGGATGGCTAGTGATAGGACCACCAGAAGGTAGGACCATCATCTCAGGATTAGTTGGATGACTAGAGATAGGACCACCAGGAGGTAGGACATCATCTCAGGATTAGTTGGATGGCTAGAGATAGGACCACCAGGAGGTAGGACCATCATGTCAGGATCAGTTGGATGGCTAGAGATAGGACCACCAGGAGGTAGGACCATCATCTCAGGACAAGTTGAATGATTAGTGATAAGACCACCAGGATGTAGGACCATCATCTCAGGATTAGTTAGATGGCTAGAGATAGGACCATCAGGAGGTAGGACATCATCTCAGGATTAGTTAGATGACTAGAGATAGGACCATCAGGAGGTAGGACATCATCTCAGGATTAGTTAGATGACTAGAGATAGGACCACCAGGAGGTAGGACATCATCTCAGGATTAGTTGGATGACTAGAGATAGGACCACCAGGAGGTAGGACCATCATCTCAGGATTAGTTGGATGACTAGAGATAGGACCACCAGGAGGTAGGACCATCATCTCAGGATTAGTTGGATGACTAGAGATAGGACCACCAGGAGGTAGGACCATCCTCTCAGGATTAGTTGGATGGCTAGTGATAGGACCACCAGGAGGTAGGACATCATCTCAGGATTAGTTAGATGACTAGAGATAGGACCATCAGGAGGTAGTCAGGTAACATCAGCTCAGGTAGGAGTTTGGCAGCCATCAGTTTGATTCAGTTCACAGAATCCTCTGATTATTTGCCAGAATCCTAAAGTGGATTCTTGATAAAGCCATTGGACTGGTGTGATCCTTTGATATATAACAAACTGATGTACCTGGAATTCACAATAGGGCTATGTACAAACATGTGTCCCTTACATTAGGCCAAATTACGGCCCATTCCAGAATGGTTGGTTTAGTGAATCACTTGATCAAGTGGTAACATCATTGTTTGCTTTGATTTTGAGTGTAGATGAGCAACATGTTCTTTTTAGAAGCATTTTGGATATAAATGCTCTAGAGCAGAGCTTGATCGTGCCTATCCAGCCATCTCTATGACTGAAGTAATGGGAACGATCAAGGAGGAGTTGGGTAAAGTTCTCTGGTTTGTTGGTCCAGTGATCTTATTTGGTTTCCTTTTGTATTGATTTGTGGTATGCTCCAGTCTGCCGCATTCAGCGATGAAGTGACACCTATATTTCATTTAGGATTCACAGTTTTCAGGTGTGGTTGGCTTTAAGTTGGTTGAATCTTATACGATTTGATGATGGGTTGTAAGTTATGGTCAAGATCCTTGATTTATTTCTGCTTTCTTCACGTCTCTTCGTGTTGGATTTGTTGTGGAGTACAGGTGGTAAGGTTTTCCAACAGCTCCTCAGGATTTTGATATTTCAAGGATGGTTTCTCTCTAACCTCATCCCTCCAGTCAGATTCAACTATTTTACTCGATAGATGTATGAAGGAGGCACCTCCATTCATGTTTCTGTGGTGTGTTGTGTAATAGTTGTTGTAATTGTAGGCTGTTGGCAGGTTGTAGAGAAGATACTGGATTACTCACATAACTTAACTGGAAGTTGTCAAACAACTGTCTTATACTTAATAGAAGTTTGCATTATCAGGATCCAATGAAGGAGATTCACTAAGTATTTTTAAATCACTGCGGTGATAGGCAAGATAATATACCAAGTCAGGGACAGTCACCAAGGGTGTTTTGTCAGGGAGATGTTGCATCCTATGGAATCTAAGATTTTCCAGGTTTGTCATATTTAAAAACTGTGTCTTCAGGCCATACAGGTTGCTGAGGATAACAAAGACTGACCAGATGTACCTATCATTACTGGTGAGTCCTTTTTGGCCATGTAGACAATGAGGGAGTCCATCTTCTGTACACTTGATTTTCTTTCGACGGATCTCATTATGCCAAGGTGGACTGTCCATTTGCTGAGTTGTATTTCCTTACATTGTAGGGTCTGTACAGGAAGACAGAGCTGTTCAATGGATTTATCTGATACCAGTTGCTGTTGCTGAATCGTTCAACGGTGTTGACCATTTGTCTCATTTCTGTATCTGAGGGCGAGGGAGGGCAAGGCCATCAACACAGATGACAAGAGATATGTTTTTGACTGAAGCACTTTAGAATACTTCCTCTAGTAGTAGTAGTGCTTATAGTGTTCTGTTGAGAGGACTCCTCCCTACCTGACTTGAGCTTCCTGCAGTAGATTGGTTTCCTTGGAGACAGATCCTTGCCATTTTGTTTGGATGACATAATCTTATACAGGTTGTACTTGAAGATCCAGTCTGAACCTTGTGTGCCATCAAATAATAGTTGACGTTTCTTATCGTGAGCAGTAATTTCTCCTTATTGGGTTTGGCTTCTAGTTGACACTGTGACAGTTTGGGCTCCTTCGGTGAAATCTAACTTGAGTTAGGACTTGATTCTCAGGAAGGTTGTCTTGTACATGTTCTTTATTATGTGGTCCAGTATCTGAAGTTTGAGTGTATCTGGTATTCCTTTTTGCTTCAACACTGTGATTATTATTGCCTTCAGATAATATACTCTCTTCTGCCAGATGTTCACAGGTCAAACTGTATTGATCTGGTGTTTTGATTTCAATGGTGTTAGCTGGTCTGAGGTCGAGTCCTTCTGTTCTGTCTACTGATTAAATGATTCTGTTGTTATACTCGATCTCTCTAGAGTGGTAATCACGGAAAAGATCATCCGTCAGAGATAAGGTTAGAGCTTTGAGGTAGTCAGCCTAGCCATCCTTTATCTCCTCGACATTAGCATACTTGCTTCAATCTGAAGCTAGGTTGTGCTGACTGTGTCTGTGGAGCTTTGTAATTTTACTGATAAGTGGAAGGCCTTGGAATCTCCTTATTCTGCCCTGATGTTGATGATTTTCTCAATATAAGACAGGCCTCAGCATCTTTCTAAGTGTTTTCTTTGCTTGACACATTGCTTTGTTTGTAGGGTATTGTCTATTGGAGGGGCTACCATATAGTATATTGATAACGTATAGTCTTTAAATAAGAAGAATTTTATTGACCACCTCCTATGTATATACCCACAAGAATTGGAAATCAAGGACATGATAGACTCTTCTACATCAGCTGCTTATCTTGATCTTTTCCGACAACAAAACCAACATGGACAACAGTTTCCATCAAGTAGTATGATGAGTGTGATGATCTCAATTTCCCTATTTTGAATTTTCCATTTCTGGATAGCAACATTCCTGCATCCCTAACTCTATACAACAGCACACAGAGATATGTACACTGATGTTCTATACAACAACATGCAGAGATATGGACACTGATGTTCTATACAACAACACACAGAGATATGGACACTGATGTTCTATACAACAACACACAGAGATCTGGATACTGATGTTCTGTACAACAACACACAGAGATATGGACACTGATGTTCTGTACTACAACAAAATACACTTTTTTAACATTTTTATTATTTTTCTTGTACAATTTTCAAATGTTACAATCATAACCAACAACTCTGTTAAAACGGTATTCAACAGCATGCTGCCTTCCAAAGCAAGTTTCCTATTTTGATTCTAATTTTTTGCTTGGGAATATCTGTCATATTCCATTTTAATTAATATTTCTGACACCCAAAAATTCAAAAACCATACTGCAGGTCTCAATAACAATGTCAATTATCACAGTATAATGAAACACAGATCACAGTCTATGCCAATTCTCTCTCCAGTTCTGTGAATTATTAAGATTATATTTCTACAAAGATGGCAGGTGTTATTCCTTCAAAGATGATAGACACCGTCCATTGATTTGGGAAGGATCTCTAGGGGACAACTGTACTTGTCCTTACAGACAGTTATGCTTGTTTTGTCTGCAGAGTTCTGTTTCTACTGTATACACCATATGGATTATCCATGAAGTAGGACTGTATTCGGAATTCCTAGATACATCACCTTGACCATCCAGAAAGTAAGACCACATTCGTTACTGCAGACACCATGTTTCGTAACTCCTACAAACATCACGTGGACTGTCCATAATGTAGGGTAAGTATTACACACATCATGTGGACTGTCCCTAATGTAGGGTAACTCCTACACACATCATGTGGACTGTCCATAATGTAGAATTATATTGGTAAATCCTACACACATCACATGGACTGTCCATAATGTAGGGTAACTCCTACACACATCACGTGGACTGTCCATAATGTAGGGTAACTCCTACACACATCACACGGACTGTCCATAATGTAGGGTAACTCCTACACACATCACACGGACTGTCCATAATGTAGGGTAACTCCTACACACATCACCTGGACTGTCCATAATGTAGGGTAACTCCTACACACAACATGTGGACTGTCCATAATGTAGGGTAACTCCTACACACAACATGTGGACTGTCCATAATGTAGGGTAACTCCTACACACATCATGTGGACTGTCCATAATGTAGGGTAACTCCTACACACATCACACGGACTGTCCATAATGTAGGGTAACTCCTACACACAACACTTGGACTGTCCATAATGTAGGATTTTATTTGTAACTCCTACATGGATGACTGGCATCATCCATTTAATAGGGTTGAATCATTTGATCTTGAACAGGTTACTTTCACATGGTTGAATCAGTTGATCTTAAACAGGTTACTTCCAAACTTAAAAGATTTTTCTCAATCCTTCTTGCGACTTGACAATAATGCCAGCAAACAAGCTCCACCAGACAAAATGGCTCCAGCCCTGTGTTATGCAAGTATAAACAGTGTTAAAATTTACATGTATAAAAACACTGATTTTGATTAAAACCCAATTTACAGTGTTAAATGTTATACATTTATTCAAATTTTTAATAAAAATAAAACCATTAAACAGTTTTAAATTTGTAATCATAAAATTACATACTGATGTCATCTTTAGACATTAATTCAATAATTTATCTAGGAAAAAATATCTGATTTCCAGTGTAATTATTTTTCAGAGTACCACTTTTTCAGTTAAATCCAGATACCCACCACATGCATTTTCTGATCACTGGGGAATGTTTCCACTTGTTGTACTTTGTGACTGAGATATTTTGGTGACTTCTGAAAGCTTTAAGAATATCCTTCGAACTGAAACAATAGCACATGTATAACAATACTGTGTATGTTTAAATGTTAGAATCCACTAATGAAACTATATCAACATTTTTAGCAGTCAACACAAATTGGTTTCCAAATTTATTCTGGATGGTGACATCAAGATTGAGAACAAAAAAACAAAACTCATCATGGCATATTACAGATTGCATCGAAGTTAAGCTACATTATAACATTTGAAGTAAACCAATCTGGAAAATAAGCCATATATTCCAGGCAGTGAAAAGTACCGTGAAAACCAGAAAATATTTATATATGCCCATACTGACCAAATTTGACTACAGAAATGTTTGTCTTGTTTATTGTTGTGAAATGGAATCATGAATTTTTACGTTGGCTTTCACTACGATCACAACATCGTTATACATCAACAAGAGATCTCAGAGGGATCTTGGTGTAAACCATTGTTTCATCTTCATGTGGTCTTTGTTAGTTGGACCTTTTCCCTTTTTTTCTCTTCTTTCCTTTGATTTTATTCTTAATTTAAATGAAATTGAGAAATTCAATCTTTAACTGTCAAACCCAAGATCATCATCGTCCTGTTGATCATGTTGTTTTTCTAAACAGTTCAAAAATCAAAAGGAAATCGCTAGGAACCAAAGGGAACCTACATAAATATCAATTCAAAATGGCCACCTATTTACCATTTTGTTTTCCTCATCAGTTCTACAATCAAAGGGGCACAACTAGGGACCAAGGGAATCTAAACACAAAATTTGAAACTGATCCATTTTGTCGTTGTTGAGAAATAGCAATATCAAATTTTCATTGTCAAAATCCAAGATGGACACCTGTCTGCCATTGTTTTTCAGATCAATTCCAAAGTGGAACAATGCATGATTAGGGATCTATATATAAAATTTGGAAATGATCCATCAAGTACTTCTTAAGAAATAAAAAGAATTATTTCAGGACAGATGAACAGACAGCATACAAAGGGTGATTTGATGAAGAGCCCCACTCCTGATGATGGTAGGCTAACAATTGTATGTTCGTGATAAACTAAAATTATGAAAATGGTCACAACATTTATCTATTTAAGATACTGGGACACCAAACTATTCTGATAGTATTAAGTGGGTTAGTTTGTCACAGTCAGGGATGATACTTACCATTTATAATGCGTTGTAGCAACTAAAGCTCTTTGTGAGTTGGTAACTTGAACATCTACTGTGCCATACCGAGAAAACCATCTGATCAACTGTAAATAAAATCAATGTTTACACATGTAGCACGTGTATTACAGACATGAAACAGACATGAAACAGACATATTTTTTTGAAAATAAAACCAATCATGCCATTGTTTTATGTCTGAAATCTATTTTTACCAATTCATGATATTATGGACCATGTGAGATAACTATATCATCCCCCAAACCCTCCAAGAGAAAGATCTTTTGGTATGTTTATGTTTTGTCAGGAGGGGCTAAAACATGTTTTGGAAAATTTTCTTCAGGTTGGTAATGTCAATTGAATAGGCACTCATATAACACAACCAGTACATAATTGGAGTGTGACATTCTGATGACTACATGGTCACCTACATCTTATAACACAACCAGTAGAAGATTAGAGTGTGATGTTTTGATGACTACACGGTCACCTTCATCTCATAACACAACCAGTAGAAGATTTGAGCGTGATGTTTTGATGACTACACGGTCACCTTCATCTTATAACACAACCAGTAGAAGATTAAAGTGTGACGTTTCAATGACTACACGGTCACCTTCATTGGACAAATGACCAGTGTGGAGCCTACTAGCATTAACGTACATAGTGTGCAAGATGGTACGGAATTTACCAACTTTTCAGCTTCACTATAATTCTATGGACATTAAGGTCGAAAATATTGTGACGAGATGGTATACAGATTATAGACCAAAACATACACCAGATGGTAACAATGTACTGAAGTCATTTTGGTTATGCTTTGTTTAACACAAAGATTGTTCATATTATGGATGTGTGGGTCAATTCAGGTTAGGTCCTGTATACATACCTGTAAGGGATGTAGCTCGTATGATGGGTCTTTTGATTGGACAAACAGCAAGTCAGTGCGATCGGATGGTGGATCTGGACCATCTAAACGCTACAATATAAAACACATATGATCATACAGATCACTGGCAAACGAGGATTAACAATACAATATTGTAAATCAGTAGTCAAAAGACCAAGTAACATTAATATGTTTAGTTCTTTACTTTGAATTCTCTTACCATAAAAACATGTGGAATTTGTACACCAACAGAAGTTGGGTAAGTAAAGCAAGTAAATTTAGCTTGTGTAAAATGTTGTCAAGAGAAATAATTTGAACATCATACTTGGATATAAAATCATCAATGTGATGTTTACTGGAAATGTTGGGTTGAAAGGTAAGATTATTGACGTAATCCTGGCAAAATACTTATCACAATATACCAATTGCTTAGGGAGAACTTCCCTTCACCTCAATCGGTTGAGCATTAGGCTAGTAAACCAGAGGTCTCTGTTTCAAATCCTAGAACTTGACCTCTGTTTCAATGGTGCCCATGAAGGAAATCGGTAATAGAATTCAGTGTTACTTTCACTAGCATTGCTGTAACCCCTAAAAACTTGAGGATGAATTCTTTCCTGTAGGAGGAGTATGTAACTCGAGTTCAAACTAGCTGCAATATATTGCTTAGCTAGTGAGAACTTCTTCTAGCTTGATGGGTTGAGTGTCACACTAGTAAGCCAGAGTCCAGAGTTCAAATCCTAGCAGAGGTATTGAAACAAATAATTACTTCCATTACATTGGCACCCATATAGGGACTCGAACCCTTGACCCCTATTTCATGATTAACTTCTCATTGATATTTGTGATGTGGTACTACATGTTAGATACAACCTACCACATAGTTTGTTTCTCTGTGTATACCACAACTTACCACATAGTTTGTTTCCCTGAGTATACCACAACTTACCACATAGTTCGTTTCCCTGTGTATACCACAACTTACCACATAGTTTGTTTCCCTGAGTATACCACAACTTACCATATAGTTTGTTTCCCTGTGTATACCACAACTTACCACATAGTTTGTTTCCCTGTGTATACCACAACTTACCACATACTTTGTTTCCCTTTGTCTACCACAACTTACCACATAGTTTGTTTCTCTGTGTATACCACAACTTACCACATAGTTTGTTTCCCTGTGTATACCACAACTTACCACATAGTTTGTTTCCCTGTGTATACCACAACTTACCACATATACCACAACTTACCACATAGTTTGTTTCTCTGTGTATACCACAACTTACCACATAGTTTGTTTCCCTGTGTCTACCACAACTTACCACACAGTTTGTTTCTCTGTGTATACCACAACTTACCACATAGTTTGTTTCCCTGTGTATACCACAACTTACCACATAGTTTGTTTCCCTGTGTATACCACAACTTACCAAATAGTTTGTTTCCCTGTGTATACCACAACTTACCACACAGTTTGTTTCTCTGTGTATACCACAACTTACCACGTAGTTTGTTTCCCTGTGTATACCACAACTTACCACATAGTTTGTTTCCCTGTGTATACCACAACTTACCACATAGTTTGTTTCCCTGTGTATACCACAACTTACCACATAGTTTGTTTCCCTGTGTATACCACAACTTACCACGTAGTGTACATTTCCTCTAATTATGTTTATCTTGTTTCTGTAGGGTTTCATCTCTGTTAGGTAGCGACTGAACCGACAAGGTCTCACTTCTGTAGATCTGAACAACAAAAAATCAGCAGATGAGGGGTTTTTAAAATGACATTTTAACAGGCTTTTTGGCTAGTGTTAAATCTTTGCTACTTTTGTTTTTGCAACATAATTGCATGACAAATATTATTTGCAAGCTTGGGATAGAAGAGAATTTCTCTGTAGCTCTGTCTGATGAGTGAAAGAATAGTGAGTCTGAGGTCCTATGGTTGACTCCAAACTTGGGTATTAAAATCAATGATCAACTCCATCACATTTATCATTGGGAAATTTTCAGATGTTTGAATGATTTCAAACTTACTTTACATCTAGGAACGTCAGTATGTGGGACAGTCTCAAAAACACTACAATAAAGGATAGATAGATGTCAGTTCACAACAAATGTAGGCTGTAGTATCAAAAAACACACACATACATTGTTTTTTTTTGTATTTGGATATAAAATTTGCAACAGAAAATCTGTTGATGTGACCATGACCTTGGGTATCTATATATAGGCACGTGGCATGTGACCATGATGTTGGTTATGTTACTGAATGGGGAGGTCATTAGAAACAGCTATTGTGACAACCTTACAATGAAAGCTCCTAAATTTATTTTTAAAAACGAATAACTATATTAACATGACCTTGCCTATGAGTTTGGAGTGACAAAAGACACACTACACTTATTTACCAAGTAGTTCCTATTCATGATTACTTACCAAAGCCACACATATAGGCATCATATCCAGCTTCATGGGGCAGAGATTTCCCCTCTATAACATAGAAACAAAATAATACTACAATTTTTTTTTGTGTTGTATTATAACTACAATATTATAACTTTATAACCATATCAACAGTACTTAAAACTTTCAATAATTTGTTAGATTTATCCCTCTTGCTGACCACATGGATTCATTACACTCTAGGGTAAGTGAACGGCCCTAAGTGAATTTAAAGGAATGGTTCATCATACAAATTTTACGCTGGATTTAAAGGGATGGTCATTATACCAACATTACACTAAGTCTGAAGGGATGCTTCTTTACACAAAGTTTACACTGAATTTGAAGGGATGGTTCACCATACAGACTGATTATAATGGACATGAAGGGAAAACTTCCCACAAATTCTGTAAGGAACTGGAAGGGATGGTTCATCACATGATTGATTACACTGAAACTAAAGGGATTGGTTCACTACTCAAATTAACTTGATTGATTTCACTGGATTGATAAGACGGACTGTATGGATGATTGATTTCACTGGATTGATAAGACCAACTGCATGGATGATTGATTTCACTGGATTGATAAGACGGACTGTATGGATGATTGATCACACCGCGAAGTGACTGTATGGAAAAAATGTACAGTGGAAAAAATTTAGCAGAATGAAATTTTACTTACTGTAATTATCAGTGGCATGGACTACAGATGGCGTATCGATCACAAACTGCTGACCTTCAGGGCTGTACAAACAACAATTACAGTATATCATACACCAATCACAGATGTCAGTCATGTATTGAAGATTCCTACCTGTAACTGAGTGGTTAAGGGTACTGAAATATAGTGTTATCTTTCTAGTAACAGCCAGTGTTGTTTAGTGCTATATAGTGTTATCTTTCTAGTTACAGTCAGTGTTGTTTAGTGCTATATAGTGTTATCTTTCTAGTAACAGTCAGTGTTGTTTAGTGCTATATAGTGTTATCTTTCTAGTAACAGTCAGTGTTGTTTAGTGCTATATAGTGTTATCTTTCTAGTAACAGTCATAGTGTTATCTTTCTAGTAACAGTTGTTTAAGTGCTATATAGTGTTATCTTTCTAGTGTTATATAGTGTTATCTTTCTAGTAACAGTCAGTGTTGTTTAGTGCTATATAGTGTTATCTTTCTAGTAACAGTCAGTGTTGTTTAGTGCTATATAGTGTTATCTTTCTAGTAACAGTGTTGTTTAGTGCTATATAGTGTTATCTTTCTAGTAACAGTCAGTGTTGTTTAGTGCTATATAGTGTTATCTTTCTAGTAACAGTGTTGTTTAGTGCTATATAGTGTTATCTTTCTAGTAACAGTCAGTGTTGTTTAGTGCTATATAGTGTTATCTTTCTAGTAACAGTCAGTGTTGTTTAGTGCTATATAGTGTTATCTTTCTAGTAACAGTGTTGTTTAGTGCTATATAGTTTAGTGCTATATAGTGTTATCTTTCTAGTAACAGTGTTGTTTAGTGCTATATAGTGTTATCTTTCTAGTAACAGTCAGTGTTGTTTAGTGCTATATAGTGTTATCTTTCTAGTAACAGTCAGTGTTGTTTAGTGCTATATAGTGTTATCTTTCTAGTAACAGTGTTGTTTAGTGCTATATAGTGTTATCTTTCTAGTAACAGTGTTGTTTAGTGCTATATAGTGTTATCTTTCTAGTAACAGTCAGTGTTGTTTAGTGCTATATAGTGTTATCTTTCTAGTAACAGTGTTGTTTAGTGCTATATAGTGTTATCTTTCTAGTAACAGTGTTGTTTAGTGCTATATAGTGTTGTTTAGTGCTATATAGTGTTATCTTTCTAGTAACAGTCAGTGTTGTTTAGTGCTATATAGTGTTATCTTTCTAGTAACAGTCAGTGTTGTTTAGTGCTATATAGTGTTATCTTTCTAGTAACAGTGTTGTTTAGTGCTATATAGTGTTATCAGTGTTGTTTAGTGCTATATAGTGTTATCTTTCTAGTCACAGTGTTGTTTAGTGCTATATAGTGTTATCTTTCTAGTAACAGTGTTGTTTAGTGCTATATAGTGTTATCTTTCTAGTAACAGTATATAGTGTTATCAGTCAGTGTTGTTTAGTGCTATATAGTGTTATCTTTCTAGTAACAGTGTTGTTTAGTGCTATATAGTGTTATCTTTCTAGTAACAGTGTTGTTTAGTGCTATATAGTGTTATCTTTCTAGTAGTGCTATATAGTGTTATCAGTGTTGTTTAGTGCTATATATAGTGTTATCTTTCTAGTAACAGTGTTGTTTAGTGCTATATAGTGTTATCTTTCTAGTAACAGTGTTGTTTAGTGCTATATAGTGTTATCTTTCTAGTAACAGTCAGTGTTGTTTAGTGCTATATAGTGTTATCTTTCTAGTAACAGTCAGTGTTGTTTAGTGCTATATAGTGTTATCTTTCTAGTAACAGTGTTGTTTAGTGCTATATAGTGTTATCTTTCTAGTAACAGTCATTGTTGTTTAGTGTTATATAGTGTTATCTTTCTAGTAACAGTCAGTGTTGTTTAGTGCTATATAGTGTTATCTTTCTAGTATATAGTGCTATATAGTGTTATCTTTCTAGTAACAGTGTTGTTTAGTGCTATATAGTGTTATCTTTCTAGTAACAGTGTTGTTTAGTGCTATATAGTGTTATCTTTCTAGTAACAGTGTTGTTTAGTGCTATATAGTGTTATCTTTCTAGTAACAGTCAGTGTTGTTTAGTGCTATATAGTGTTATCTTTCTAGTAACAGTCAGTGTTGTTTAGTGTTATATAGTGTTATCTTTCTAGTAACAGTCAGTGTTGTTTAGTGCTATATAGTGTTATCTTTCTAGTAACAGTCAGTGTTGTTTAGTGCTATATAGTGTTATCTTTCTATATAGTGTTATCTTTCTAGTAACAGTCAGTGTTGTTTAGTGCTATATAGTGTTATCTTTCTAGTAACAGTGTTGTTTAGTGCTATATAGTGTTATCTTTCTAGTAACAGTGTTGTTTAGTGCTATATAGTGTTATCTTTCTAGTTACAGTCAGTGTTGTTTAGTGCTATATAGTGTTATCTTTCTAGTAACAGTCAGTTGTTTAGTGCTATATAGTGCTATATAGTGTATATAGTGTTTCTTTCTAGTAACAGTCAGTGTTGTTTAGTGCTATATAGTGTTATCTTTCTAGTAACAGTCAGTGTTGTTTAGTGCTATATAGTGTTATCTTTCTAGTAACAGTCAGTGTTGTTTAGTGCTATATAGTGTTATCTTTCTAGTAACAGTCAGTGTTGTTTAGTGTTATATAGTGTTATCTTTCTAGTAACAGTGTTGTTTAGTGCTATATAGTGTTATCTTTCTAGTAACAGTGTTGTTTAGTGCTATATAGTGTTATCGTTCCGGTTACAGTCAGTGTTGGGATAACTATACATTACCTGGAGAGACTCTGGTACAGCATCCCCAGTGAGGAGTTATTTATCAGTGAGGAATCCCTGTAAAGCTAATAAAATATCAGAAAATTAGTCTGAAAATGCGAGCATCATTATCATACTTGATACTTGTATGTATATCAATCATCAATAGCTTGATACAAGAGATCAAGGAGGGAGCTTGGTACATATCGATGTACTTTATTAGTTCTACATCAGTTGGATCTTTTCCCTTATTGATCCAAATATCACAAGCACACCCAGGGATCAAAGGAAACCTACATATAATATTAAAGGATACTTCATCCAGAACAACCCAAGCAATTACTGAACTGTCAAAATACAAGATGGTCATCTGTCCGCCAGTTGACTTTTCTAATCAGTCCCCATATAGAAAATGTAAAGTTAGGGACCAAGACAAAACAAAAGTATGACATTTGACAGTGATCAATTCTACAGTTATTAAGAACAAGAGGCCCAAGGGTCTTAACAGTTACCTGAGTCACAATGGTTCTTGTAACATGTCATAGAAATGACTTCCTTAAAAAAGTAATATAATGCTAACTATATTGTACACAAAATGCAAATGTAAATTATGCATAGCATTAACTGCTGTTCCATGCTAAGGCTTCTAACCAAGTTTAATGAAATTACACTCAAGAGTTGAATTTTCCTATAAAAAATCTTCCATCCAGGAACAGGAACATCTTTAAAATTCCAGTCAACTTGACCCATTTTTGACCCTGCCCATCAGCCCCTGGGGGTCAATCATGGTCAATATGTGCATCTCATCAAACTGTCAGATTATACGAATAAAAGAAATTCTCAAAAATGTAATTTTTCTATATCAAATACGATAAATTTTATTCCCTCCTTAAGGGGAAATGTGACACCCTGAGGTCATGAAATTTATGTTTTTGCTAAAGCATCTGAAGGCATTTCCATCTATAAAGAGCACTTGGTTCTACCATACCTAGGATTTGAGAAGATATTTGAAATTTCAGTAAATTTTACCCATTTTTGGCCCTGCCCAACAGCCACTGGGGGTCAGTCAAGGTCAATATGTGCCTCTGATAAAACTCATCTTAAACTAATCATTCTACCCCGGTTTGAACTATTTCCAATCTACCCCGGTTTGAACTATTTCCAATCTACCACGGTTTGAACTATTTCCAATCTACCCCGGTTTGAACTATTTCCAATCTACCCCGGTTTCAACTATTTCCATTCTACCCCGGTTTGAACTATTTCCAATCTACCCCGGTTTGAACTATTTCCAATAGAAAAGAAACAAATCATGTTAAAAAAATGACATTTACCAATATAGCCTACAATTAACTTTACCCCTTCCCCTAAGGGAAATGTGAAACCCTGGCGTCATGAAATTTATTATTCTGGCAAAACATCTGAAGGCCTTTCTATCCATGAAGAGTACTTAATTCTACCATAACTGGGTTTTGAGAAGAAAATTTTTTGAAGTTTCAATCATCTTTAGTGCTGCCCCTAAGGCCCCTTGGGGTTACAATTTACAAGAAGAAAATGTTTAAAGTTTACAACACATGACGCATAACGCACGATGCCAGACAAGAAGGGATCAAAATAGGTTACCCTGTGACAACATTTCAGGTGACCAAAAAAGTTATAACAAGCTTCAACTGTCAAAATCCTAGAAGGCTGTCTGATGGCCATTTTATTTTCTGCATCAGTCCCAAAATTGACCATGCACAACTTGGGAATGATACATCTCAAAAAAGTGCACTAAAAAACTTCTATGTTTTTTTGGAGCAGGTGATCAGAGCACAAGTTAACTCATTGTTTAACACTGACTTACCTTCCTTGTGTTGTTGCAAATGTGTTTTGTATCATAAACATATGGGAAAACATTCTGCATTTCTTTCTTGAACTCTTCAAAAGTATCTTAAAAAAAGGAAATAGTTGTAATGAAAAAAGGGTACTTATGGAGAGATATTATAACTTATAGCAAGATGAACCTTCAACAAACTGCTGTCTTAAAGAAAAAATAAACCTTCCATAAGACAATATATCTAACAGACAAAGTGAACCTTTAGTAAGACACTTTATCTTATAGACAAAATTATCATTTAATAAGACACTATCTTATAGACAAAGTGAACCTTTAGTAAGACACTTTATCTTATAGACAAAATTATCATTTAATAAGACACTATCTTATAGACAAAGTGAACCTTTAGTAAGACACTTTATCTTATAGACAAAGTGAACCTTTAGTAAGACACTATATTTTATAGACAAAATTAAGATTTAGTAAGACACTATATCTTATAGACAAAATGAACATTTAGTAAGACACTATATCTTATAGACAAAATGAACATTTAGTAAGACACTATATCTTATAGACAAAATGAACATTTAGTTAGACACTATATCTTAGACAAAATGAACATTTAGTAAGACACTGTATCTTATAGACAAAATTAACATTTAGTAAGACACCATATCTAAAAGATAAAATTAACATTTATTAAGACACTATATCTTATAGTCAAAATGAATATTTAGTAAGACACTATATCTTATAGACAAAATTAACATTTAATAAGACACTTTATCTTATAGTCAAAATGAACATTTCGCTTGACACCACATTTTAGAGATAAAATGAATCTCAGGTAAGTCACTATATCTTTTAAACAAAGTGAACATTTAGTAGACTCTATATCTTAAAGATAAAACGAACCTTCAGAAAGACACCCAGTTTGTCAGAAAACAAGAACCCCCTGATTATACTGACCTGGTAAAGGTTCATGAAACTTGTCATACATCAGCAACAGATCCAGGAACATGTTGTGTCCAATGATTGGCTGCAAACATAACAGAAAACACTATGGTATTAAAACATCCATGAAACTTCGAGGACTGAGACCATTCAAATGTATTTATATACTGTATTTCTTCTAGAAATTCGTGTGTGTTTTCTGTTACAATGGTAGATAACATAGATGAACTAGATAGTTACTTTTTTTCCCTTTAAGTTTGAAGTTAACATATCTTGAGGCAATCCCTAAACAAAAGATCTAAAATTTCCAAAAAGTTGAAAATAATTAAATGAATAATGATAGTAAGACAGAAAGCGGCTATGATATATTTACCGATAACAAAGGAATAGATTTTGTATTGTGTATACTTACAACACCTCCTTTCAACATCTTAAAAACTCTGGTAAATCCTTTCAAATTATCAAGTAATCTAAAACAGAAAACATAACCACTTTGTAGAAGATGATTTTAACAATGGCCCATTGAGTAATTTTCTCAAGCACTTTGATAGCGGCAACACCTCATGAAATTCATGAAATTTTCTTTTTATTATTACAATCACCAGAATGTCTGTAATGTTTACAACAATAAACAAATATTATTACAGATTACTTTTTTGCTTGCTTTACTATTCCATCAACAGCCAGGGTTATTTTGAGGCATGATCTCCTAGTAATAGCTAGTGACTACCTTACAGGACAACATGTAGGAGGCCGATCACATGCCACTCGAAGCAATAAGGGGCAAAGTGTCTTGTCCAAGGACATAACCACAAGGCACAAAAAAGATACATGATTTCATTTTTCCTGCATTTAAACCTGAGGCTGAAATGTTGAATGCTCTTTTACTGAGTTATCACAGTCCTCCTTATCACCAATACCAAACCTTAAGTGTCACTCTATTTACTTTTCCTTATCTTGTTCATTCTCCATAGCATTCTTCATCTGCATCTTGCTCAATTTTGATATCCGTACAATCTACAAAATAATGAAAGTTAATTCAGGAGTTGTCTTACAGGCCAGCAAGAATATAAAACATATCATAACCTAAGTCACCAAGTCCATGTTTTAATTTTCATCCATTTCAACCAGTATATGGAAAATGATCTATCCAGCACTTCTCCAGAAATAAAATAACGAAATAAGACTGTCAACATTCAAAATGGACACCTGTCAGCCATGTTGTTTTTCTGATCGCTCCCAAGTCAATCTATGAACTTTTCGGAGCTAGAGAAACATTTACCTTAAATAATTTTGTAAGGACAATAATGACAGATGGTTGTGATGTTTTTTAATGATAGACTGATGACAGAGAGATGTAATGTTTTTAAGGACAGAAAAAATGACAGATGGTTGTGATGTTTTTTAATGATAGACTGATGACAGAGAGATGTAATGTTTTTAAGGACAGAAAAAATGACAGATGGTTGTGATGTTTTTTAATGATAGACTGATGATGGATGGATTTCATTTGTTTTAAGGAGAGTGATAATGAAGAGATAAAACATTTTTTAAGGAGAGACTGATGATAAACAAATGAAATGATTTTAAGGAGACTGATGACAAAATAAATGAAACAATTTATAAGGAGGGACTGATGACAGAGAGATGAAATGTTTTTCTAAGGAGAGACTGATGACAGATGTAATTTTAAACCATCTACAGTGGTTAAACATTGGTCTATCATACAAAGTGGTTAAACATTGGTCTATCATACAAAGTAAATCAGACTTCAGTCATCTCTAGAGAGTTGGGCTTGTATGCTTTCTTCAATGTTTAATGAGTGGTATAACAATGAAATACTAGAATTTTTATCAACAATACAAACCATTACTCACCCTCTGCTGACCTTCTAATACAGAAATCCAAATGTTTTTAAATCTTTCTCTGAGCTCTGCCCGCAGTATGAAGGATTTTACATATTCAAGTTCTGTAGACATAGAAAGAAAACATATCATTACTAGGATACTATGACACAGAACATGTTTCACTGACAGAAATAGTGACTTCAAAGTTTATCCTCAGAATGAATCATCTGTGACCCTTCTTTGTACAAAAGTTCTAATGCTACAAAATACTGTCTGGAGATTACCATTAATTTTCCTGTATATGAGACAGAAAAATCTCTACAATTTCTACCCAGCTTTCTGTGACCTTTGGGCCTGGTGAGCTAATAATGAAAAAGACATTTGAAACAAGCCTTTGGGAACATTACTTCACAAACTGTAATGACAAATGCCTTGTAAATCTAAGTCAAGAAATGTATTACTCTCGTAAAGAAGCAACTGATAAAGATATGTACTGATCTACAATATTTATTACCTGGAATTTCCTCATCAGCTACTTCCAGTACTGCACTTTGATCATTCTCTGTTTGGACCAGCCACTCAGCCACACGTGAACAAAATGCTTGGAGCACATCTTCGTCAACCTCATTGACCCTAAAATAGGACAACACAGGTAATGTAACTGATTTTAATACAAACTGCATATGTGATATCTTTACAGAGTGATAATCCAGTCCATATATATATAAATTATATATCACAAATGACTGAGAAACAAATCAGGAGTAAGAGTGCTGTGTGAGTTTATTTCTATTTCTTTTTCCACATCACTTTATTTTCTGTCGAGTGTGAAGTACAGTTGACATTTAGCTCTAGTCCTTAGCAAAACACCTTTCCTTATTCATACTGCTAGTTTAAACATGTGCTTCTGATCAGTGGACCGATTCGGATAGCAGATGTTTATAATCACTAGTTCTTACTAGTTACCTACCTCTGTCTCCCATTATTCATGGCCCTGGCATGGAGATATTTTTTTACTGCAAATATCTGAGGTTTATTCAGGTATGGTATCCCATCATAAACATACTGTAAATTATAAAACAAGAATTCTCCAAGTACCAACTTTTATGAATCCTGTGTTTCCCTATTCACTATATTCTCCACATATCTCCAAACACATGAGTTTTATGATGAACAATACTGTATATTTAGGTATTTTTTGAGGGGGATGATATTTTTGCTATTTCCTGGTGTATTAATATTATCCCTGAAATTTGATTCAAGAGTAGAACATCAGTAAATCTAATATTATGTACAATATAAACTGCAAGTAAAAACTGTTGTCATGTTAGTATTGTCACTAGCTTGCTTGTTTGTATCCAAGATTAACTGCTCATTTCCGCAGAATAAATAATGATCAGTATTTACAATTTTGGTACACCTTTAGAAATGGAAAGTTTTTGTAAAATTTCTTTGAAATTGGTTTGGGAGTGTCCCAGAAGATGTCGAAAATAATAAGAGTTTATGATGCATGATGCACAACTCATGATACACAATGCCACTGTTGCACTGTAAAAATAACAAAAAAAGGGAATTTAGACCTAAGCGAAAAAAAAATTGTTATACAAAACAAAAACAAAAATAGGGAAATTTAGATACTGGAAAAAACCTTCATACAATTACACTTACCTTATTGAAGTCAAAATCATACTTGCATAAGAATTGGAAACTGGATGCCTGAAGAAAAAATGATTGTGATAATGTAAATATTTGTTGCAAAAACCACTGAAACAAAAATAAATATTGAAATTCGACACAATCAGGAAAGATTATTCAGAACTAGCAAAGTTTTTAACTTAAACACTGTTATGTATAATGTGTCCACACTCCTGGACTTCAATACAAACAATATTGAGTGACTGAGAGACACACACACCTACTGACAGATTAGTTCAATGATGTATCCTTTACTTTCCAAGAGTATAAGGATAAGCTACAAAAATCACCAGAGTAAATCTTACCTGAACAAGGAAGCGGACATCAACAGGCCCAAAGGAAGGTGGGTAGAGGTAAAAGTTAAAAGTTGTGGCTAGGTAACTGCAAGTAAAACACAACATATGTTACAGTTCCAGAGGACAAAACATGTAGCACTTGGAGCAACACAATTAGAGGCACAATATACACTGAACAAAACACAACACAAACACAGCACACACTGGATAAAACACAACACAAACAAACACACACTGAACAAAACATGACATGTACACAACACAGACTGGATAAAACACAATATCAGCAAAATAAGCAATTAATACAACACAACATACAATACACACTCATTAAGACAAGACATTGATTGAAAGTAAAACACAGATACAAAGACTGTTACTTAACAAAAGAAATGGTTTATGTAAGAATGTTACTTAACAAAAGACATGGTGTATGTAAGAATGTTACTGAACAAAAGACATGGTATATGTAAGAATGTTACTGAACAAAAGACATGGTGTATGCATTGTATAATGAAAAACAATCACTTTATCAAACTTTAAACTGATAAAATTTGTCTGTATAAAGTGATTTTTTCACCTTTAACATTTTAGTACCATATACAGATTTATAAATATCTCCATGTCTCCTTAGTGCTGGAAAAAAATATAAAATCTGCAGTAAAATGCTTATATAGTTACCTGTTGCTGGATTGCCTCCTGAATGCTGACAATCCTGAAATCAATGAAAATAACGACAAATACAAACGAGCTGTGGATTAGATTACAACACATGAAATAACAAGAGGCCTAGCCACCGTGATGGTAACCTGAGATAAGCAATATTGAATATAAAGGTTAAAGGGTAAGTAGCTTTCAAGTGTCCTGAAAAAGGAATTGTGACATTAATGATAGTAAGCCAGTGAATATAATCAACCAGTGTCAATACCTGCATACCATCAAAACTGTCATCCTATACTAATAATTCTTACAAAATTATTTCCAGTTGGAAATTAACAATGTTATGCTCAAAAATGCATGTGAACTTTAAGAAGGATATAACATCATAGTTTCTTTCATTTTCACAACTTTTATTACAAGGTTACAACAATTTGTTACCCAAACAAATATCATCTATAAAATTGTAAAATTTGTTAAAAGTTCTACAGCTAATTATATTCATGTGCTTTCAACCAAATGTTATTGAAATTTCTTCTACATCTAAATACCATGTGCATTTCTTAACTATTCATATAAGAATCCAATCGCACATATAAGAATCTATATGTACCTGTTGGTATTACTTGGGTAACACAAATGTTATGTATACCCTGATATCAAAATAGTCCACTGAAGCAAACAATATCGGTCAGTACCTATAACTTCACTGGTGAAGCAACTCTAGTCACATTACTGATGCAAAATAGTCTGTACTCTCTATAGCACCAGGACATTACACATTAAATCAATTAAGGATGAAAATTGGGTCTGATTTAGCATAGGTAACTCCGAGGAGAAACTCCAGATCTAGTACAGCACTAGGACAACACAAAGTAAGCTAGTAAAGGATGAACATCAGGTCTGATTTAGCATCTACAACATTCTCTAGCTCCCAGAAATTCTAGTTAGATCACTGATGCAAGTATAAACCTTGTAGTGCTAAATTTTCATTGATGAAGACAATGTTACCTTGACCTTAAAACTCTGATAAAAAAATTACCAACTTTGCTGAGCAAGGTGATAATAATTGTCAAATAACACAAAGATATACATAGTTACCTATCTGTGTTATTGTGGACACAAAGATATACATAGTTACCTATCTGTGTTATTGTGGACACAAAGATATACATAATTACCTATCTGTGTTATTGTGGACACAAAGATATACATAATTACCTATTTTTGTTATTGTGGACACAAAGATACACATAATTACCTATTTGTGTTATTGTGGACACAAAGATACACATAATTACCTATCTGTAGTATTGTGAACTCTGACATGGAACATTTCATTTTCTGGTATCTCTCCTCAGTGGTATCAAACAAACTGTAAGGAAAAACAAGACAATTCTGCAAAGTTCATTCCCTTATAGATACACTTCCAAACCAAAGTGAAACCATACCCCAAATATGTAGAGTAGGAGATAGCACCCAGACAAAATACTTCCTCTGTATAGGTTAAAGGTCAAAATGTATTTCAGAGTGACCTGCTTTTGATACAAGATACACTGCCTTACCAAGCTGAACCCATGCTCTAAGTATGAAGTGCCAGTGACTTGCAGTGTTGGAGATCAAGCACAAACAAACTTTTTATCTGATATAGGTCAAATATAAAAATATAGGTCAGAGTGATCTACTTTTGATATATGACACAACATCTCATGAAGGTGAAGCAATACTCTGTTCCTGGTGGGGGACAAATTAGGATCAAAGGTTATCAAATAAATCCCTGAGAAAAACTTTAGCCATAAACAATTTTAGTACCAGAAAAAAATGTAAAGAGGATTAAGTTTGGTATTGACAGATCAAAGATGAATAAACCCCAGAAAACTTATGTTACATCCAAGAAAGAAAAACCTTAAATCCCAGAAGGATCTTGGTATCCATTAACATTTGATCTTTATTTAAAGTCAAGTCCTTTTCTTAATCAAATGAAATTTGAAAATTTCTTTTAAGAAATACTATAATAACCTTTAAAAGTCAAATCCATGATGGCCATCTGTCACCTATTTTATTTTTCTGATCAGTCCCTTGATCAGAATGGCGCAACTATGGACCAAGGGAAACCTATATATATTTAGTTTGTGACAGATCTATCTAGAGCTGAAATGAATTGCAGATTTTTATATTTGAATATTAGTTCAATGTATCTGAATGAGATTCAAATATTTGGATGGTAGTGTCGTCAATGGTATATGTACATGTACATATGCTTAACTTAATACCAGTTATCTCAGTAATTAATATTGCTTTATTTAACATATGAATGGGAGAAAACATGCCGAAATATCTTCAATTAGAATTGGGAAACACATAAAAAAACATCTGAAGAGCAAGATGTAAAATAAAACTCAAGGTGGATTGCACAGTGAAAATCTATCTGGTGACCTGCTTGCTTGCCATTACTTTGTCATCCAAAGAGTGAAGACAGAACAATTTGTTGGTAAATCCTGGAAATGATCTAGATTTGATGCAGTCAATACATTGGTTAAGTAAATCTGCTCCACACATTTACATATTGAATCTACAACATGCGCCGATATGCTGAAATAAAATGACAATACAAAAAGCTCACATGGTGAATTTCACAAGTCATTTGGGTGCTTTTACTTAACTGCACTTAAGCATCTGTCATTTGAATCTTAATTACCTCGAAGTAACAGGATGTTTGATCCAAAGATTTTGTCTTTATGATAAAACGACCAAATGTAGCTCAACTTTACCAACAGATCTTTCTGAATTCAATAGGAAATGTTCCTAAACCTAACTTTAGTGTTTGTCCACATTTGTGATAAGGGGAGATAAATTGTACAAAATGTTCAAATACCATTTCCCTATTCGAATGTTGGAAAATGATTATTCATATTCAAATGTTTGAATATTCATTTCAGCTCCTGAACTATCCCAAACCTCTACCAATAACAAATTTTCAAAGTCAAAATAAAAATGAGCACCTACCAGCCATTTTGTTTTTCTCATCAGTCCCAAAATCAAAAGGGTAAAACTAGGCACCAAGGGAAAACAACATAAAGCTGAAAAATATCCATCCAATCCTTCTCAAGAAATAGCAATAACAGGATTTCATTGTCAAAATTCAACATAGCTGCCTGTCAACAATTTAGCTTTTCTGACCAATCCAAAATCAAATTGGCACAAATGATGACCAAGGGGAACCTACATATAAAATTTGGAAAAGATTCATCTAGTACATCTCAAAAAAGCGCAATAAAAGATTTCTTTATACAGGACTTACTTTGTTCTTTCCTTGGCACTTTTCTCCAGCCCTGTAAACTCTGTGTCGACTGCTGTAATGTAAAGCAAGAATTTATCTACTTGGTAATGTAATTATAGTGCTTTGATTCAATAATGTTATAAAACAATACTGTTACTTTCATAGATTGATCATGGTTCGATTATAAATTAAAAAAATTCAAGACAGTTACCATAAATTCCAGATCTGAAAAGGATGAAATATAAATGTTCATTTACAAGTTTAACAACAGACAATCTGATATCTCTTTGTTTCAAAAGTTGTCAAGAGTGGCCTTTTACCTTTGACCCTTTAAAGTTGACAAAACTTTAAGGTACCAAGACATATGCACAGACAGGTGCAGAGACAAAGTACCACATGTATAGGTATAATCTTCCACTAAAAGTAGGGTGCAAGATATTTCTAAACAAAGAATTTTACGGAACATCTGAAGAAATCATAATATGATATTAAAGTTAGACTTTTGTTAGTGTCCGTGAAAGAAAAGTGAAAAACACATTCCTGGCGAGTGATTGAATTTACATTAGGAAAATACTTTCTTGCATACTTTTACAATACTGGTAACATTTTGTGCAATATCATTTGGGGAAGCCATTACATTAAGCAAAAAAGTTCATCTCATACGCCAGGAATAAATAGATTTAGCAAGACTGAAGTGCATTGTGCAACACAATTATGCGGGACCAATTGAAATTCATAGTCTCATCGACCGCGGCAGGCACATGTAAATCGGTGTACCTAATAAGTGTCCTTGGAGGAATCTTTTGTATAATATACTTTACATCAAATATAAATAATTCCTAAGAAGTTTGGAGTAGATAGAAATATTATAATTGGAGGTGATTTATATTATTTAGATACATATATTTATTTTTTAAATTTTTTTATCACCAACATATCTTAAAAAAATATGGGCTCTTATGTAGAACCATGTCCTTGTTGCAGAGTCTGGATACATTCTCATTCTCAGAATTTAAGATTTGCTAAGAGTTCTACAATTTTACATATTTAATCTGTAATTATCCCCTGTGTTTGTAAATTAACCTACTCAGTGTGTTCTCCTTTCTCCCACTTTTTCCAGATCAAAGGGATTATATAAACATTGGGAATCAATAGAGGTCTCATTATAGTTTACTCCATGGCTGTTTTGTGTACTGCATTGTCATGTGTACATGTTAACTTCAACGGTGCATTTGAATACTTTTCAGTCTGTAAACCAGAATTATTTTTTTTTTGCATGTTGTTAACATAGGTATCAAGTGTATAACACAAAAAGAATTATGAAAAAATCACAATTGATGAAATGCCGTGCGTGCGAAAACTTCGCTGGACACTCACTCCTGCGAGGTAGCTCAGTATATTGTTAGTTGTGCACGCTACTCGTCATTTAAACTGATTTTTTGCATATTGGTAGACAATGATATAAAGTATATAATATATCAAGAATTATCTAAATATCTTGATTTATGAACTGCTGGTCACCAAATATGTCACAGGGCACTCATCCCACTCAGGACACAATTAGGTACACACCATTTATATATAATCAAACCAATGCATTGCATCACATCTAAATAAACTCAACATTACTCACCTATGAAGTCGGCACTTTTTATACTGCTTTCGATAAGTGGAAGATGTTCTTCGAATGTTGACTTGAGTACTTCAACCATTGTTGCTTGTTTTTTTTTATACAAACACAATGTGTAGTTTCAATCTAACTAGTCATTTTGACCCTTCTCTGTTCAGCACATGTGTATACAATTAGAGTTACTGCCCCTTGACGGATAGGTTTCCTTACGGAGAAATGTCAGTGTACCCTATTGGCTAAGAGACTGTCTATGAACCAATTGAATCTCTTGTATTAAATATAGCTAGGAGATAGAATAGCATCGCAATGGCGGAAAATTTGACAGAATCACGAGTGATCTGGTTGTAATATGTTGTGAATATGCTGTCTTGAAGGAATATTTGATTTGCGATGTTGCTGCTTTGTATATTTGTACTATTTTTAGGACTTTCCACAGTCCAAGGACAAGGTAAAGATTGATTGTTCTTTATAAACATTGGAAAAGTTATTCACTACTGTAGTCTTCACACGAAGACCTACAACACGAGATTCGTAATTGACCATACTCATTATTGTGTTCAAAATGATGATTAACATAAACCGCTCTTACCAGCGTTATTATAGTAACGTGTCTTCTATTTCAACTCACTCCGACTTGAATTTCAGTTATCAATTGGTAGTGGCATTATTCTCATTCTATCGGATATCGTGTCTGAACTTGTTCCATTTCTGCTGTTGTCACAAAATTAATATGCATTGTTTATTATTGGTTGACACTGATGAGACATAACATGACAGTATATATCATAAGGTTTTCATTAACTTGGGTGTTGGTAAAGAGAGAGAAATAATAAAAATACATAATCTGAGTTTAATTTTGTGTCGAACAGGGAGAGTGTATATTGGGTATGCTGGCAGTTCTGTGGTGCCTGTCCTCCGATTTTCCAGCAATGATGCTACACTAACAGTTCCAGTGTATTTACAAGTAATGAATGCCACAGATGTTGCTGCCGTAGAAAGTCTTAATCCTAATGTAAGTTGTGGTAATTGATTATCAGAATTGTTTATGTACATTTTTGCATGAACATAATTAGCGTACTTCGGTGTACTGCTTCCATTTGATGTTGACATTAAAGTTCAAACTCCTTTATTTTCATAAAGAATTGTAATACTTGCGCTTTATATTCATTTCAATGGAATTACAGTTTACAAATTTAATTGCTTAATAAGGTCTACACACACATAAAACTTTGCCTCCAATGTAAAATGTTGAAAAGTACAGAGTCCATAGTCTCTGATAGTCTCTGTTTCAATCATAAAGGCTGATACTATGTCTAGGGCACACATTTTCTGGCCAGTTGAGTCTCCTAGCAAAATTAGATAAAAATAGTGAATTTTAAAATATTGTGATAATGAGTTTGCACTTAATTTTTTGTTCCAGATGATCTCCTGCAGAATATATTATGTGAAAGTCCTATAACAATCTCTTATTTGTTTTATTTAGTAAACAGAACAGCATCCAACAGTTTTCCAATAGTTACACTTTTTTCCTTCAAAGTAATATACTACATAATGTATTATAGATAACTTCTTACCTCGTACACAAACAATGCTTTTGATCAGGTCTAAGAAGTATTTATTTGGTAGTTTTACCTTTAAAATGTGTGATATATTTTGTACATTGGTGTATAGGTGGTGGTGTCCTGTGAGCTGAGCTACCCTGTTGAAGGTTACAGTAGAGCCAGTTTTGTTGATGTTACTGTAGGCAACACTAATACCAACAGCACTGTCAATTTTAAGTAAGATTTTTTATCAACAACTTTTAGATGGTGATTGAAAGTTTTGATGAATTTTTTTCACAAGAAAAACAGAATCCTTGGGTCAGCCCAAAAGAGCAATTCATTGTCCTCACATAGGATTAAAAACTTAGCTTTCAGTTTGTAAAATGTATAGGTATTAAAGACAAATAAAAAATTGTATTTGCATGAATGAAAAGAACCTATAAGCTCAGTTTTTGTAATTTGATATTTTTATCAGCGGTAATTTGCCTGCACTAAGATTAAAATCTAGGACCTATGGTGTATCATTCTTATGCTCAACTGGTTAAGCAATGAAAAGTTCTTTCTGGCTGAGCAGTATATTGCAGCTAGTATTTACCAAGTACAAATTTGTAAGTGTCTGTTCAAATTATGATTTTGTGCATCTTTTTAAACCTACATTTCAGTATAAATAATCCTGGACGCACCTTAGATGTGCGATGCTTTGGCGTTTCTAACAATGGCTTGTTTACAAAGACTGGATCCATCAGCTCCCCAGTGTAAGTTATGTTACTGGTTAAGTTTAACATGTAGTCGATATATATATGTTTTAAAACTTGCTTGTGAAGATGCTTTTGTAACATAACCTAAACCAGTTTAAATTTTCCTGTCTTAAAGGGGTATTGATTTGAAGGCTTTATCAGCCTATCATCATCAGATAGTGGCTATTCAAATCACCCTTCAACCATGGTCGATCATCAGCTGTCCATCTGTCTGTCCTTAAATAATCCTTGTTATTGTAATTTCCTGCGAAATACTTGATGCATTATTTTTATTTTTGATATGTAGGTTCCCCTTGGTCTCTAGTTGTGTACTGTCCCATTTTTTGATTAGAAAAACAAAATGACAATCTTGGATTTTGACAGTAATATTTTATTATAACTATTTCTGGAAAAGTATTGGACGGATAATTTTAAAATTTCATATGTAAGTTCCACTTTGTCCCTAATTATGCTTGGGACTCATTAGAAAAACAATGGTCGACAGACAGCCATCTTGGATTTTGACAATACAGTTGTTATAATTTGCTATCACTGTTTCCGCAGAAGTATTGGATTGATCATCTTCAAATTTTTTATACAGGTTCCCCTTGGTCCCTAGATGTGTACTACCTTTGTATTTGATTTTGAAATAGATTAGAAAAATAATGTAGCCAACAGGCAGTTTCTTTGGATTTTGACAGTGAAAGTTTGTTATGGGTTTCTTCATCAGAACCATTTTATGAGTCTTTTTCAAATTTCATATGTATTTTCCCCTTTCCCTAATTGTGCCTGTTTGATTTTGATACTGTGATGACATAAACAAACAGGTGTCCATCGTAGATTTTGACAATGAATGATTTTTTTACATGTTATGTGTTCCTAGCTTCCATACACTCCAAGTTTTTCATAATATAACCCAGATTTTCATTCAGTGTTCTCCATACACCAGTGCTGTAGTATATTCTGTTAACACCCAGATATATTATGTAAGTGACCAGGTTATTTTTCTTTCCTTTGAGGATTAGAAAAATAAGAGAAGTAAGATATATTTCACCTTGAAGATTGCAAGGCTTGTGTAATTTAGTGTTGTCTTGTCCAAGCTTGACAATTTACTTATTATTTCTATTATATGTCATGTATATTACATTATCCTTGTCTTATCATTATAACTTCTCCAAATAAAACTGTACTGTCAGTGACACAGACTCTGTTCTGTTAGGGTGAAGGCTTCATTTAAGTGCTTTCATGTTTCTGTTTGTATTTCAGCCCGTTTACCATTGTTACTGCCCCAAAAGTCAGTATTTGTACAGATGGTGGGGTGGTGGTACAGAACTTGCCACGAACAACAAAGCAGAGCTTTCTGGTAGGATTTAGGTAAGCTACAGTATAATGCATTTATTAAAAGAAAGAAACATTGCAGATTTCATTACAGTAATTAAGTATATTTCAGATGCCTGGTTCAGGAAGTCCCTGTAGGATTTTTATATAGGTATTTCATTAATGGGGACCTTTTCAGATTAAATGGGATCCTTCTATATATCTGAAATAGAATTCATGAAAAATTATTGGAATCCTTTTTAATTTCTATGGACCCAAAGTCTATAGGGACAGCTTATACACAAACTCATTCACCCACACACTAACTCATTCACCCCCATACTAACTCATTCTCATTCACCCACACACTAACTCATTCACCCACACACTAACTCATTCACCCACATACTAACTCATTCTCATTCACCCACACACTAACTCATTCTCATTCACCCACATACTAACTCATTCTCATTCACCCACACACTAACTCATTCTCATTCACCCACACACTAACTCATTCACCCACACACAAACTCATTCACCCACACACTAACTCATTCACCCACATACTAACTCATTCTCATTCACCCACACACTAACTCATTCACCCACACACTAACTCATTCACCCACACACTAACTCAAACTCAATCACACACACTAACTCATTCACCCACACCCACACACTAACTCATTCTAACATTCACCCACACACTAATTCACCCACACACTCATTCACCCACACACTATTCACTCATTCACCCACACACTAACTCATTCACCCACACACTAACTCATTCACCCACATACTAACTCATTCTCATTCACCCACACACTAACTCATTCACCCACACACAACCCACTCACAAACTCATTCACCCCACACACTAACTCATTCTCATTCACCCACATACTAACTCATTCTCATTCACCCACACACTAACTCATTCACCCACACACTAACTCATTCACCCACATACTAACTCATTCTCATTCACCCACATACTAACTCATTCTCATTCACCCACACACTAACTCATTCACCCACACACTAACTCATTCTCATTCACCCACACACTAACTCACCCACACACTAACTCATTCTCATTCACCCACACACTAACTCATTCACCCACACACAAACTCATTCACCCACACACTAACTCATTCACCCACATACTAACTCATTCTCATTCACCCACACACTAACTCATTCACCCACATACTAACTCATTCACCCACACACTAACTCATTCTCATTCACCCACACACTAACTCATTCACCCACACACTAACTCATTCACCCACACACTAACTCATTCACCCACACACTAACTCATTCTCATTCACCCACACACTAACTCATTCACCCACATACTAACTCATTCTCATTCACCCACACACTAACTCATTCACCCACACACTAACTCATTCACCCACACACTAACTCATTCACCCACACACTAACTCATTCTCATTCACCCACATACTAACTCATTCTCATTCACCCACACACAAACTCATTCACCCACACACTAACTCATTCACCCACATACTAACTCATTCTCATTCACCCACACACTAACTCATTCACCCACACACTAACTCATTCACCCACACACTAACTCATTCACCCATTCACCTCATTCTCATTCACCCACACACAAACTCATTCACCCACACACTAACTCATTCTCATTCACCCACACACAAACTCATTCACCCACACACAAACTCACACCACACACAAACTCATTCACCCACACACAAACTCATTCACCCACATACTAACTCATTCTCATTCACCCACACACTAACTCATTCACCCACATACTATTAATCTTTGTTACTGTTTGATTTGGATTTGATGATACATCCAAGATAGAGGTAATATTGATGTTAGGAAAATAAAGTGATATCAATGCTATTGACAGTGGTATTTCAGATAATATAAATATCCCTTAGACCTGCACATGACGAGAAAAGAAATGTTCTTTCTTTCACTTATAAAAAAAAAGATTCTAACATTGATTTTAGAATAAAATCTGACATCTGTTTTATTAGTGAAGCCACCTTGGGTCCTGTAGACATCATCTGTATAGTAGGTAAGTAAATGTCTTTACTTACAATCTTATAGCCATGGTCAGGTAGTTGAAAAACATGACTTTCTTGCTGGAATCCTTAACATTGATAGTTTTTATATGAGAATAAACCTGTGAACTAATGAAATTGTGTCAAAGTTATCCACCTTTACAACATATTACTTTAATAAGTTTTAGAATTGGTCTGCTGATATGTTTATTGTTTAGATTACTTTGGGCCAAGTGAGCTTATACCATGGTATATCATCTTCCCATTTGTCTATGCAGCATCAGCTGTTTCCATTAGATGACTTCTTCTCATTGACCAAAAGGTCAACAATTATGGTACATGTATTTGGCTGGAAGGTTCTTTGCATGAAGCTGATAAAAACTGCAAAAGAAATGACCATGACTCATTATTAAGATCACATGTGTGTCAAATTTGTAACAATAACCCTTCACACAACTTCTTTTGATGAACCAGAAGGCCTAGAGTCATGTTATTTGACTTGAAAGTTTTATCAGACAAAGCCTGGCAAATCTTGGAAGTGAAATAGTTTTGACCCATATTCAAGGTCACAGGTGTCAAATTTGCTAAAGCTTCAAACAACTCCTAACAATAAACTAAAATGTCTCGAAGCATAATATTTGAGTGAAAAGTTCTTTGAATGAATCCATACAGATTTGTTAAATGAAATAACCTTGACCTTTACTAAAGGTCACAGAAGTCCAATTTATAAAACCTTCCAACAAATTCTCCAATTATAACAAGAGATGAAGCCCAGTAAACTTTACAAAGGCAGAAATGACCTTGACACTTATTTAAGGTCACAAGGTTCAAATTTGGTGAAATCTTTAAGCAACTTCTGCTTATGAACTAAGACTTTGATTGTCAATTATATAAAGTGTTAATGTACTGGTATATGTAAATTAGAAGCATTGAATATGTAGGGAGCAGTTTATTCAGCTGTGAAAAAAAGTCTTTTTTTTAACAGTGTATGAATTAAAACATAAAACAGCATTAATACTGGAATTTCAGCTGGGAGTGGAACAACACAGCTGAACATTTCAACTGTCACGTCCAGTGCCAATGAAAACAGGACCACGGTAAGCTCATCACACTAATCATATTGATGATTTTATTTACTCTGTTTATCACCCTATGAAAAGCCAGCTTATTTTGAAGCAGAGTCTCCTTGTTTAAACACAAAATAAAATGAAGGAGGCCAGTTACATGCTATCCAGAGAAATTGGGGTAAAGTATTCTGCCCAAGGACACAACCATAATAGCACCAGGCCATTCATGATCTCAGCTTTTTGGAGAACCACCATCTGCCTTGTGTATTGATACTCATGATAAAGAAATACTAAGTACTCTATAAATAACTTAGGTGACTTTGTTCATATAGACTTTTAACCTGTGTTTATATAATTTAGAACTCTTTACTCATGTAGCTGTACTTTTAAGCCATGTTTATATATAATTGAGAACACTATACTCATATAGGTGTACTATTAAGCTTTGAGGGATGGTTGATAAGCTGTGAGCCTAGAGGAAGTTAAGCAGGGATGTCCTTTTTCAGCTCTGGTGTCATTTGATCAATTTATGTCGAAAAAGTAGCACTCTTAAGTAAACAGGGCAAGTGACTTTTTGCAAAATGGACAAAATTCCTGAAAGAGCAGTGAATCAATATTTCTATAAGAAAGATCTAGCACCTAAGGATACCCATACTGATATGGTAGCAACACTAGGGAATGATGCTCCTTCATATGCTACAGAGAAAAGTTGTACTGTAGAATTTAAGCATGGTAGGCAGAGCCTTGGGGATGATGCCTGTCCTGGAAAGCTTGTCACTGCTGCAACCCCAGAAATGGTCAGCATTTTCCATGATATTGTTATATACTGTAGCTGTACTTTTAAGCTGTGTAAGATGTATATATATCGTTTACAGGTGACTTACAGTCTGAATAATGCTGGCACACCTGTAACGGTCAGATGTTCCGGCCAATCGCAGGGAGGAACGAGACAGTACTTACATAGTACCTCTGCAGGTAAGTCAGGTGTTGTTTACATCTCTGTGAATCTGGAAACATGTCACCTCTACAGGTAAGTGAGGCATTCTTTACATCTCTGTGAATCTGGAAACATATCACCTCTACAGGTAAATGAGGCGTTCTTTACATCTCCATTAACGTAGAAACTATGAAATGTTGATTCTGATAAAATGCTTAATGAGGAAACAGGAGACTACTATATCAATATATATATATATATATATATATACAGCAAAAAGTTAAAACACTGGAAAACACAAAAAGTATTTTGTCCTAAACTGAATAGTCTTACCTAAAATTACCAGAGCTATGTTATCTCCAGTGTCAATATGACATCACAATCCCTATCTATGTAAATATGTAAAACATCTGAAGAAGAAATGAAAGAGCTTATGTTTTACATCATGTGTTTTACAATGTTTTAACTTTTTTTTTCTATATTTACTGGGCATGGAGAATTCACCACATTTTCAATATATATATATATATATATATATATATATATATTTACACACACTAAGAGATGGTAGAATGAAAGTCTGCCTTCCTAAAGTAAGTCTATATTAGATGGTAATTAATTCCACGATTTCTTTATTAAACTTCTGTACTAATTAAGCTGTGTAGTGTTATTGTCATTGCTTTTCTCATTCAGGGGATTTTGTTCAGTTTACAATGAATAGCCCACAACTGAGAATATATCCTCGATACATGGAGTCCACATCACCGTCCTTCAATGTAAGTCACACTGATGTTTAGAGTAAAGCTCCATGATTGAACCATTCAGACTTAACCTGAAAAGCTGGGTTTTTTTCCACTTTATGACACCCTAAAAACAATCTGTACATTGTAAATTTGTTGTTGATGTTTTCAAATTTTTCATAGCTTAAATGAAAAGCAGGGAAAATATTTCTCAAAAGCATTTATTATATACAGAATAATTAGCTAGAAATGAGATGTAACTCTTTATTCTCAAGAAAACAAGATTAAAATGTTTATTCTGTTGTCTGGTATAAGATAGGAGCCTCTGTGAACATATTTTTGATATTTTGTGGAATATAACACTGGATTATTACAATATCAGGCAATATTAAACAAAAATGTACTCGGGATTATTAAAATTTTACACTTACAAAGCAACACTAGATTTAAGACAGTCCTACTCTAAGAAGAAAACACTTGGACTGTTTGGACAATCTCTCAGATTGGTAAATATCACAGTAGAAATGTTTTCACTACACTATAAAACCAGATGTTTCATGTGTAAAATGTTAAAATATTTTATCTGGTTTATAGATGCTGGTGGTGGTGGAGTCTGCTCCTGATTCAGGGGTACCCCTACTAAGCTGTCAGGCCTCTGTCTTCAATAACACTCAACAGGTGGCTGAGGCCATCAACCAAACCAATCTGGCAGGCAATTGTCCCATAGCTACTACAACTACTACTACAACAAGTAAGAAGGGGTTTAGTACGATACTTTGATTAGATTTGTTTGGTGTTGATCTAACCTTATTCTGTTGCTTCTAAATTCTACTTATGTGTTTAATTACATGTAAATGTGTAGTTAAATCACAATTTTTAAAAAAATTGTTATGCAACACAATTTTTCATTGGATAATTTTCATAATCTAATCCCTGATATACTCATGTATTCTGATGTTGGCCCAAAGATGCTGACCATCTGTCCTGTAGAGGCAATAATTGACATTGGAGAAATTTATTATAACGACATGCAAGAATTTGTCATTGAAATATTCAGTGGAGAGTAGGATGTTGATAATCTTTATGATATATTCCAATACATTTTTCTATGCTTCAAGTGAGTTTGTCAGTGATGTCTGTAAACATGATGACCCTTACAGAAGATGATATTCACAATCCAGGGATCAACTTCAGTGAAAAGATCACAACGAAATAAAATGTCACATAGCATTTTCTCCTACCCTTACTGGATAATTGTATACAGAATGATACAGAAATCTCAGTGTCGATTTGAAAAAAAACATTACCACAACTTTGTCTTTGTCACCAGCTTCTCCTTGTACACTAAAAATCAATATAAACAACAAGTTAGACAGATAATTGATGCAGGAAAACATTATAAGCCTACTCATATGCTCCCTCATCCTGAACCAAATTAACTTGATAACTTGACTGGAAAGTGGCCAGAGTTTCTGTGTCATCGATTGTTGAAAGGATTGTTTTGATTGGCTAAGAATATGAGAGGTACCATTTTGAAAACAATTGTGCAAATCTTAGTTTTCATTAAATTTTATTGGTATTGTGGTAGTTACTTTTAGACTCAAATGATTTAGAATAAGGATAGTATGCTTGTTTTAATGCATATGCTGGAGACTAGATCCATGAATTTTGTCATTTTATCACTTGCCTGCATCTCATGTTAAAACTAAACTTAACGATCTTGTATAAAAACAAGCATGTCATCTCCTAATTATATTCCAATATACATTTATCATGACAATTATAGTTTTAAAAATTGATAATAGCAAATTTCTTTCCTTAATTATAAAAAGGTGGTTATTTGAAAAGTAGCAAATATCTTAAAGATACAGAATATCAGTTGAACAAAGTTCAAATTCATAGATCAAAATGAAATTACAACATCACCAAAACAAAAATAAATGGTTGAACATTGTTTTTTGGTTTTTTTTGTTTTCTGTAAGAAATTGATATGGAGTCATAGATTAAGTAAATTCTGTTGACTAGGAAGTGAAGCTGGAACATGGAAATATTGTAAACATAATTTTGAATATATAAGACAATAAAAAGCTAAGCCAGTTTTGCTCAAACTCTCATGAAGATAAAGTATGCCTTTATGAACATTTTTTTCTTATAGACTGCACTTCTGTTTTGCTTGGTTTTTCACCGGGGCCAAGATAATTTGATGCTTCAATGAAGAATATTAACTTTTTAAACTTGCCACAGATAAAACTTTAAGTTTGTTACTAAATGTACTTATTATCTTGTGTGTATGTTTGATTGATTTTTCATCCCTCATTTTTTCATCTGCCTTTGCTTCTTTGGAATTGTGTGACTTTGGTGAGTTTTCCACCTATGTAGGGTAGAATATCTGCACACTTTACTCACCCGCACTTGTGAAAGATTCATATGAATATATTGTACACAGAAAACAGCAGTTTAATACTCATACTGAAACTTTCAACTGTTAACTTTGAATGTTAATATATACTCGGCACCAATGAAAACGCAACACTAAAATTTTGGACATAATATATTCTTCACAACAAGGATTAGATTCTTATTCTGCTGTATTTAACCACAACACAATGCACAACAAAACTAACGAAATAATGGTCGAGTAATATCAACTCCTTGTCGTACCACAGGGCATTGTCGTAAAAGCATGAGTTTGCACGTCGGCGCTCTAAAGTGCGTTATATCCTTGCTCAGTCACTACTAGTGAACCATGTAGTTACAGGCAGACATTTTTCCGTCATCAATTTTTTAAATTGTCATCATTATTTGCTACAAATGCCTCGACTGACAGACAATGAAAGACACGAAGCTCGGGGTATGCTGGCAGGAGGGCTTTCTCAGAGGGAAGTTGCCAGGAGAATGGGTTGTTCTGCTTCCACAATCAATCGACTGGCAGAACGAGTGCGACAAACCGGATCTGTGAGAGATCGGCCTCGTCTGGGGCAACAGAGGGTGACGACGCAAACCAGGACCGTTACATTCGACTTAGTCAACTGCGACAAGAACGGCTACACAGACGATAGGAAGTCATGGCAGACGTTTGTCAGCTAGCACTGTGCGCCGTCGCCTTCGCACAGCCAGATTGGCGTCGCGCCGTCCAGTTAGAGGAAACGAATTGACTCAAATTCGCCGTCAAAATCGTCTAAATTGGACAAGACAGCGCCGAGGATGGACCCAACGTTGGTGGGCTGGCGTCCTGTTCACAGACGAATCGAGATTCCGCCTCAGAGGAAATGACGGTAGAATTTGAGTGTGGCGACGTCGAGGTGAAAGGTTTTTGGACTGCAGTGTAACGGAAACGGATAGGTGGGGCGGGGCAGTGTGATGGTGTGGGGAGTTATCTCTTTTGCATACCGTACCCCTCTATTAATTATTGACAGCAATCTAACAGCACAGCGCTACATCAACGAGGTCTTAACTCCTGCTGTTGTTCCGTTCTTTGCTGGACACCCAAACGTAGCGTTATTACAACAGGACAATGCACGACCACATACCGCTCGTATCACAACAGACTACCTTCAACATCAGAACATCACAACCCTTCCGTGGCCCGCGTTTTCCCTGGATCTTAGTCCGATCGAGCATCTTTGGGACCAATTGGGTAGGGCTGTGAGAGAGCGACCACAACAGCCCCAGACGCGTCGGCAGCTTGAAATCGCTCTTCAGGAAGAGTGGAGGAACATTTCTCAAATCAAAATTCAACGCCTTATTCGGTCAATGCCTCGAAGATGCCGCACTTGTGTCCCTGCAAATGGTGGGCACATTAGATATTGAACGTGGTAATTTTGATTTTGGGGGTATGGACATTAGTCACCGGAAATCAAAGTATTCCCATGATGTAGTGCTGATTGCATTGAGTGAATTTTGTTATGGACATAATCAACTTTTAGGTATTTTATTAAATATTGTATTCAAAACTATAACTGGTAAATTTTGACAGTAATTTAAAGGTGTTGCATTTTCATTGACGCCGAGTATATATATAATATGTATGTTATTGAAACAACAACTTCCAGTTTGATATAATCATCAGCCCACCACATTCAGGTGATGGGCTATTTGAATTACCCTATAACTGGTCTGTCATCCATCCGTAAACATTTAATGTATTGCATCTAATGAACAGTTGACAAGTTGTCATCTTGGATCTTGAAAATGAAAGATTGTTATCAATGTTCCTTGAGAAGTACTGAGTGAATCTTTCTTAAATTTCACATATAGTTTCCCCTTGGGACTGATCAGAAAAACAATGGCTGACAGGTGGCCATTTTATTTTATTTGATGATGAAAGCTTGTTAACACTATTTCTTGAGGAGTAGGGATGGATCCTTCTCAAATTTCATACGAAGTATTTGTGCCCTTTTTACTTTGACTCTCATCAGGAAAAGAAAATGGCTGATGGGCAGCCTTCTTGGATTTTGATATTAAAAATTATTATCTCAATTTCTTAAGAGAAATTATCAAATTCCTCATAACTAAAAGTAAAAGCTGGGGAAAGAAGCGGAAGAACTAACAAAGATCAAACAATAGTGAGTGCCAGGATCCCTCTTACAATTGTTATGGACATAGATATCAGTATGAAATTTGCCTTTACAGTATACCGTAAATATTCGCGTATAGTGCGCACTTTTTTAAGCTGAAACTGTCGTGTCAAAAAGGGGGTGCACACTATACGCAGGTACATGCCATTCCTGGGGTTATCATTCCCGAGTTCTGCATCCGCCATATTGGATTACCTCCCTTCACATAGTTATATGTAAAAGTCGTCAGTCTTATATGATAGTTTGGAGATAAAAACAACAAAAAAATGAAATAAAAAAATGTTTTAATCATCTGCCATTCACGCTAGCATTACGGTGAATCTAATTTTTTTTCGTTTCCCGTCGGTCTTACTATTGGTCGGGGCTATAGTAGTGTCTGAATTTCTGCCTCATTTTGATGCTGTATCTGTGGAATTCAATGAATCCGGAAGTTTTTAGGCGATTGTCGTTCTGTTCATAAATCGGACAGCCCATGCAAATGGCGTTCGCTGTTTCCCCATGTCGAAGTCGGTGTAAACAATCTATCATTAAATACCTTCGGATACCGCGATGGGTACAGATACCATGAAAGATCATGCCTATACTGAACAAACCACCTGCTTTTATGGGGACAAGGTAGGATTGAAAATGTTCAGACAGTTAAAACAACATCGTTTTCTGACCAATAGTACGCGTTCAGCCCAAGCCGGGTGTCATCAGTCTCCTCATACTCAACGTGTTAACTGTCATTAACCGTTAATTATACAATCAGCCAAGCCTTTCATGCTTGTTAGGTCACCTGGGTAAATTTGTTTACTTAAGGTAATTACATGTGTTAGGGTCACGCTCATTGTGGTTTCCTAATTATCAATGGATCAGACCACATCAAATGTTTCGTCGCAGTGACCCGTCAATTAATTTTTCTGTAGATTTTTTTTTTAAAATCTGATCTCCAAAAAGTACCTGCGCACTATACGCGAATATTTACGGTATATACAGTGCTCTGAAATAGTAATTATATTGTATTCTGTTTATAAAATAATCAGGAGGGTAAAGGGTCTTAAGATTTGATACAAAATTCAAAATTTCAGGCTTCACTTTACATCTACGTGACGTATCCTGCTTATTGTTTAGTATTAACAAATAGTGCTTGGTAAAGGAAGTGACATCTAGTGGGTGAGGTATTTATGGTTAAGGTATAATAAACTAACATAGTAAATCAAGATACACAAGTGAATTTCCTAGAATGTGCAATACCAATTTTTGAACAGTATTTCAATTCCATGTTTAAGAATGTCATTTTCATATAAACACTACTAGAAATAAAATTTGAGATGAAGATGATCAACTGGGAATACAGACAACTGTTAAATATTTGACCTTCACTTCTGCTGACCTGAGACTAGTTCTCCTGTTACTGATTCAGGACATGGAAGAAACCGTGAGCAGCGCTATTAAAAGAAAGCCAGTACCATACTGTTAGGCCTAAATAACTGAAATGTAGTCAAAAAGTGAAACTAGTAGTGCTATTTGGTCACTGATGATAGCTCTGGTCCAGCTCCACCTTATTATACATATACATATATATATATATATATATGTATATGTATATACAGTTTAACCTTGGTGATACATACATGTAGTGCTCTAACAAGTTGATGCTTTGATGAGAACTTGTAGTGAGATAAGTGTATATAGTATAACAAATGACTTTGATGAGAACTTGTAGTGAGATAAGTGTATATAGTATAACAAATGACTTTGATGAGAACTTGTAGTGAGATAAGTGTATATAGTATAACAAATGACTTTGATGAGAACTTGTAGTGAGATAAGTGTATATAGTATAACAAATGACTTTGATGAGAACTTGTAGTGAGATAAGTGTATATAGTATAACAAATGACTTTGATGAGAACTTGTAGTGAGATAAGTGTATATAGTATAACAAATGACTTTGGTGAGAACTTGTAGTGAGATAAGTGTATGTAGTATAACAAATGACTTTGATGAGAACTTGTAGTGAGATAAGTGTATATAGTATAACAAATGACTTTGATGAGAACTTGTAGTGAGATAAGTGTATATAGTATAACAAATGACTTTGGTGAGAACTTGTAGTGAGATAAGTGTATGTAGTATAACAAATGACTTTGATGAGAACTTGTAGTGAGATAAGTGTATATAGTATAACAAATGACTTTGATGAGAACTTGTAGTGAGATAAGTGTATATAGTATAACAAATGACTTTGGTGAGAACTTGTAGTGAGATAAGTGTATGTAGTATAACAAATGACTTTGATGAGAACTTGTAGTGAGATAAGTGTATATAGTATAACAAATGACTTTGATGAGAACTTGTAGTGAGATAAGTGTATATAGTATAACAAATGACTTTGGTGAGAACTTGTAGTGAGATAAGTGTATATAGTATAACAAATGACTTTGATGAGAACTTGTAGTGAGATAAGTGTATATAGTATAACAAATGACTTTGATGAGAACTTGTAGTGAGATAAGTGTATATAGTATAACAAATGACTTTGATGAGAACTTGTAGTGAGATAAGTGTATATAGTTTAACAAATGACTTTGGTGAGAACTTGTAGTGAGATAAGTGTATGTAGTATAACAAATGACTTTGATGAGAACTTGTAGTGAGATAAGTGTATATAGTATAACAAATGACTTTGATGAGAACTTGTAGTGCGATAAGTGTATATAGTATAACAAATGACTTTGATGAGAACTGGTAGTTGGATCAGCGCCAGGCTTCTTTTCCTTCTTGCAGAGAAGTAGTGTTGAAATGACATCTCAACTTTTTTAACATTTTATTTTTTTGCACAAAAATCATTTTGCTTTTCAGAGATCATTTGAATTAGGCACAAACATCAAATGTATTAAATATCTATATTTAGATAAGATAAAGAAAATCTCCAGTAGGTCTATATGTTGCCATGAGTAACCAGTAATTCAATATCATTATTGTGACATTCTTAATGGCCCGTCAACAAATAAAAGGTCATTAGGGCCATCAACCAGTAGTTAGTCAATATGTTGCCATGAGTAACCGGTAAGTAAATATGTTGCCATGAGTAACCGGTAGGTCTACATAATGCTTTGAGTAACCAGTAGGTCAGAATGTTGCTAAGAGTAACCAATAAGACTTTATGTCACTGTCAGTAACAAGTAGGTATATCTGTTGCCATGGTTAACCACTAGTTCTGGGTGTTGCCACGAGTAACCAGTAAATCTTTATGTCACTGTAAGTAACCAGTAGGTCTATCTGTTGCCATGGGTAACCACTAGTTCTCGTTGTTGCCATCAGTAACCAGTAAGTCTTTATGTCACTGTAAATAACCAGTAGGTCTGTCTGTTACCATGGTCAACCACTAGTACTCGTTGTTGCCATGGTTACTCATGGCAACAACGAGTACTAGTGGTTGACCATGAGTAACCAGTAAGTCTTTATGTCACTGTAAGTAACCAGTAGGTCTATATGTTGCCATGCGTTACCAGTAAGTCTTTATGTCACTGTAAGTAACCAGTAGGTCTATGTGTTGCCATGAATAACCAGTAAGTCTTTCTGTCACTAAGTTACCACTAGGTCTATGTGTTGCCATGAGTAACCAGTAAGTCTTTATGTCTGTAAGTTACGACTAGGTCGATGTGTTGCCATAAGTAACCCTGAGGTCTGTTACATTTTACAGCTTCTCCTTCTACTACTACTGCCTCCACTGACGTCTCTGGTCCAGCCTGGGGTGCCCTCATTACGGTAAATTTGTCATTTTGTGTGCTTTAATCAATGGCTGCTTTGTTTTAGTGAATATCAACTTAAAACAAGTAATTCAGTTCTCTTTTTCAAACATGCATACATTAGATACGGTACATTTACCTACTGCAGAAGTAAATGGACAGCTCACCTAGGTAGACCAGCTCAACTTTTACAGATGATTCAGTTTCATTGAATATGGAATAATGTAACAATTTTCTCTTGCTTTACTGCTGATTTTATAGTGAAGGTGAATATTATTTATAGAAAACCAATCTGGTTAATGTGACACGTCGTACTGGAGTGACATCTGCCGTCACAGAGTATGTTGTGGTTACCTGCTGTAGTACAAGTGGCACTCCTATCCTCAGTGATGCTGTGTTTGTGGAGGTCAATCTCACACCCAATGTGACACTAGACTGGAGCAAGGCTACTGGTAAGTTTGTGGTATTTGTGGAGGTCAGTCTCTCACCTAATGTGACACTAGACTGGAGCAAGGCTACTGGTATATTTGTAGTGTATGTGGAGGTTAATGTCACGCCTAATGTGATATTGGACTGGAGTAAGGCTGCTAGCAAGTTTGTAGTGTTTTGTATAGGCCAATCTCTCACCCAATGTGACACTAGACTGGAGTAAGGCTACTGGTAAATTTGTAGTGTATGTCGAGGTTGACGTCTCACCTAATGTAATAGTGGACTAGAGCAAGGCTACTATTAAGTTTATAGCATAGATACAGGTCAATCTCACACCTGATGTGCCTATCACTTTTTTGTAGATTAATCATTTTGTCAAGACCAGCAGTTGTCCAATGATTTTTATTGTCACAAAAATCAAATTCTATTTCCTCAAAGTATACATAGACAGCTTTTTCTGTACCTGTTCTGTCCTCTGTTCAATATATTAATGTGAAAATCTATTGTAATATCAACAGATACATATAGGTTTGTTTTTTTTTCCAGCACAATCTGCTGTTAATGCTGGCAGGAAGTACCAGAATCCAGCCTATGTAGATGTGGCTCCATGCCCTTGTGATTTGACCTTTGACCTCTGTGACATTAACTGTTGCTGTGATACGGTGAGAATTTAACTTCTGTGGAATTAATCGCTTTACTCACACTTAACTAAATAGGACCATGTGATCTCCATGATCTCAGTTGTTAATTTGATAATACTGTCCTCTTCACAGCCAATACTGATAACCATTCAACCTTTGATAAAAGATGAAATTAAATAGAAAAACCCCCAGAAAAAAGTTTTGCATTGGGGTAGAAGATGGAACATCTGTGTTCATTCATCTGGGAATGAACCTGTTTCTGTTTCAGAATTGCACTGATGCCATGAAGAGCTCGTTTTCCTTCTGTGTTCCTGGACTGGCAGGGGGAGAGACAGCCCCTGTACCGGAGTATGACTGTGACTCCACACATCCACTTAAGGATGACTGGTTTCCCCTCATGTGTGTGTATCGGGAGTACAATGCCCTGCTTGGCTACTTCTACGCAAACTCACTAAGTGTTCGCTCTTCACAGAGTTTTCAGGAGAAAATTTCTGGAGAAGAATTTTACTCATACAAGTAAGTTTAAAAGTACTAAGAGTGTTACTTTCCCTTGCCCCCTCTCCTTTTCACTTGTGAATCTCACTACTAAATGGTACACATATTTGATGGAATACCCTTGTGTGACAACTGTCCTGCTTCTGTGTGTATAGTGATCTTCTGACTCCAGACTTCTGTAGTGGAACACAACTGATAGGATTCAGACTCTATTAGAATTATCTGTAGGATCAGTAACATTAATATTGTATAAAAGAAACCATTGATACATTTCCAAAGAAATTGATTTCCCTGGGAAAGTACATTGTAGTTCTATGCTATATGTTTAAGATCTCTTAATAAAGATGTTAGTATTTAATCTGGAACACTATATAATATGTAAGCTCTATTTATTTTACATTGCAAAACATGCTCTAAACTTAAAGTAATCACTGTTGTTTGCCCGGATGCAAGGGGTCTTGTTGGAGGAAACCAGAGTACCCAGGGAAAACATACGTGGTCTGGCTGGTGACCTATTACCTTCTCATGTCTGTGCCGGGAATCAAACCCGGATTCCTAAGGGAAACACGAGTGTGTTATCACTGCACAACCCAACCACTCAGCACTACCTGTTTATAAATCACAGTCAATGTTAAACCTGTGCTTCTTGTTTTTCATTCAGGGAGGAAGAGTCGAGAACATCAGCTACTTTGTCAACAGCTTATAAATCAGGGACAACAGTGACTGTTAGCCAGGACGGAACAAGTCAGGAGTATACTGTACCGCTGGTGCTACCCCACCGTGTGTTGTCTGGCCAGTGTACCCTGGCATCCCCAGTCCAATACCTAGTGGATGATAACACAGACTGCTTGATTGACCTGAATGAGGCCTCGTGTTCAGTAGATGGGTCTTTTAATGCCTTATTTTATGTGGAGTCAAGTAGTACAAGGAGCCCTTCCTGTCCCAAACCTTTTGTGGTTCGTGGTAACAATGGATTGGAAAGTACAACCATAGCTGTGACATCTGTAAATTATCATTGTACTACTGACTTCACAGGATATATCAAGGATAACACTGTAACATCACCCACACGACCTACAAACACAACAACATTTAACTACACAATGCCTAGTCTGGCTGATCAGGATGAATGTGGAAATGATATAACTACTGACTTTAACACTATTGCTACCAGTACCTCTGACGAGACCACCCTCCCTCCACGCTGTAGTTTTGATAATGGATACCAACGTCCACCTGTTCCATCATTCGATAATGCTAATTCTTTGTGTAGTAACACTGTACTGGAGGTGCGTTACAAGTTCCTTTGGTCTGGGTCACAGATACTGCAACTGAATGCCACAGTGATCATGGGAAATGTACCTGTAGGCTCTGTGATCACCCAAAAATTCTCTACAGAGTTTATACACAGCTTCAGTGGTAACATCAGTCAGGATGATTATTTAGGCCTCGGAACAAGCTTTGAACGATCAGGCTGGCCTGGTAAGTCTAGCACTTATGTAGCCTTATCTATTTTGGAATAATGTTTCTAAATATGTCAATTCAAATGATGGGAAACCTTTCCATACAGAAATTATGTTACTAACATAAGTAGAGAGTATGTAATTTTTTCTGGTTGAATAGATATAACTTTCATGACAGATTCAGATTTTTCATATCATGTGGAAATCTCAAGTGAAAATGTAATAATACATGCTGTTGAATATGTGGAAAATGTTGATAACCTGTTTATTGAAGTTGTCACAAAACTGAGGAAGTTTTCATTCTGTAAATATTATTAATCTGTATAATTTATATCTGTCACAAACAGGTTATGACAAAGGGAAGCCACTCTTCACAGGATCAGCAATGACCTTGAATGATGGGGCATTCTATGTTAATCAGAATACAAGCAGGCAACATGCCTTGTGGAGCACTGGTAAGTACACACAACAGACTGGGATGGATTTGGTTAAGATATTTTCAACATTTTCTACTGGTTATGGTCTATACTGGTTAAATGTCTTTAGACTTTATTGTAATGAGGAGGAAATTGATAATAGCCAAAATGTCAGCGCTATTTTTAAGATGTAAATGTAATGTGTTTCAATGAGGGTAGAAACAATCATGTATTTAGTGTTGTTTAATATGTTAATGGACTGTGCTACTGTGAGGGTAGACACAATAATGTATTAACTGTTACAATGAGGGTAGACACAATAATGTATTTACTGTTACAATGAGGGTAGACACAATAATGTATTTACTGTTACAATGAGGGTAGACACAATAATGTATTAACTGTTACAATGAGGGTAGACACAATAATGTATTTACTGTTACAATGAGGGTAGACACAATAATGTATTAACTGTTACAATGAGGGTAGACACAATAATGTATTAACTGTTACAATGAGGGTAGACACAATAATGTATTTACTGTTACAATGAGGGTAGACACAATAATGTATTAACTGTTACAATGAGGGTAGACACAATAATGTATTTACTGTTACAATGAGGGTAGACACAATAATGTATTAACTGTTACAATGAGGGTAGACACAATAATGTATTTACTGTTACAATGAGGGTAGACACAATAATGTATTTACTGTTACAATGAGGGTAGACACAATAATGTATTTACTGTTACAATGAGGGTAGACACAATAATGTATTTACTGTTACAATGAGGGTAGACACAATAATGTATTTACTGTTACAATGAGGGTAGACACAATAATGTATTAACTGTTACAATGAGGGTAGACACAATAATGTATTAACTGTTACAATGAGGGTAGACATAATAATGTATTTACTGTTGTTTCAGATTTTAATGGACTGTGCTACTGTGAGGGTAGACACAATAATGTATTAACTGTTACAATGAGGGTAGACACAATAATGTATTAACTGTTACAATGAGGGTAGACACAATAATGTTTTTACTGTTACAATGAGGGTAGACACAATAATGTATTTACTGTTACAATGAGGGTAGACACTAAAGTATTTACTGTTACAATGAGGGTAGACACAATAATGTATTTACTGTTACAATGAGGGTAGACACAATAATGTATTTACTGTTACAATGAAAGGGTAGACACAATAATGTATTTACTGTTACAATGAGGGTAGACACAATAATGTATTTACTGTTACAATGAGGGTAGACACAATAATGTATTTACTGTTACAATGAGGGTAGACAATAATGTATTTACTGTTACAATGAGGGTAGAAACAATAATGTATTTACTGTTACAATGAGGGTAGACACAATAATGTATTTACTGTTACAATGAGGGTAGACACAATAATGTATTAACTGTTACAATGAGGGTAGACACAATAATGTATTTACTGTTACAATGAGGGTAGACACAATAATGTATTAACTGTTACAATGAGGGTAGACACAATAATGTATTTACTGTTACAATGAGGGTAGACACAATAATGTATTTACTGTTGTTTCAGATGTTAATGGACTGTGCTACTGTGAGGGTAGACACAATAATGTATTAACTGTTACAATGAGGGTAGACACAATAATGTATTTACTGTTACAATGAGGGTAGACACAATAATGTATTAACTGTTACAATGAGGGTAGACACAATAATGTATTTACTGTTACAATGAGGGTAGACACAATAATGTATTTACTGTTGTTTCAGATGTTAAAGGACTGTGCTACTGTGAGGGTAGACACAATAATGTATTAACTGTTACAATGAGGGTAGACACAATAATGTATTTAGTGTTACAATGAGGGTAGACACAATAATGTATTTACTGTTACAATGAGGGTAGACACAATAATGTATTTACTGTTACAATGAGGGTAGACACAATAATGTATTTACTGTTGTTTCAGATGTTAATGGACTGTGTTATAATGCTGGAAGAAGACCTATAATGTTTGGGGAGGACTCCTTTACAAGTTGTGATATTTACCTCACAGCTGCTGACTTATATGGAGATTGTGAAGATTTGAGGTAAAAAAAAAGTTCTTGAAGTGTTAATGAGAACATGGGGTGTGGGGTGTGGGGGTGTGGAGGGGTTATGTCTCTTTGCAACTCAGTCTATTGTTTTCTGTCTTTCTTATGAGGTCATGTGATCAAAAGGTGTTTTTTTTTTTAATTTATGAGGTCTGCAGTTAATATATTTATTATATAAATACAATGGAGTAAAATGCTTAAGACTTTGTCCTCCATTCAAATTCTTAAGATCAGACATGTTTCAATAACAAAAATATATGCGTGCACTTTGTTTGGGTATTGAGTTAGTATAATGTTCAACTATATTCTTCATTATTCAAGGTGACATGGGACATTTGATTCCACTTTTGCAGAAAGCATGCCAGAACAATGATATTATCTTAACATTGATGTGTTCTCAAAATGTTTATAAAGGCTTCAATCTCTTTTCTTACCAGGAAATTACTAATCAATCGCTTGAACAACCTGATGGCTGCGGACAGAATTGGACGATTTGGTAATAATAATCCATATGACAGTAGCCACTGGGTTACAGTTCAAAGGTAAACACATGATTGTTTATTTAGAATATGACTGTCAAAGATTCCTAGTTGTCATTTCCTTTGCAATCAATAAATGGAAAGTAAAAACATGAATGTTGGTTAAGTCAGTTCACCAGTTTCAATATTTGGAAATACGGACATGACAGTATTATGGTGTTTGATGACTCTACATTCCTCCATGGTGAATGCCAGTGATGTGTGGAGATTATCTCATATACTAGGTAAAACAACATAGTGTTGTAAGATAGACTCTACATGGGCAATTGATTTTCAGAAAAAATATGTGTTTATCACTCTAAGATGTCATAGAAATACTGGTAGAATCAAGATCCACTACAACAATGTCTAAATCAGTAGTGTGCTGAAAATCATTTCGGCCTGAAATTTCAAAATCATCTTAATTTGATAACAAGAGTAAATGAGTAACACTTATAAACGTTTCTCTGGAATTTGGTAGCAGATGATGATAATCAAATGTTCATTAGGCTGAATGGTTGATGACCTTTCAGGGGTAATCTTTCCTATGTGTGTGAGCGCCCGGTCAACTTGACGGATGCAGACGTGATTGCAAGAGAATCAAGTGGAATGTGTACTGATGTAGTGACAGGAATTAACTTGGAAATAATGTACGCAGAGACTGGAAAATCTGACTACCAGCCTATCTATGAGGTCATAGGCGCCTTTATCAGGTAAGACTTTAGTTATGTATGCAGCGATAGGGAAACCCAGTAACCAGCCCATCTAGATCATATAATTCTTTGTCAGGTAAGACTTCAGTTATGTATGCAGGGACAGGAAAATATAACACCCAGCCTATCTAGATCATATGTTCCTCCATCAGTTAAGACAGGGGCATATAGTGTTAATAATGTTTATTCATCCTGTTAATCGTGTCCTGTCCAGTTGTATTATGTTTGGAATCAATGTTGATTCTTCATAATCTTTCACCTCATAGCATCAAAACATCAGCTATTTGACCTGGGCATATTCTGGCTTACACTTTAGAGGGAATATTCATGTCTTTTAGACTTTTTCTGGTTTACCGATAAAGTAATTGTTAATTCATTGGTTCCATTATATAATTGGATTATTGTACATGTTACAGTTACACTAACATCACACTGAACCTGACCTGTGGTACAAGTGGAGATCCAGCTTGTCAGGGCATAGGAGTGCAGGCTTTCCCCATCCATAGCACAGTCAACTTTGTCAAGGTGTCAGCCCAGACTCCACCCAGAATTGACAGGTACCCTTATGTTGTTATCTTGTATTTGTTTACTAATGATGATTTACTAAGCAGGTGTTGCACAGTGGACCAGGGAAATTGAGTTATTTTCAGACAAATTCATCAATTACCTTGGAATACAAATTAATTGATACTTATTTCTGTAATAGACAAGATCTACCATTGGAGCACCCTCTTCTTTAACTTGATACATGCAACAAATACATTTTCAATGTCATTGAATGGGACCACAATGTATTCATATATTATTGAAAAACATTTCATCACAAATTCTGTTTTGTGTTTAGGTGGCAGGAGTTCTATGATGCTTCAATCTGCAGTAAAGACACATGCTGGGAAGAGCTTATATACCCCCTGTCTAGTGCCTATGATGGTTCCAAACAGTTTGCCCTCGCAATGGTCCTCTTACTCATCCTCTTCATCATCGGCTATCTCATGCTTGTCCGGCCATGGTGGTCCATCAATATATAGCACACAACACTGATCAGCTAGGATGTAGTCAGTGTTAAAAATGGTGGCACAGATACTGATTCTAATTGTTAACGACCAACACGGACACAGATACTGATTCTAATTGATAAGGACCAACACAGACACAGATACTGATTCTAATTGATAACGACCAACACGGACACAGATACTGATTCTAATTGATAAGGACCAACACAGACACAGATACTGATTCTAATTGATAACGACCAACACGGACACAAATACTGATTCTAATTGTTAACGACCAACACGGACACAGATACTGATTCTAGTTGTTAACGACCAACACGGACACAGATACTGATTCTAATTGTTAACGACCAACACGGACACAGATACTGATTCTAATTGATAACGACCAACACGGACACAGATACTGATTCTAATTGATAACGACCAACACGGACACAGATACTGATTCTAATTGTTAACGACCAACACGGACACAGATACTGATTCTAATTGTTAACGACCAACACGGACACAGATACTGATTCTAATTGATAACGACCAACACGGACACAGATACTGATTCTAATTGTTAACGACCAACACGGACACAGATACTGATTCTAGTTGTTAACGACCAACACGGACACTGACACTGGTTCTAATTGATAAGAACCAACATGGACAGACCGTTATGGACAATGCCCAACAGGATGTGAGTGATACTTAGACCATCACAATCAACTTTCAGATTCTAATACCAGTGGTGCTGAAGGCAGTATCCAGATCCTGTCTACAGTTTTAGTGCTATGGACTGGGAAAGGGGAAATAGAGATGTAAGGAAAATGGGGGGTAAGCAGAGATATATAGGGGCTGGTCAGGGGTAGGTAGAGATTTATAGATGTGATTCAGAAGGATAGGTAGAGATATATAGGTGGAGCTGGTAGGTGGGGGGGGGGGGGTAGGAATATATATTGGTAGAGGCCTGGAGGGTAGGCAGATATGAGTATGAGGTCGGGGAAGGAAAGATAAAGATATCTTGATGGGGATCAGTGGATAAATAAAGATGTATGGATAAAGTTGAAGGGGGGTAGGGGGAGGGGGCTGGGCGCTGAAGTTAGAGGAGAGGTTAGGTAGAGATATATGGATGGAGGTCATGGTTTTCGGGGCCAGAATAATTTCACACCCTGTCACTCATGTAATATCACAACTACCTTCCCCACACCCTTGAACATATTTCATCATATCACTTATTTATGAAAAATGTAACAAGACAGGAGTTGATCAACTGGATCATGTTTGTATGGGGTATGAATGGTGCAGAGACATGTCTGTATGGGGTATGAATGGTGCAGAGACATGTCTGTATGGGGTATGAATGGTGCAGAGACATGTCTGTATGGGGTATGAATGGTGCAGAGACATGTCTGTATGGGGTATGAATGGTGCAGAGACATGTCTGTATGGGGTATGAATGGTGCAGTGATTGTTGTGACCTCATTCAGTCCAGACTGACAATTTTATTATATAAGAAAAATACTTTGCTTTTTTTCATTTTGTGATCATGGTTGTTCAATTTTGAATCTAAAATTTCTGTTACCTAGGGTATTATGTAACATCTTGAAATCAAAATTCCAGTAGATACAATAAGCAAAACCTAGGTAAAAATGTTGAGATTTTTTCTTTGTGTATCAATTAAGCATGATAATAATTTATTATGTTGATATCTTTAAGGTCTCTGTGTTCTTCATATTACAAGTTATTTTTGGTTCATGTTTCAACATACCAGTAATAGGACTAATTTGTTTAGGAGTTTGATAGATGGTAAGGTGAGAGTTGAGAGGTCAGGTAGATTATATGGTGACAGGTTAGAAGGATTGTAAGGTGAGAGGTGAGAGGTCAGATGGATAAGGTGAGGTAGACTGAATTTGTCAGAGAGGAAAAGCTACACTGTGATATTCAAGTTTTGTCTGTATGATCTGTAGCACTACAAGGTGCCTAATTGCTACCATCACAGTCATAGACAACGATGTATAAATTCTCCGAAACAAAGTAACATTATTTAATATTGTTTGTGTTTAAATACAAGTCATCTGTGATGATTCCACATTCTGTCCCCCTGGCAGTGAGAATGTCATGTGAATCATATGATGCGTGAAAAATATGTGCTTTACATGATCAAATTTTCCATCTCTACAGAATCAACCACGCATGACATGATCAACGAAATCTGTAGGCAAGTTGTGAAATTTGCATGCAGAAAATGTTTTGCTAAGTGTTATGTTTAATTAAAACCGTCCTTAAGTTATGTTTTTTTTAAAGATTGTGATGGAACGCTAGGTTTGTATGGTCATTATCTCAGAATGACGTGTGTATGGTGTGATGAATGAAACAAACTTTTTTATGGTGAACTTATAGACTAGTGAAAAATCTCTTTATAACTTAATGCATTTTAAATACGAATTGAATAAATATATGTATTTTGTAGAAGAAATATAGTCTTCTGTGTTTATTTATTCAGTCTTGATAAGTAGCTAACCATAAACTTTAAAAAAATAATCGTTCAACATTTTTGTCATAAACAATACACAAAGGTGTATATGATTGCATGTTGTATAACCTTCAATTAAATAAAAGTGACATAAAACTGGCAATGTTTAAAATAATTTAATATGATAAATTATTCACCAAAATCACTAGACTATGATTCAAAATATTTTACAATAGTTATTTATCAGACGTGGGAAAACAATCTCACTGGCATACATATATGAACAGAGACTAGAGGTCAGGGGCCTTTTGTTTATGTATACAAATTAGTTCTTCAGCATTTTAAATGATATATTTCAAGTATAAATCAGAACATACCTGCCAATTCAAAGATTCTAAGAATGGAAAATCAGCAGGTCTGAACTTCTCTCATAAACTTACAGCTTTTGTCCAACTAGTCAAACCCAGAAAAAAAAAGGGCCCTGGACAGCAGTGACAGTTGATGTTGACACAAACTAGAATCCATTTAATACTATAAATATATTGTATAATTTGTATGTAGGTATAGGAGATTCTACATGTGAGGATTTAGGTCCCCACTTTTCCCAGCGAGTGATCCTCATCCTTCTAGTCTTAAATAACTTCTTGCTTACAGGAAATCAGTCACTCATTTTTTGAAGATTCTGTCTTGATAAAGAAACATCTGGTATGCTGTTTATTAGGAACAATGCATGTTAAGAGGAATCTTTGGTTAAACCCATTATAATACCATTGTCTTAGAAAGATAATGTAAATTTAGATACTATTTTCAGATATTTTCCACCATTTTCAGATCTTTACAAGTATTTATAAAACTTACTGAGATGATTTATAATGTTCCAACTAGTGTACCATACACAACATCTACCATTTGATGTCTTTAAGTCCATTGTTGCCCTTCATGCCACACTTAGCTCCAGCTACTCTACAGCCCAGGGTGATAGCGTCCTGTAAACTGCAACCTTGACAGAGAGCAAAGATGGTGGCGGCATTGAATGTATCGCCAGCACCAAGGGTGTCTACCATTGTCTCTGGAGGAAAAATGGGACTGGTACACAGGAAGCCGTCTGTGCCGAGGCCGGCAGCACCTTGGTCACCCCACGCACAAATCACCATGGCTCTGTTGACACAAAAATATCACACATCACCACAGCTCTGTCAAAACAAAAATATCACACATCACCACAGCTCTTGTCAACAAAAAAATATCACACATCACCACAGCTCTGTCAAAACAAAATTATTGCAGATCACCACAGCTCTTGTCAACAAAAAAATATCACACATCACCACAGCTCTGTCATCACAAAATTATTGCAGATCACCACAGCTCTGTCAACACAGAAATATTGCAGATCACCACAGCTTTGTTAACACAAATATACTACACTTATTCCCAGAAATAACAGCACTGTTATCACAGAAATATCACACATCACCACAGCTCTGTCATCACAAATATATCGCACATCACCACAGCTTTGTTAAATATACTACACTTATTCCCAGAAATAACAGCACTGTTATTACAGAAATATCACACATCACCACAGCTTTGTTAACACAAATATACTACACTTATTCCCAGAAATAACAGCACTGTTATTACAGAAATATCACACATCACCACAGCTTTGTTAAATATACTACACTTATTCCCAGAAATAACAGCACTGTTATTACAGAAATATTGCAGATCACCACAGCTTTGTTAACACAAATATACTACACTTATTCCCAGAAATAACAGCACTGTTATTACAGAAATATCACACATCACCACAGCTTTGTTAACACAAATATACTACACTTATTCCCAGAAATAACAGCACTGTTATTACAGAAATATCACACATCACCACAGCTTTGTTAACACAAATATACTACACTTATTCCCAGAAATAACAGCACTGTTATTACAGAAATATTGCAGATCACCACAGCTTTGTTAACACAAATATACTACACTTATTCCCAGAAATAACAGCACTGTTATTACAGAAATATTGCAGATCACCACAGCTTTGTTAACACAAATATACTACACTTATTCCCAGAAATAACAGCACTGTTATTACAGAAATATCACACATCACCACAGCTTTGTTAAATATACTACACTTATTCCCAGAAATAACAGCACTGTTATTACAGAAATATCACACATCACCACAGCTTTGTTAAATATACTACACTTATTCCCAGAAATAACAGCACTGTTATTACAGAAATATCACACATCACCACAGCTTTGTTAACACAAATATACTACACTTATTCCCAGAAATAACAGCACTGTTATTACAGAAATATCACACATCACCACAGCTTTGTTAACACAAATATACTACACTTATTCCCAGAAATAACAGCACTGTTATTACAGAAATATTGCAGATCACCACAGCTTTGTTAACACAAATATACTACACTTATTCCCAGAAATAACAGCACTGTTATTACAGAAATATCACACATCACCACAGCTTTGTTAACACAAATATACTACACTTATTCCCAGAAATAACAGCACTGTTATTACAGAAATATCACACATCACCACAGCTTTGTTAACATATACTACACTTATTCCCAGAAATAACAGCACTTTTATTACAGAAATATCACACATCACCACAGCTTTGTTAAATATACTACACTTATTCCCAGAAATAACAGCACTGTTATTACAGAAATATCACACATCACCACAGCTCTGTCAACACAGAAATATTGCAGATCACCACAGCTTTGTTAACACAAATATACTACACTTATTCCCAGAAATAACAGCACTGTTATTACAGAAATATCACACATCACCACAGCTTTGTTAACACAAATATACTACACTTATTCCCAGAAATAACAGCACTGTTATTACAGAAATATCACACATCACCACAGCTTTGTTAAATATACTACACTTACAGAAATATTGCACTGTTATTATATCACACATCACCACAGCTTTGTTAACACAAATATACACAGCTTATGTTAACATATACTACACTTATTCCCAGAAATAACAGCACTGTTATCACAGAAATATCACACATCACCACAGCTCTGTCATCACAGCACTGTTATTACAGAAATATCACACATCACCACAGCTTTGTTAAATATACTACACTTATTCCCAGAAATAACAGCACTGTTATTACAGAAATATCACACATCACCACAGCTCTGTTAACACAAATATACTACACTCACCACAGCTCACCACAGCTTGTTAACACAAATATACTACACTTATTCCCAGAAATAACAGCACTGTTATTACAGAAATATACACACATCACCACAGCTTTATACTACACTTATTCCCAGAAATAACAGCAAGATATACACATCACACAGCTTTGTTAACACAAATATACTACACTTATTCCCAGAAATAACAGCACTGTTATTACAGAAATATCACACATCACCACAGCTTTGTTATCACCATTACAGCTTTGTTAACACAAATATACTACACTTATTCCCAGAAATAACAGCACTGTTATTACAGAAATATCACACATCACCACAGCTTTGTTAACTGTAACAGCACTGTTATTACAGAAATATCACACATCACCACAGCTTTGTTAACACAAATATACTACACTTATTCCCAGAAATAACAGCACTGTTATTACAGAAATATCACACATCACCACAGCTTTGTTAACACAAATATACTACACTTATTCCCAGAAATAACAGCACTGTTATTACAGAAATATCACACATCACCACAGCTTTGTTAACACAAATATACTACACTTATTCCCAGAAATAACAGCACTGTTATTACAGAAATATTGCACATCACCACAGCTTTGTTAACACAAATATACTACACTTATTCCCAGAAATAACAGCACTGTTATTACAGAAATATTGCAGATCACCACAGCTTTGTTAACACAAATATACTACACTTATTCCCAGAAATAACAGCACTGTTATTACAGAAATATCTCACCAAGCTTTGTTAAATATACTACACTTATTCCCAGAAATAACAGCACTGTTATTACAGAAATATTGCAGATCACCACAGCTTTGTTAACACAAATATACTACACTTATTCCCAGAAATAACAGCACTGTTATTACAGAAATATCACACATCACCACAGCTTTGTTAACACAAATATACTACACTTATTCCCAGAAATAACAGCACTGTTATTACAGAAATATCACACATCACCACAGCTCTGTTAACACAAATATACTACACTTATTCCCAGAAATAACAGCACTGTTATTACAGATTTGTTAACACAAATATACTACACTTATTCCCAGAAATAACAGCACTGTTATTACAGAAATATCACACATCACCACAGCTTTGTTAACAGATACACCACAGCTTTGTTAACACAAATATACTACACTTATTCCCAGAAATAACAGCACTGTTATTACAGAAATATTGCAGATCACCACAGCTTTGTTAACACAAATATACTACACTTATTCCCAGAAATAACAGCACTGTTATTACAGAAATATTGCAGATCACCACAGCTTTGTTAACACAAATATACTACACTTATTCCCAGAAATAACAGCACTGTTATTACAGAAATATTGCAGATCACCACAGCTTTGTTAACACAAATATACTACACTTATTCCCAGAAATAACAGCACTGTTATTACAGAAATATTGCAGATCACCACAGCTTTGTTAACACAAATATACTACACTTATTCCCAGAAATAACAGCACTGTTATTACAGAAATATTGCAGATCACCACAGCTTTGTTAACACAAATATACTACACTTATTCCCAGAAATAACAGCACTGTTATTACAGAAATATTGCAGATCACCACAGCTTTGTTAAATATACTACACTTATTCCCAGAAATAACAGCACTGTTATTACAGAAATATTGCAGATCACCACAGCTTTGTTAAATATACTACACTTATTCCCAGAAATAACAGCACTGTTATCACAGAAATATTGCAGATCACCACAGCTTTGTTAACACAAATATACTACACTTATTCCCAGAAATAACAGCACTGTTATTACAGAAATATCACACATCACCACAGCTTTGTTAACACAAATATACTACACTTATTCCCAGAAATAACAGCACTGTTATTACAGAAATAAAGTCACCCAGTAATAATCTAACGACTTACTACCCAATGAATAAATCCCAAGTCATGTCAACTTTGGTGTGTGATTATAGATTGGCAATTTCAACAATTCTTTAGTTTTCCCTGTTTTAGCCCATCTATCAGCACGAACATTTTGTATATTAAATCGTGTTTATGACAATCGTGTTAGTATTATTATTCTGAAATTTTTAATTTCAACATTTGACAAGAAAATAAATAATGAAACTCAAATCTCTTGGCTCCTTCTTCCAACATTTTAATTCATTCCAATAGGTTCAGAACATACACATGTACAGGACATTCTGTAGATCAGATATAGGAAGATTACGAAATTTATTGAATTATGGGAATAGTGCACCTCCCAATCTAGATTTTGACATATTTTTTCAATCATGTTTGATCTTCCTCAGTCACCTCCTAGTATTCAGAATTGAGATCCTTAGTATTACTGATGAAATTCAGAATCCTAGCAGGATGAAACAGTCATAGGATGGATTTCAATTCATTGTTTGGTTCGATGGTATCTAGCCCTAAAGCAGTATTAAAAGGTGGTATGAAGTTGTGTGTCTTTTGTGCAGTCCTAAAGGTCTTTATCTGCTGTATGATAGTGTTAGTTTTACAAAAATTTGTTTGGTGAATATCTGTACCTACCCAGCTTTACATTTCTTGATGTAGGTGCGAACAACGTCTTCTTTAGAAAACAAACGTTCATCATCAGCCTTTTCCTTGGAGATAAATATCACATCTGCATACTGTATAAGAGGATCTGCATTAAAATACAAAGGAGAAGATCTCAATGCTGCACTGAATGAATACAAGTAATACGTTATGAACTGATATCAACTCATAGCAACATAAAATATATCTCTAGTTGTGATACAGCAAATAAATTCATAAAGTTATGTAATATATCAGGTACATTGATAAAATAATCATCTAAATAACATCAGCGACATGCATTAAAAAGTAAGAAAACATTTTTAATCCGTGCAGTTTTCAATATAGTTCCTCTGCAATATGCACACTGAAATAACAACCTGCAACCTGAACTAATAACCTACACCCTGAACTAGCGATCTGCACCCTGAACTAACAATCTGCACCCAAAACTAACAACCTGCACCAAGAAAAAAACAATCTGCACCCTGAACTAACAATCTGCACCCTGAACTAACAATCTGCACCCTGAACTAACAATCTGCACCCTGAACTAGCGATCTGCACCCTGAGCTAACAACCTACACCCTGAACTAGCGATCTGCACCCTGAGCTAACAACCTATACCCTGAACTAGCGATCTGCACCCTGAGCTAACAACCTATACCCTGAACTAGCAATCTGCACCCTGAGCTAACAACCTATACCCTGAACTAACAATCTGCACCCTGAGCTAACAACCTATACCCTGAACTAGCAATCTGCACCCTGAGCTAACAACCTATACCCTGAACTAGCAATCTGCACCCTGAGCTAACAACCTACACCCTGAGCTAACAACCTACACCCTGAGCTAACAACCTATACCCTGAACTAGCGATCTACACCCTGAGCTAACAACCTATACCCTGAACTAGCGATCTACACCCTGAGCTAACAACCAACACCCTGAGCTAACATACTATACCCTGTACTAGCTATCTACACCCTGAGCTAACAACCTATACCCTGAACTAGCGATCTACACCCTGAGCTAACAACCTATACCCTGAACTAGCGATCTACACCCTGAGCTAACAACCTATACCCTGAACTAGCGATCTACACCCTGAGCTAACAACCTACACCCTGAGCTAACAACCTATACCCTGAACTAGCGATCTACACCCTGAGCTAACAACCTATACCCTGAACTAGCGATCTACACCCTGAGCTAACAACCTATACCCTGAACTAGCGATCTACACCCTGAGCTAACAACCTATACCCTGAACTAGCGAACTACACCCTGAACTAACAACCTACACCCTGAGCTAACAACCTATACCCTGAACTAGCGATCTACACCCTGAGCTAACAACCTATACCCTGAACTAGCGATCTACACCCTGAGCTAACAACCTATACCCTGAACTAGCGATCTACACCCTGAGCACAACCTATACCCTGAACTAGCATCTACACCCTGAGCTAACAACCTACACCCTGAGCTAACAACCTATACCCTGAACTAGCGATCTACACCCTGAGCTAACAACCTATACCCTGAACTAGCGATCTACACCCTGAGCTAACAACCTACACCCTGAAACAACCTATACCCTGAACTAATCTGCACCCTGAGCTAACAACCTATACCCTAACTACAATCTGCACCCTGAGCTAACAACCTACACCCTGAACTAACAACCTATACCCTGAACTAGCGATCTACACCCTGAGCTAACAACCTATACCCTGAACTAACAATCTGCACCCTGAGCTAACAATCTGCACCCTGAACTAACAATCTGCACCCTGAACAACCTATACCCTGAACAATCTGCACCCTGAACTAACAACCTATACCCTGAACTAAAACCCTGAAACAACCTATACCCTGAACTAGCGATCTACACCCTGAGCTAACAACCTATACCCTGAACTAGCAATCTGCACCCTGAGCTAACAACCTATACCCTGAACTAACAATCTGCACCCTGAGCTAACAACCTATACCCTGAACTAACAACCTACACCCTGAGCTAACAATCTGCACCCTGAGCTAACAACCTATACCCTGATTTAACACACAGACCAGTTTTATAGATATATATTCTGTAAATATATTTTCTGAACACATTTTCACAAGCTGATGCCTGAGGTTGTCAAAACAGAATTGTTGAAAGTTTGGCGAACCTAGCTGAGGACGTCCTGGTTTTTCCAGTTCAAGAGAGATTCTGATTTTGTTGACAGCTGTCTCATTGTACTGCACCACACTCTGCATGATCTGACTGTATGCTTCTGGTGCTGGCCGACCCTAAATGTACACAGCAATAGATTTCTTATCATATACACTTGAATAGAAATGTCACTTGTAAAGACAGAGGCAATATTTCAATAGATATGTTATCTTTAAAATCAGAGACAAATATCAGAAATAAAATTACATTTATTGGAACTGAAATTACCCATGTGACACTCTGTGATGTTTGTGACGAGACTGGTGTCCTTGTACATTTACTTATTTAGTAGCTATGACTGTCATCACAATATCCATCCAGCTACTTTTCACCATTATGTAGTTTGATCTCATTATTGATTTATTAGGTAGAAATAGATGTCTGAAAACATTTCATCCCTACCTCTACATGGATCCATTTATACTGTGAGAGATCTAATGCTTGGAAATGACTAAAAGACAGCTCAGGTAAATTTCTGTCAAATCAAATAAAGATTCAAAACATTTTCTTCTCTTCTGATATTAAAATTGAACACTTGGTTTAGAAATATTTTGTTCCATTTTCATTCTCTATACAACTTCAAATATCTGAATTAAATGTCAAATTATTAGTTCTTTAAATGAGCTCTATACAAATTAGAACATGTATTCACAGGAAAGTTTTCAAATTTAACATAGAATTACTTGTACTCCATCCTAAGTTGTCAGAATTTCAATTTACATGTAATTAACTTTGAGTAATCTGCATTCAAATTAGTGAAATAAAAATATTTCTTATAACTTATACAGTATCTTTCAACAAATGCTTACAGGCCCAGAGTTATTTCTTTGTGGCTTGAATAAAAAACGAAAAATTAAAAAATTTTTAGAAAATTTAAACATTTTGTTAATGAAAAACCATACAACATGAATAGAGACACACAACCTGCATTGATTTACAGTGTAATATGTCACATATTTACTTGGCACAGTGTAGAATTGTCCTTGATCCATTAGATTTGTTAATGATCACCATGGAAACAGGGGTATTGACTTCAGATCCACAAACCATTGCATTGTCAAAATTAACTCCATAACTCTTTAGATTGTCCCTGAGAAAACTGAAAAAGAACAAAACACAGTTAGCAAAAAAAAACATTTGAAAACTTTAAGTAATTCACATTTTGAAAAAAATTCATAAATTTTACTAAAAATAATAATTATAACACAACAAATCTTTTTCGTAAATCTGTGATAGATAAAAATCACATACTTGCTTTCTATATCTGTTGCCATGGCTCCCATGAACTCTGACCTCTCCCCCAGCATAGCCAGTACAGTGCTTGTAGTGGAGGCATTTCCTCCTCTCTGCCAGTAGTAGTCCTGCACTCTGTAAGGCAGCACAGACAAGGTCACCACACCAAGGTCACAAACGAGTGATCTAGGTCTAGAATCATGTAGCTAAAGGTCTGTGTTTCAAGGAAAAGTCTGGACGGACAAAGTCAGAATGATGTAAAGATGTCAGGATAAAACCAGAAAAGGTACAATATGATCAGGAAAAGATCTGGCAACAACCCTACAAAGGTCTCATTACAAACCTTATAGATAACATCACCCAGATCACAACAACACTACAAAGGTCTCATTTTATAGATAACATCACCCAGATCACAACAACACTACAAAGGTCTCATTTTATAGATAACATCACCCAGATCACAACAACACTACAAAGGTCTCATTTTATAGATAACATCACCCAGATCACAACAACACTACAAAGGTCTCATTTTATAGAGAACATCACCCAGATCACAACAACGCTACAAAGGTCTCATCACAAACCTTATAGATAGCATCACCCATATCACAACAACTCTACAAAGGTCTCATTTTATAGAGAACATCACCCAGATCACAACAACGCTACAAAGGTCTCATCACAAACCTTATAGATAACATCACCCATATCACAACAACTCTACAAAGGTCTCATTTTATAGAGAACATCACCCAGATCACAACAACGCTACAAAGGTCTCATCACAAACCTTATAGATAACATCACCCATATCACAACAACTCTACAAAGGTCTCATTTTATAGATAACATCACCAGATCACAACAACACTACAAAGGTCTCATTTTATAGATAACATCACCCAGATCACAACAACACTACAAAGGTCTCATTTTATAGATAACATCACCAGATCACAACAACACTACAAAGGTCTCATTTTATAGATAACATCACCCAGATCACAACAACACTACAAAGGTCTCATTTTATAGATAACATCACCAGATCACAACAACACTACAAAGGTCTCATTTTATAGATAACATCACCCAGATCACAACAACACTACAAAGGTCTCATTTTATAGATAACATCACCCAGATCACAACAACACTACAAAGGTCTCATTTTATAGATATTTTATAGATAACATCACCCAGATCACAACAACGCTACAAAGGTCTCATCACAAACCTTATAGATAGCATCACCCATATCACAACAACTCTACAAAGGTCTCATTTTATAGAGAACATACCCCAGATCACAACAACGCTACAAAGGTCTCATCACAAACCTTATAGATAACATCACCCATATCACAACAACTCTACAAAGGTCTCATTTTATAGAGAACATCACCCAGATCACAACAACACTACAAAGGTCTCATTTTATAGATAACATCACCCAGATCACAACAACACTACAAAGGTCTCATTTTATAGATAACATCACCCAGATCACAACAACGCTACAAAGGTCTCATTTTATAGATAACATCACCCATATCACAACAACACTACAAAGGTCTCATTACAAACCTTATAGATAACATCACCCAGATCACAACAACACTACAAAGGTCTCATTTTATAGATAACATCACCCAGATCACAACAACGCTACAAAGGTCTCATTTTATAGATAACATCACCCAGATCACAACAGAATTCAATACACACTACATTATTAACTGAAGGCTACTGGAGCCTGTATCCATGCATGAAGTATATGTCAGAATGCAGAAAAATGGTGTCAATATTTGGAGATTTATAAATGCATAGAGCTTTTCTGTACTTCCTTTCCAGCAAATATTTCTCATAAATTACAGAGAAAAAAAGTAATAATAGTAATAAAAAAACAAACAATAATTGTTAATAAGATATTTAAACCAAATTTAACAAGTCTCCACTAATGCCTGAATTATCTCCCCCTACATCATGGGATGATGGAATATAATGAAAAAAAAAGATATTCTGTTATGTTCATGAAAACCTCAGATATCCTATATATATATCTGGTGGTACAAGAAAAAATATAAACAATTGTATGGGACAAATTTATCGATAATCCCATTTTACTTTATTGTCGAAACTTAGACTTGACAAAACTATTACTGCTAATATTCAAACCTTTATTAATTTCTGACAAATGGTATAATTTAAAAGTGCCATCCTCGATTATAAAAATAGAAATTTTGAGCCAAACATTACGTGACATTTGACCAGTGTCCTCCTTTGGGAAGTTTTCACAAGTGGCTATATGATCAAGGCAAGCTAATCCAACACAGAGAACTCTTTTCATAGTCTTTAATGGCACAGCTCCTCTGAGGTGTGTATCTGAGAAGTGTCAAAAACTTTACTATAAGAAATGTCACTTTTTACAAATCTTACCAAAATCAAACAAACATTTACCACTACTTATCTAAGATAACAAGTAGCTTTTTTTTATAATCCCCATTTCCAGTCTCAGAAATCAGTCATCATTTGTAATGTTTCATCTACATGCTACATAAATACATACTGAAAAATCGCATCCTTTCACAGGGAGCCAGAATGGATGATTGGGCCAACTGAGGACTTTTTTCACAGTAATAAAATAAATTTTAGATTAGATCTAAGTCCATGGTATTAGTGCTGCAGCACTGCAATGTCAGAACCTGGACAAGGGAGACTGGAATCTTGTGCCTTATGACATTTACCGCTGAACATCAAACTTGGAAATAAGTACAAATTTTATAGATTCTGGTCTGTCTTGGTTTGGGGACAAAATACAATAACCTTTTAATTCTAATTTGAGTGGACAGTCAATGCATAGTTCGGACCAAAATCACAGTGCTGTCATGATCAAGTTTATGATGGAAAAGCTGTTAAAAAGTCAATTAAAGTTTGGTTGTCTCCACCTACTCATATCTTGTAATCATTGGTTAGTTATCTGTTATGGTCACACACGAATAAAAAAGCATTTTTTCAGTTGTAAACACAGATATGTACAGGTTTATTTGTATAATGTTCTTCCTGACTTGACATGGTTCTCTTATAATATCAAAATGCAGGTGCCCATTATTCATTTTCTGTTTTCTTTCTTTCTTCCTTACTTCAACAGAAATCTGTGTTATTTGTTTTTATCTTAAATATGGTCTGTTAAGCCAACAATACTTTAATCATTTGACCGAAATCTGTACTTCATGTGTCTTATTTGATAAATGTACAGTATTTCCAGTAAGCAGCATTTTTTAATATTGCACATGTGTGGTCACCTTTGATCTGTGTCTTCTTTTGGATATTTATGACACACCGTCACAATGTCCAGGCATACCATCCCAATACTCAACACTTTCTTCACACCCGACTCAGATTCCATTTCAATCAGTCAAAAGCTGTACTTTCGGTTTCAGGAAAGCACTGACTACCCGCAGCTGCTATAAATGTAGTTGGTAAATTCGGTTGATTTATCGGTCGTGTCACTGAGCCTAGTTTTATCAGAGGTAACCTGGGATAGTTGCGCGAGACCTGTTCCTTGGTTTCATATCGGCGTAGCCATGTGTCACTTTCCACACAAGTTTATCAAAATATTCTGCCGGATGTTTACGAACGGTAGATAACTCCTACCTGATTTGCGGCGTACGCGTGCCAACTTTTTAAATGATGAATCGACACGACTTATACGAGTTATGTTTCCAGTACATCCAGGTTTGAGTGGAACAATAGAAATTATAATAAAATGCGTTTCCAGTAAAGCATGTTGTTTAATTTGATGTCAATATATGTATTTATCATTAGAATATTATTTATTGTGAATTCATTTACAGATATGGACACAGAGGCTTATTCCCAGCCTGCGTCCATCATGCATCCTAATAAATCCTAATAAATATGATAATTTTTATATTTTACGACATCACACAAGTTGTAGACATAACGATACAGTAGAGTTATAAGTAGAATTATTTCCTTTTTAAAATTTACATATGAAGTATAGAAACGTTCTCTTTCAGACCTATAGAAGAAGAAAAAGAGGCCTATTGCATGGCGTTCGTTGACCGACCCCATTTAAAATTTGAAACAACTCAGTTTTCTATAAAAAAAAAACTCCGTTCGCTCATGTTATAGGGAAAATCCCTCCTCCAGATCATAACCCTTTCCATAATTCGTCAAAATTTCACAAGATAACGTCAGGCATACAATAAATCATCTGTATCATTTAAATCGGTACTTCCTCCTCTGTTTATTTGGACTTTTTGATTTCACATTACGTAACGAGTCTTCCTTACTGCTTATTTTGCTATCTGCAACTGTCTTTGTGTAAGATATTGAAGATAACATCTTCTTCTTCACAAAAGCTGATGTACATACTGCAGATCTACACTTTACTTCTAGCTCAAGTTTGATTAAGCATGGATATATCTGATTCAGTGAATTAGCGAGGAGATGAATGGCTGACAAAAATCACGGAAACCCCTTTATTGGGAACACGTTTTTGGGTGTCAAATCTAACGAAATATGTAAAGACTATTGGAGTTGGGAATCATAGAGTGTGACTATCTAAAACGGAAAACGTGATTGAAGTTGGAGGCAAGTGGCAGGTTTTCAACACTCGTGACGATAAATTTGATGGTCAAAGTTCTCATAAAAATATTCTTAAACTTCGCGATATACGAAAAAAAAAAAAAAAACATCATTCCGCTGTCAAAAGTATGCAAAATATGACGTTATGATTTGACAGGGAATTCGTCGACATGGAAACGCACGTGAAACAACAGGAAGTGGACGTCAATCAAGATGGGGAGGAAGATAGGTATGTAAACGTTATTTTTTTAGTGTCACTCCATCTTCACATTTACGTCACAGGATGCATTTTTTTCTCGATATTTTTTTGTTCTTTTTTTTTCAAGCATTAGACAATGAAATGTCGTTATATAAGTTATTTGTATGGACACCGAAGCATACCCGACATCATATAATTGTTTTCTGCGTATTTTTTTAAGCCTGACAATTTGGGAAAAAAGGTAAAAATAATATCATTGAAGCATTAGAGATGTCAAAATTTCTGTACAGTCCATTTATGAAATATTATTCAAATGAATAAAATAATCATAGACTTATAGTTTATTGCAGCACTGACTTTGTAAGAATTTATCTTATTTAAACTGTTATATATGAAATTCTTACTTTTCTATTCCGGGACCACAGGTAAGAAAAGCTATAAATAGATAAGATGATAAATGTCAACCCTACATATATGTGACCTATTGCCTTGTCCATTCCTTAACTAATACATTTACTTTACGACAAATTATGCACAACTATAGAATTTAAATCATATTCTAGAGTCAATTTATATAGCCTACCTCCAGTATAATCACTGTAAACGTTAATAACACAGTTTTTTTACCTCGTGATTTTTATCGTTACAGACAGAGTACTTCGGTTATTCAATAAACGGAATCTCCTCAGAGAGGTAAATGGTAAGACTAAATTAGCATAGTGCACCACAGCATCGGCACATTATCTTGCGCATTTAAGGAATCCCTTGTTAACTGAAACGAACTCGATAGCCATTTGTCAGCATGACGTCATGACTAGAAAGGCAAAATAATAATTTCCATAATACAAGATTTTACACAGTACGAAAGTCATTCTAATGTGGCCAAAGAAAGCAAAAACTAGAGAGAAAAAACCCCGAAATTATCAGAGGTGTATTTAGATTAATTAGTTCAATTGTCGAGCTTGTGTCATGTTCTGTACACTTATTGGTATACATGAGCCACGGAAAGACGACATTGCCAGACACACTTCTATTGTTCAACGAAACTTAAAATTACAATTTACAATTGTAATATATGCCAGTTGTAAGCGCAAAATGATGTGTTTTTCCTGAAGAAATGATATCTCGTGACGTGATAACTGTAACTACAACACAAACGCCATTTAACGAGGTTATGGAACACGGCGCTAACTTGATCCGAACACAAAAGAATTTATCTGTTAATAGATAATTTCCATAGAATATGTATTTTCAATTCTATGTCTAGCTAACGGGATTGTTATTAATAGTTAAATAAACGTAATCTGTATGGTGTAATTTACATGCGTTTATAGTAACAGGTCCAAGACGACTCCCGTCAGAAAAGCAGTAACTAATCTTCCGAAATGTCTCTAACACGCTTCTGTGTTTGGTCTATTTGTATGAAATCATTAATATGGTTTCACAGTTAAACAGGATGCGTTGCTCCGAAGAATATCACAGCTGTCCATCGACCAAGCGGGCCATGGAGAGTACAAGGCGAAGATGGAAGGTTTGTAACTAAACTACAGATCATTACTCCTCTTGTATCGAATGCCCCCCCCCCCCCCCTCCTCACCAGAGGTCTATGGATAGCATCAGACAATACAATTATTAAGATATTAGAAAAAACTTCAAAATTACCCGAACACAGACCAAATACAGATAGGCCCCCAACTCTTCCTCTCAGCTTCTGCTAGAGTTAGGTTATGACAATATTAGGTCCTGGGGCCATCTTCTAAGACTAGTATGATCAAATGATTACAGCTACAGACGGTTCCATCCCAATGAGGGGGATGCAGGTCGCCCCCTCACGTCGCCAGAACACTGACGTTCGTCGGTGAGACGATACCCGAACACAGGAGGAGTCAAGGAGACGAAAAACCTGTTAACCAACCTACCAATACCTACAGATACTGTAGAATCATAAAGTAATTTTCGTGGATACTCTGAAGTCCACAAGTTAATAAGCCCACGCGCTATCAAAATTAAAAATCGGTATGAAATTTTAGTACAAGTGGAATTTTAAGAGTATTATTCACAAATCAAAGGTCAAGGAGATAAATCGGGAAAACGAAGCCTCGCGAATATATATTATTTAACAGTTATACATGATACATTATAAAAATATCAGGAATGTGATCATTACAATTCGTTCTGGTGTATGGTATTTAAATGTGCCGTTCATTTAAAAGCAAACATCACGTACGTATTTATAGCATCGCCATCCTCGAATGTTATAAAGATGTGGAATTACGTTTCTTTACTGACAGAATCAGAAAAACAGCTCAAGCAAAGACTTGAAAAGGGGCAGAAGCGCGAGAGGAAGCTCGAGGCCGAGATACAGGAACTGACCAATAAGCTCCATCAGTTGGACCTGGAAGTTGTCCGTCTGTCAATGGCCAACCAGCACCTAACCAAAGACAAGTCACGACTTTCACATCAGCTGGACGAGTCACAAGGTCTCGAACAACGTCACTATTTGTCAAATCTCACAGAATCGGGGGCAATGGGTTTTAAAATATATGTAAAAATATACACCACAACTGGTTTTCTCGAATGACAAGCGCTGAACGCAACAGTGACATGTTTTCTGTACAAGAGCGCTGATTTCTGAAGTCCCATTTGTGGCTCTGGACTAGAGTATAATGACGCAGCGTCCCTAGTTGATGAATACTGGCATTTCGTAACTTATGTAAATAGAATTTCATTTGTATCTAGAATTTTCATTTGAGCGTTAATGTCTAGAATTCATTCGACTCTGCTGCATTCTTATTTATTTCAGAATCTCTCAACGAATGCAGACATCGAGAAAACGTGTTAGAAAGACATAAAGCTGATTTGAAGGAGGAATGTTGTAAACAAATCGATCTTCTCCGGGAACGCGAGCGAAGACTGGAGAAGTCGGAACTGGACCTAGAAAAACTAAACAGTAGGTGATAGGTGAATGGGTTGTTTCTGTACTGATAATGAATATCCAATGTTTGAGATTTCCGAGTACGCCTCGCAAGTAATGCTGTTTTCTCAACATTTCTCAGTGGCAAAGTAAATCGAGTCAACATCAACGCCGCCATTTTTGGAGTCACTTTTATCAAACAGCGCCGCCACGATCAGACTGTAAAGTGGTGATGCTTCAGATCAGAGATGCGCGTACGATTTCTACAGAAAGGTCATCTTTACAGGTCGATTGAGGATCAAACAATGGAATGTGAACGAAAAGGCCTTAACATAGTTACAGGCCGTGACCTTTCACGTCACTGCACCATCTGGATTCCCAAAAATCCTGATACTCTTACAGAAAAACAATAAATAAAGGTTGTTTCAACATTTCATCATGTCTTTCATCCACCAGTCTAGATACCAATCGGGTGAATTCAACCAAACTTTCACAGTATTAGAATACTGGCAAAGCTCTGGAAATCGGCATCATTTACTTTCCGATGGTTTTTTCCTGTACATGACGTTCTTTTGAAATCCTTCAATATTGAACAACACGAAATTTAGTGAAATATGGGATTACTACACAACGTACATCCTGTCCTCCTTTTTCAAACATCTCTTTCGACTAGTTTTGATTTCTCTAAGGCATTTTCTTAGTTCCCAAAATTCATGTCCTTAACATCGCTGTCCCTTTATGATTCTCTTTATTTCAGTCTTTGGCTCTACTGTATCGGAATAAAAGCTAGTATGGAAAGGTGCTTTCACCTAAGTGTCTAGTACAATCCACGTAAAATGTTATAGTAATAATAAAGCCAACCTCTCAGATCCCCGAACATGGGAAGTCATCGATATCTTTCCCAGTATACGAATGTTTTCACTTTGTTATTTGAAGGCGAACTCGGGATAAAAGAAGAAATGTTACAGAAGGTGACAAAGGACCGCAGTAAACTTCTGGTGAGTAAAGAAAATATTTCATCGACCAAACTACATTTAATCTAACCTTTTGGTCTGATAAGAACAACAGCACTTTTTTGTTTTTACGAGTTAAACATACTCGAAACAGTCAGGTTCATATGTGGACGGGTGCCAAGAGTGGGAAATAACGCAAATAAGGAGGAAGACAGAAAGGAAAGGAAAATAGGAAGATCCAATGGTGTCTGCAGAACTGCTATGGTCTCTCAGTCGTCGGTGTCCCCCTTGTAGAAATCATTTTGTAAGGAGCCACATTTTAGTCGCCTCCTACGACCTAGCAATGGAACGTTGCATACCCTCTGATTGTTCTCTGATGTCCCCTACACCAAAGGCGTCGGAGACATCACTCCTGGTCTGCTAGGGGTGTTCCTCCTCAATAAGTTGCCCCTTAGGAGATGCAGCGAGATACAGCAGACATATCATTCCTCCGTCACCTGCACATGCCATGGTTTAACGGCGTGTAAAGCGTTCTCTCATAAAAAGCCAATGGGTGGTGTTGCTATTTCCATAGCAATCTAAATGGATTGGCTAGCATTATCATGGTAAGTTAACGGAGGTTTAACACAACTCCCCCCCTCCCCCCCCCCCCCCCAACAAGGTTATGACGTCATTTACAAGTGATCTTATGTTGCCAGGTGTACATGAAGAAGCAGACGGGTCGCCATGAGGAACAGCTACGGTTGATCAGGGAACAATTCCGGCGACGGCTAGCGCATGCGTATAAGGACCGCAAAGGTTAGCAATCTTCTCCATCACTTAGAATCCGTCATATGACGTCATCAGACTCGTTCACGTTATTACATTGTATAATGATGACTAATATGATAAGGTTCCGGGTGCTTGGCTTGTAAATTGTGTTGGTTCTCCGACACTTCCTGTTTCTGTGCTCGTTACTTATTCAATAGTTGCACTGATTTGCTGGATCATTGCAACTGTCTGTTTATGGACTTATAAGCCAGACAGTATTGTCAATTTAGAAATAATCAACACATCGCGATTTAACGATGCTGAAGTTATTACCGTGAATGTGATATAACTGTCTAATAGTCTTCTTCTGTTTTTGTTCCTCAGCCGGGAAACCGTCGCCGTTGACAACGAACGGCAACGAAATATTGGTGACGCGTCTGATGGAGGCAGAGTTTAAGGTTTACCGGCGCGAGCGACTGGTAGACGTACTGGCGGACCGACTGCGCCAATATGAGAACGACTTTGACGTGGTCACGGCGTCCGATTGTGCGCCTTACCTGGACGAGGACTACAAGTGTACCAGTATAGCCGATCTCGCGAGAGGTGAGAATTTCACGTCAGCTACGTACATATTGAAATCAAGTTACCACTGAAAGGCAATTTCTGACCATTAACCCGTGCGAGAGTTTGCCGATGTTGGCATCGGATATCGTCATCTCGTAACAAAACAATAATTTTTAGAGAAAATTTTCATCAGCTGCGTAAAATCGTCGGGTACATATTAGGCACGATGACAAAAAAAAAAAAAAAAAGAAACACGGGACAGCCCACTAGCGCCTTGATACATTGACATTTTCCTGTAGGGAGAATGCACTGAATATCAAGTGCAACAGAAAAGGTTATTTCCAATTACATGTAAATATTTTCTGAACGGAGACTACACCTACCAAACGTAAAAATCGCGGGAAAAGTGATGACTGGTTTCTGAATCCTGGAGGGGATCTTTAAGCATTGTTTTGGATCAAAAGGACAATAAATAGTCTTTAGTTTAAATTATTATGATAAAACATGTAAACAACACATTTGTCCGCCCCTCAGATTTTAAATTTGTATTAACCAATTGTGATAAAGGTACACTGCAATAACCGCAGTGTAATCGCGAACATGATAACTCACTAATTGCCAATTAAGGCTAAAATTAAGCTCCATATCTGTGCTCGTGTAGTAAGAGTAGAGCATTCAACCACACTAAATCTGTAAGGTGATAGGGTTTGTGGAGTGATAAGGTTGGCTGAACATGTTGTAACAACAACATGGAAGGGACAAACATGTCAAGTGAATCTCGATTCAAATTTAAATTGGATACAATTAATGTAAATTATGGCAAACAGAAGATTAACATAGAGACCCATCAAATATACAAGAAAAAAACGAGCCCTGGTTGTTCACACATTGGTTGGAGTTAACTAGTGGTTAGTGGAAAATAGGAATAATCATTGCTGAAACAGCAATGTCATTCAAAGCCGTGTAGCTGTGGCACCATACACCATGTTTCCAGTTTTGTTTCTTTTTATTTTGATATTTTCACTAACCATTGGTGTTCTGCAATGATGAGCGACGTCTTTTTCTTCCACAACACCCGACAAGAACACGAATTAGTGGCAAAGGACACTATGACTCCTGCAAGTGAACATCACTAATATTGTAAGCAAATGTTCTTGTACGTAACCTGTCTTAAAAACTGATGAAATTTTTAAAAATTGCTTTAAAAACATGAAATTATCGACACATTAATCAAATCTCCATTCTAACTCAACGTCGATCAATCAAGAGCAAATGTTGATCAATATAAAAAGAGCTTTAAAAAGTACTAGGAGAATAAGATCAGGACCAACGCCTTTTGTTTCATTGAGTTCAATATTGGTCAGTGGAAGTAAAGTAATGTCACTCAAATGAGGACAAGGTGAGTAACATTTAAAGCACAAGGAATACTAACGACTAAAACAATACATACCCTTCATATATATGTTTCCAGCAGGAGGCGTTTTGCTACAAGATTTGAAGCGTCGATATCTCTCGTATACTTCTAGGGACAGTAAGGTTTTCCTTGGGATGATATGAATCACGACACTACTACATAACACAACAAAACGTATATGTAATGTTTATTACACTATAAATGGAATACTTTAATCGGATGAATACAGTTTTCACACACCCTCATTTGAAAACAAGAAACCTCAGCAAAATCAAAGAAATTTAAAATGTAAGTGACATTGATAAATGCCAACAAATATTCCGTGATGGATTACAGCTATTAAGTATTTCTATATAAGAATACAAGAAATGTCTATCAGAAGAATTTAAAGTGACCACGATTCTCAGACTGACAGTATAGTCAGTTCTATATAAAGTGGCAGTGATTCTCTGACTGACAGTATAGTCAGTTCTATATAAAGTGACCACGATTCTCAGACTGACAGTATAGTCAGTTCTATATAAAGTGGCAGTGATTCTCTGACTGACAGTATAGTCAGTTCTATATAAAGTGACCAAGTAGACTGATAGTCAGTTCTATATAAAGTGGCAGTGATTCTCTGACTGACAGTATAGTCAGTTCTATATAAAGTGACCGCGATTCTCAGACTGACAGTATAGTCAGTTCTACATAAAGTGACCGCGATTCTCAGACTGACAGTATAGTCAGTTCTATATAAAGTGACCGCGATTCTCTGACTGACAGTACAGTCAGTTCTATATAAAGTGGCAGTGATTCTCTGACTGACAGTATAGTCAGTTCTATATAAAGTGGCAGTGATTCTCTGACTGACAGTATAGTCAGTTCTATATAAAGTGGCAGTGATTCTCTGACTGTATAGTATATATAAAGTGGCAGTTCTATATAAAGTGATAAAGTGGCAGCTCAGATTATAGTCAGTTCTATATAAAGTGGCAGTGATTCTCTGACTGACTGGCAGTGATTCTCTGACTGACAGTATCAGTTCTATATAAAGTGGCAGTGATCTACAGTAAAGTGACCGCGATTCTCAGTGATTCTCTGACAGTATAGTCAGTTCTACATAAAGTGACCGCGATTCTCAGATTGACAGTATAGTCAGTTCTACATAAAGTGACCGCGATTCTCAGACTGACAGTATAGTCAGTTCTACATAGTGACTGTGATGATTTTAAGAACGTACTTTTACGAAATATTGCAAAGTTTTTACTTCAGACCAACTTCTTTATTAAACAGCCATTAGAATTGAGAAAGACGGGCCAGCATAAATTTGGACTTTTTTCCATATCATGTTTTGATAACATGTATATTCACTCCTACAACTTCATGTTTGTATTTGTTTCGTCATAAAATTACACGTAGTTAAGAACTAATAAATTTCTGATTCAAATCTTGTACAAGAGATCTCTATAGGATTTGAGAAAATCTACATATAATTTGAGCTATTCAAATTCTTCTATTTTCCAGTCAGCAGCCAGGACCTAACATGTACAGATGATACAGAATCGCCCCACACAGACTAACATCCGATACTCTATACCTTTAACAGTTACTTCACGAGAACAATCTCCTAGAGATCAGTGAGATGACTTGTGAATTCAGAAAACCACAGAGTTTTCGAAAAACGAAAAATTAAATATACATACCTGGCATCTATACTGTGTTTTGTGTGATTTTCCTATAATCTGTTACAGTAGTTTTTATGAAAACTGATGACATCATACTACAAAGCCGTGTATTCCAACATCGACACGTGAAACTCCAGACGGACCGGCAAGTCGGCCTAACGTTTGTAAAAGTTTTGACCGACTGCCTACACGCCCCGTTATTGACATACATGTTCATATCATCGTTATACACACTTACACTGTGTATATGTTTGATATCTACCATGATGTTCGTTTCTTTAAAAACGTCATCCTGATTAGGTACGTGGTAATAAATAAAGGCTAAATGCAATGACAGTCTTCTTTCTGAAAAGAGACACATAATGGTAGTTGTGGAAGTGGGAACAAAATAAAGTCCTGATTTCGGACAAATTTGGAAGATCGAAACCATCTTAAGATCATTCCAGGCAAGTTAGGAGTAAATTTTGCTGGTAGAGAGATTTAAAGTGTTTGTCAAGAATAACTATGATGGCGTAATTATGTTTCAATGTGACACAGCAGTAGTCGACACTGTGCGATGATTCGGATGATGACTGAGCTTTTTGTGTTCGCTTTTTTCGGAATTGGTGACCATTTTGTATCAGAGTATCTTGATTTTGTTCTCCAGCTGTTTATTTTGTAATGCATATTGTTCGTCTTAACATCTACACTTCCCGAAATTAATGGTTGTTTTGTAATATGTATGTTTCAACATTTTGACCGCAAATATGCTAAGACGTATTGATAAACTTCAATCGCCAAAAGCGGATTTCGGCGGGGGATTTGAAAAATACTTTCTTCGTTGACTTTTAGCCAACACCAACATAGCTATGGACAGTTCAAATCGCCCTCCGTCTGTGTGTTCTTCGCTTTTTTAAAAGATATTATGAGTGAATCATGTATTTTTAAAGTTCCTCGGTAGGTTGTAATTGTGCATTGTCCACTTCGGGATCGATCCGAGAAAAACAATATTGCCACCAGTCAGCCATTTGGGATTTGACAGTTATAGTTTGTTATCACTACTTCTTGGGAAGCACTGGAAGATCGTTTTCTAATTTTATTTGTAGATTTTCCAAGTTCTATAGTTGTGCATTGTCCATATTTGGACGGAGCATGACCATTTTGCATTGAACCGTGTATGTAGGTTCCACTTCGTCTCTTGTAGTACATGAGAGACAATTCGGACCTGATTTGGAAAATCATGTTGGATTCTCCTCACATATATAGGACTCGCTTGTTGTGTAAAGTATTAACACGCACAACTGCTGGCATATCCATGGGAACCAACGTATTTTGACCAATTTGTTTATATATCAGTTTATGAAAACAGGTCACAGAAGCCTTTCCAAATCCTTCAATTCACTTTTAGATCGGTAATATCTCGTCTACAAATAACAAGAAATGTCTTGAAGAATTTGGTCAAGAACTATAAATATCAGTAAATCTTGATCTAACATTACAAATAGGGAAAACGTATCACGAAGATGTAAAATATGCTTGGTTGTTTCTATTTTTTCCATTGCTGGATAGTAGCAAACCCATTTCCCGAACTTTTGGCAATTGCATTTCACGAGTGACTCAATATTTAAGTTTTTATGAAAGTGGTTAACATATGATCAATATACTGACAAAGATTCCAATAATCTCATTGGTATTATATTCCTTATGTCGTGTAAAGTGCAGTAGAGGATTGTTTAGCTCACATGGCCCAAAGTCACTTTTTCTAATAAATCGTAACTAGACATGAACGACTGAACGGATTTTTGAGGGAAAGGAAATCAATTTTGTATAAACGAAGGGTCTGCTACTTGGGATGGGCAAGGTTCCATGCAGGAAACAGAGCAAATTCTTAAAAATTCTACTCTTGCAGGAATGATTGGATTTTGCCCAAATTTGCTCTTTTTGAAGATTACAAATGAGTGATTCCCAACTTCAAAGCCACTACAATAATTCTATAGAGAATGATACATAAATCCAAGTCTCCATTTAAAAGAAACGTACTGACAACTTCGGATGAGTCTCGTCAGGATCTTTTGTCGATACCGTTCCACGGATCTCTCATGTTCCATCAATCAACTTTAGTGAACCAATACATTGTACATGTACCTTTACCATTCAGAGATAGACAACGAATTTCGAGTTTGAACACTAAGGATCCATAGAAACAACAATCTAGACTGATAATCCACGCAGAGAAACATTTGAAGATTTTTTCAAATGCCTTGACCTACATCCTAACCTGAATCTATCAACAACTTGATAAGGAAGTGGGCAGATCTTTCTAAATCATCAATTGATGAAAGGAGTGATTTGATTGGCTAAGAACATTTCAGTGATAGTTTCAAACAAATTATGCAAGTCTTAGCTTTTGTTGAATTTCCTTGATATTGTGATGTTTACATTCGTTTAGACTCAAATTATTTCAGAATGGGGATAGTATGCTAATTTTTATACAAAAACTTGAGATTTGATGAATTTTGCCATTTTTATTCTTTTCTTCTTTTTGCATTAAAATCAAATTCATTATCTATTCTCCTGAACATGTATATGCTTAAGAATAAGCCTATTATCCCCTAAGTATATATGTAAAAAGAGCTGTCCATGGTGTTTCTACATAGTATGTACATAAAAGGACAACCTATTAGCTACTTTCAGTAACTCCAATCCTCACTGCATTGATCCAACACACTGTACATTTCTTATATGTTCATAAGTGGAATGAATTAAATATTTTTTCTATCTGATGAAATTTGAAATCAACATGTCAATGGTGATAATAAATCTATATTTCTGTTCAGGTGTTGAAATGCGTGACATTTGGTCAGATCAATCTTGGCATGAAGAATAAAAATAAAAACCAATTATAAAATAAAACAATTTATTGTAAAGCTAGTGGTGATAATCCCTGTTCAGAGCTGAACAGGGTTGTTCTGGTTAGGATATCACACACATACTGCCACTGTCCTTATAGCTGTCCGAGAGAGGCTTCAGCCACAACTTGGGCTTTATATCACTAAGCCCTTGGTCCTTACAAGTGGGACTGTATCGTTCTACATGGCGGTTAGGGAAAGGCTGGCGGTCCTCTTCACATTTGGGTTCCCTACCTTCTACTTGACTAACTGTGGCTGGGTCGTTGTTTATCATGTTGGTATACCAGCCTGTCGGTGGAGATGTTCGATACTCCCACACATCATTGTTCTGTACACTATCTAAACGTTTCTGACACTTAGCCTCTTCTACCTTGAGTAAATATTCCTGAAACCAGAATAATTAATGTTATCTCTAACAGCAACAATACAATGTTTGAAGCAGTCATAATGTGATTTATTTCTTTACTCTACTTCAAGGACAATACAGCGTCTGGTATTACCAGTATATACACTGCATTTCTGGTATACCTTCACACAATACAGTGTCTGGTGTTGTATACACTATATTTTCTGGTATACCTCTATCAATGATGTATTTCTATCAATAATACAACATTTCATTTTCCCTCAAAATGACAATAATTCAAAGATGAACTTCCCAATGTACTTGCCAAATCTATTTCTAATCCTTGCTGTTTCCTAAATGTTTGACTGTTTACCATGGTTTAGAACCAAAGATAAAGGTCAGTTAAATATCTGAAAATGAACTTTGCATCATTTTTCCTTCAGTTTATATCTTTTAACAAGCTTGATGATGTATTTTTTTGGTAATAAAACTAATTACTAATCCATGCCTTCATCGAAGGTCTTTTAAGCATTGCACACATCTGGCTCCTTTGACAAAAATAGATCAAAGCAGTTCACTTGAAAAAATATAAGATACCTCTATACCAGCAAACTACTGACCAACATTCATGAGATGTTTACTTGTTTCAAACACTTGACCTTTGCAGCCTTGAAAGCAAATCTTAATTGTTTTTATGTAATAAATCTCCCATTATTCCTTCAAGCTTGTAGTATTCTTTTTCTAGGTTTTATGAGAACCAAGTCCTTGACGAATTTCAAAATCTGTGAATATCAGCTTCAGAGTTCTTCAACTGAAAATGTTTAACTTTTCCAAGGATGCTACTTTACAGCTTATCAGATATCATCACTACAGCTATCTCACATTATTGTTATGAAGGTTGCAAAAGAAGTAAAAATAATCTTATTTTTCAAATGATGCATGCTAAGGTAGCAAGTGATGAAACATTCATTTAGGTCTCATAGTTGCGTATCAGAAGTGGATAAGAAATTTTGAAAAACAATTCTTTCACCATAACCATTAGTATTTGTCAAGATAATTTCTTTTAGCATACTTTGTACCTATTCATAGTAGAGCTAACAATTCTATATAAAATTTTATTTGGATTTTTCCATACGACTCTAGAACTGCTTACACCTTAATCTTAGAGTTTGTGACTACATCCTTTAGGCCATGACGTAGCAATGCATAATGATCGTATGAGTGTTCATTATGAACAGAATTTGTGAATTCTCAAACCAAATACCTGGATCTAAAAACTTTTTAAAAAAACTAATGTAGACTTGACCATAGCAAGCAACACCTGGACAAACATTTCACAATGACAAGTAACCATGATGCATGGGATGAAGAAGAATGAATCATTTTAGAAATTATATGCTTCATAAATCAAGTCTGCCTTTTTATAGCTGACTTTCCAGGTGAGTGCACACATCATTAAGAATAGGAAACTAAATACAAATGTTGAGGTAAAGTAAGGGTATCAATGCCAGCAGCATCAGGGTAGGTTTGTAAATCTATCTGGTGTTAGTCGACTGGTTTTGCCCCATTAACGGGCTTCTTCAGGACAAATATTCAGTTTCTTCTACTCCTAACATACCTAAAATGTGGGCACAATATTCAGTCAATAAATATTGATGTATAGTGACATCTTGTGTGGGTTGTAATACAAAAGGCTAGATAACTCCAATATATTTATACTTCATGTTGTATCTACTCTAATATGCTGCTACCTGTCATTATATAACCTATTAGTCTCCATCAGGGTTAGTAATATTTTGATTTTGATTTTGGCTGAACACTTATTAGAGTCCAACTTGGCACAGCATCAACATATGTTTTCAGATGATAAGAGACATTAATTTTCTAAATGAACTGTCATCCCTGGCCCCAGTTTCTTTAATCTTCCTTAATTTAAGGAAAACTTAATTACTAAAGAAAAAAAAGTTATGTAAGTAAAGAAAACTCTTCGATTTAAGGAAATCTCTTTAACTTTTGTAACTTATGTGTCACTATAGGCAATTCTAATTTAAGAAAGATTCATGAAACTGGAGCCTTGTGATTGTCTGACATCCCTTTGATTGTCTGTCGTCACTATGATTGTCTGTTGGCCCTGGTGATTGTCTGTCGTTGCTATGATTGTCTGTTGGCCCTGGTGATTGTCTGTCGTTGCTATGATTGTCTGTTGGCCCTGGTGATTGTCTGTCGTTGCTATGATTGTCTGTTGGCCCTGGTGATTGTCTGTCGTCACTATGATTGTCTGTTGGCCCTGGTGATTGTCTGTCGTTGCTATGATTGTCTGTTGGCCCTGGTGATTGTCTGTCGTTGCTATGATTGTCTGTTGTCTGTAGTGGTCGCGTGTCGTCCCTGGTAATTATTGTCTGACATTCCTTCACAGCTAAGTTTTAAACAAATCAGTATATATATATATATTGCTTTAGGAGAAGTTTCAACTTACATAGGCTTCTACACTTTCATTTTCAGCTAGCTCTTCACACATCTTTACATTCTTCCTCAAAGACGAACAGTCGACATCCTTCTCTCCATCCCAGTAACGATGATAGTATTTTGTTCTCCAGTCTGTTTTAGTAAACACAAACAAATTGGTATACATGTACAGTGATATTTTACAATTCATCAACTATATATATGTATAATGGGTGTCAGAATTAAGGTAGAGTTTCCAGAGTTAAGGTAAAGTTTAAAGACACATCATGATACCAAGGCAATATAATGCAATACATATCATGTTATACTTGAAGGTTTTTAATCTGATGGCTATGCAGAGCTGGATGAGGATGGGTCTTTGGTGCAAGGGAAGGGAGTTAACTTGGATAAAAGACAAGGATAGGGGACTTATCATTATAAGTCATACCAATAGCATTTCACCATACTTATTGGCTACAATGACGTACAAGAATGTTCTAACACTGATTTGGTTTTTGATATGAAATTCACAAGAGAGGCCCAGTGTTAACCGGTTATGTATCTATGATGTTTTCGTGAAGGTGCAGTGTACATTGTTGAATGTATATAGAGTGAAAATTACCTTGCTAAGTTATGGAATAGAAGTAATTCTGAGATGGTCTCCACAGCCACTCAACATCATACCATACACTGTCTTGTCATATGTTTATGTACTTGGGTGTATAAAAAAGCTTAAAAGCCATTTTCCTTACCTCTACAGAGTTCGTACGCCATGATGTAATGACGGCAGGGCTTTATCTGTAATGATAATCATATTACAGCTGTTAATTCATGTTATCTATCACTTAATTAGCTAAAACAGATAGTCATATTATAGCTGTTAATTCATGTTATCTATCACTTAATTAGCTATCATTTAATATGAAATCTTGTTAATCATGCTGAAACAAAATAATAATGTAATCCAATGATGGTTATAAAAAAAAATGATATTGATCATTGCATCAGTTGAGGTTAAAAAGTTCAAGGTAACTGATCCTCTTTTGATCTTTCATCATTGTCCCATCACAACTGTGATCACTAACCAAGTAGTTTCGCTATAACTAATTTGTAATCAAATTTTACAATAAAATTTAAAACTTGTTACCTCTCTGTGTATTATTTTGGCCTTCCATTGTTTGTAAAATCATAATTATGAGACAAAGACACCGAAAATGACTGCTTGAAGAGAGCTGCAACTGTGGAAGTGGCTCTCACCCTATATAAGCATCAGTGCATTGTATAAAGTTATCTACAGTGACCTTTCATAGTTTGGGCATAAATTGTGTCTATGTTCTGAAATGGAAAACTATTACAATGGGTATAAGGATAAAAGACATGAACAACTTTACACATCAAGTACACATATCATCATTTAATAAACTTTGAAACAAAACATTTATAGTAAATGGAAGAAATCACCTCAATTAGGTAAAAAAAGAACTCTTCCTAAATATAATCTTTGGCCTTCAGCTTTTGGATGTCTCAAATTCATTGTCTGATGCCACCATTTGTTACTGACTGATACAGGATCTAACAAATGCTTCATTTTCACAAACGTTCCAATAGCAAAATTGTTCTAAGACAGTTCGACATAAGCTATGATTTATTTAGAATCCTTAAGAAATTAATACAAAACACCTTCAGTGTGATATATCATGACATTTGTACCACAATACAATATATTATTTTGTGTATTGCAGTATGCCTGTATACCATTACCCCTCTAGACTTAAGTGCACACACTGTTTGCAGTTTTAATAAGAGCACAGTTTTTGGGCACATGAGCGTACATGAAGCTTTCTCAAGACTGGTATATGACATAATAAAGGCATTGACTTGATCCTATTATGTAGGAGCTACATTTGCAAATTGTATGGTTTATCATACCGGAAACAGATCTATAGATATACAAAATATGCCCTCAAAAATGTTTTCACACAACTATGAATGTCTGGATAGAATGCCCTAATCTACTTATTTCCATTAGTTTTTATTTTATCTGATTTCAATATGAATTTGACTTGAGATTTCTGTGTTAGGTGAATAAAATTGTTCTTCATTTCTTGAGGTAGTTTACAATGTTATCTAACATCATGACAACATAAAACATTTACATCACAATAATGGCACAATTCATCACTCGTTGAAATAAAGTACTCTCTTTAAACAGTCCGTTTGATTGGTTTTTCATCCAAGTGATTTACATTTTTATGTTGGTAATTAGTAACACATTGCGTGTAAAAGAGAGAGGTAACAAAAAGCTGTAGATTTTTATTTTTTCTTTGTATATTGATTCCTCCAAAATAAATAGGTATTCTTAGTTTCACTGATTGTATTTGCGTCTGTCAAAAGTTTCTCACCATGTTGAACCTTTAACATTGTTGGAGTAATTAATTCCAAAATCAAAACCAGATTGTTTTTCTCAAGACCAGGTGATTTGTCAAAGTGACCACATCCATTACATGCAGCTATTTGTTTTTCAGAATTTCAAGTCATCACAGTTCTAGATATTTCCAAATGCATATGTCTTTTTTTAATTTTAAACAGGAAACAGAAAAAAAATAAGGTGTGAACACCAAGCAGGTTTAACTACTAACTTATTCTAAGTCTTTCTTGCGAAAAGCATGAAGAATGAGCAAAGGGAACAGCACACAGTTGAAAGTTGAATAGTTTAAAGGGCCTGGGAACATACTGCAAATTCCAAACCATTTTACATGTACCTTCTTGCCCTCAATTGCCCACCTTCCCATCCCCACCCCACCAAGATATCCAAGGACACCCAATTTATTATTTGACAAATCTAAGTAAAAAAGTACCATTAACTCCAATGATTTAGACAAAAATATCTCAGGTACTGGATCCCTCGGAGCACTGGCAAATCTGGCAATATAGGAAGATTTGACAATATAGTCAATATACAATATACATATAAAGGGCAAATGTAAAACACACAGGTGAGATCCAGTCACGTTTCTTTTGTGCAGATGGAAATATGGAATGACAAGTCATGTAAGTCAGAGAAATGATTGTTTTTTGGCATATTTGCTCAATTTTAGGCAATTTTTAAAAAAAATTTCATCATTACATATTTTCAGTATCCACATACACATGCTATTTAGTAACAAACTCTAAAACTAGTCCATCCAATATGACATAACATCACTATTTTTGTCTTCTGCAGATAATTATACACAACCGTTTGATGCAAATTAATATTTGGGCAACTGATGTGTTTTCAGCATCATGTTCTGTGAAAAGGCAAAGGCATTTGTTTTTCCAACTCATTAGATTACATTAATCGTCCATTTTTTCGATGTGTACACCATGATGCGATCAGGGGTGGCTCAGCAGTTTAAATTTTCACTATAAATATTTAATCAGATTTGACTATATCACCAAGTCTGCCTATACAGACAGATTTGCCGGTGCTCCAATACCTGTCTGTCACGATGATATCATATACTGTCGAACGCTGCCGTATTTTCAGGCATGGCTCTATCATATCAAAACATAATCATGTATTGTGATAAACTCATACCCTCCATATATCTCTGAATTTAGTAGGATCTTTATCCTCTGAGTTTTCTTGCCCGTGTTTAGAGGTCGATTGCATTGGCGTGTCCGTCGTGGTGGCGGCCATGTTTATAGTTTTGTCGTGATCCTTTGAAAGTTTTAATCGCAAGTTGCGATAGCAAAGCTTTTCATTAACACAGGCCAGATGGCCTCTTTCGCTTTCATTTTGATCATGGGTCACATTAGTAGGAATAATCCAACAGCAGAAGGGATGGAGGTATATACAATGTATTTTTATATTCGATTTTAGTGTCCCGTTATGTTTTTGGATAACAACACGATTTATTTAACTATCAAGTACTATTTACGTCTTGTCCTGCATCGCTTCATGTTTATTATTATTTTTAAAATTTCGATGTTATGCAATTGGTCAAAATAGTCGGAATTGTCTTTTTAGTTTATGACAACAAAAATGACAGTTTAAGCTGTTCAGATGTCTTGACAGGTACATAGATCACAGGTACCAACTTCGTCAGTCACTACACGTGTACTAATATTGACAGACGAAGCTGGTACCTGTGTATACACAAAATTATATACATTTACTTGTAAATACATTATATAATACCGAATATAATCGTATGTCTGTTAGATGTTATTCTTCTTTGAAATTACTTACAAACACAGACTAAGATAAAACAATAAGGACAGCAACGTCCCTTTGAAATGCAAAATTTAATGTAGATATGCACAGAGACCACAATACACAAATATACATGTACATGAACTTTTGTAAGTTGATTCCAATTCATAAAAGAAAAAAAAGACTAATTAAAAAGTGTATCTTGAATTTTGTGTTTAACCAGAAATAACTAGATATTGAATGTTTACATATTATTTAGGCCTGGACACCAATGTACCCTATAGCTGAACTGGAATTTGTGCATATATTTACAGATTATGAGTAATTGTTCATCCGTCTGACACTGTAAACAGCTATATATTTGTTCCTGTTTTCTTTTAGAGAATCTGAGTGGTATCGATGAAAACATAAGATGACAGACACCAAGTTTTTTGTGTGCAGGTGCTTTTATACGCACAATTATTTCTTGAAAGACTATGACATTCATGTCATTTTTGAGAATGAACGCCAGTTTTTAAATGACTATGAAATGGTAAGAAATCATTCTGTTAAATATTATTTATCAAGACTTAGATTAGACAATTATGTGGTATGTTATCATTTTGTATATAAATTGTAATATACCTGTAGATCAACTTAATTGAAATATTCTTTTGATCTGATTTACACTGACCTTATGTACATATTAAAGGTGATTGATACCTGGAAATAATTACCTGGTACTGGTCGCTATGGTGATAGTTTTTTTTAGCCTTTTAATCTTTCGTGTTTAAAGTGTTTCTCATGACTGCAACAACAAGATTATAGGAAGACAAGGATGATGGAACAACTTAGTTTTTATTTTGAAATGCCAAAATTTCTGGATAACACATTACTGATTCTGTTACCTGGAAATGAGTAAAATCCTACCTGTTATTTATTTCTTTAGCATGTATTGTTTCCTGTACATTTCCTGTATGCTTGAGGATATACAGTTGGACTCTTTACAAATAAGTTTGCAGTATTTACAGTGTGGACTTGTATGTTACAGCATGACTACATTCTTGTAAAATTAACATTTATATTTAAAAATATTGTACACAGTAGTCATTAAACTGTTGAATATGTGTTTTGTGAATCTAATCTCTTTATTGACTTAAAGTGTTTTGGAAATGCAGGAAACAATGCAGAACATTCTGTTAAGAATGTGATTTAAGTGTGACAATTATTTAGAACTTTTTAGGATAAAATTAAAAATATGCAATGAGTCATGAACAAAGTTTTGTTGCTATAAATATTTTCTGATGAAGTAAGAGTGAAAAATCACTGTTTTATTACTTACATTTATCTATCAATTTTCTTTTTTTTTTAAGAATTTGAAACAAAGAGGATGTAATACCAAACTCAAACTGGATCATGTCATGAATCAGGTAACTATTTGTTGTGATGTATTATAGGTATTTAGTTAGTCTTCAGTGACCCACACCAAGGAATCCCTGTCCTGTATATTATACTTGTGCTTGAGATGTAAGGTTCAATACTTCAGACGGCCTCCTGTATACAGTACAGCAAAGTAGTCACCAGCTAATACAAGGAGCCCTCACCTCAAATGACCTTGACTGTTAGCAAAACATACAGCCAAAGACCAGTGACAAAGTCCTACAAATCTACTTTTGTTATTACAGCTCATGGTGGAGCAGGAGAGAAGGAAGAATCTTGGTAGGGACTATTTGATGAGAAGAGAAACAATTAAGAAAAATTACCAACGTCTACACCCGGAAATCTACACATTGAAGGTATGACACGGATACATACATTTAGATATTTAGGTCATCACACCTTTGGGTAGGATGACTTGTAGCCATTGTGTAATTAGCCTTTGTCTTCTGTTAACTTTTCACATATTAAACTTCTTCTCCAGTACCACTGATGGACTTCCCAGGAATGATTCAGAAAAAGTCCTGACTAAACATTCTATGTTTTGGGCCAGACCGAATCCAAGATGATCACCAAATATGACCTCCATCTTGAAAACATACATGTTAAACTTCTCCAGTTCCACTGGTGGTATTGAGCTGAAAATTGCTGGAGGTGTTAATAAAATGAAACTGACGAAGTATTCTTTAGGCCTCATCAATTGTTAAAACATGACAGCCACCACAGTCATTTTGTAACACGATTGCAGTTGAGCAATTATGGTAATCTTGTACAAAACCATTTTAAACTTCAACTTAAGATCCTCAAATGGGATTCAGCGCAATCTTGCAAGAAATCTTCCTGAGAAGGTGTTGACTGAGTGTTGGTATTCTCATGCTTCCTGAAAAAATTTTGGGAGAACATATAGTTGCGGCTTTGTCCGTCCTTTCATGTCTGAAGCACAACTTTGTACAGTGAAGCAAGGATCATGAAACTTAATGGATACATTCAAAATACTAAGAGGATGTGGAGTGTACAAAATTTATTGTCTGCAACCCCTTAATTACAGAGTTATGAACCTTTGTTTCATGTCTGCAGCACAACTATAAGTTGCTTGCATTGAAAATAGGATTATGAAACTTGATGTTTATATTTTGTCATACTAAGACTGTTCAATGTTTCAATGATGGGCCGTGCAACTATTTAATTACAGAGTTATTGCCCTTTTTGAAAATGTTGATGTCCATATCATAACTTGGCTTGTAGAATATTGAAACTTTATGTATACAATAGTCATAATAAAGCAATGTGCAGTGGACTAAGTCAGGACCTACAATCCCTCAATAAAACAGTTTTTGTCTTTTGTTAAAATTTCATGTCTGCAGCATATCTTATCATGTATTTATACTAGGATAATGAGACAATGTGCAGTATACCAAATTCAGGGCCTGCAATCCAAAATAGAGTTTCTGCCTTTTGTTGATTTTTTTTCGTGTCCAGAGCACAACTTTGCTTTTATTTAAAGTAGGATAATGAATCTTGGTGTATACTTAAGTCATAATAAGATGACATTCTGTGTACCAAAGCCAGGGTATGAAAACCCTTGATGACAGAGTTGTTGCCCTTTGTTGAAATTGTGTGTTCAATAAAGTTGTTTTGGGAAGCCTATATCATTTTTAATTATTCTCTTGTTTCACATTATTTGTACCTTGATTTTTATCACAGAACTTTTCTGTGTGTAATGTGCATACTATAGGCTTTGAAAATGATTATTTTATATTTCAAAAAGCAGCACAAAATATGCCAAATAATAATTGTATCTGTATCACTTATCTGTTTTGTCCCCAATGACTCAAAATTGATCCTAGGTGCAAAAAGTATGGATCAAAAACAGATGTAAAATTTTTTTTAAATACCAACAAATTTTTTTGTTATTCCAGGAAAGTTATTTTGCTCCAGAGTTTAAGAAGTTGATTGACCTGTGTTCAGAGTTTGATACCACAAGTGATAAGTTATTTGAGCTCATCAGTCCTACAGGAGGTAAGACTTTCAGTGGTGTGGTAAATGTTTTTTAGCAGTGTATGCTTTCAAGAGAGTTTCTAAAGGTGAAACCCCAGGATGGGGCCTGGAGGCAAAGTAAAGTAAATAGAAAAGTACGAAAAACTATCTCAATGAAATGTGAGCGTGTGCTTAAGCATACAAGTATACATTATTGTCACGTCACATACATTTATACAATAAGGTAAATGTACAATACACGGAGAAGATCAGTCGTGTAGAAAGTAAGACGTTCAAACAATATAGTATACATACAATATACAGAGAAAATCAGTCCTTCAGGAAGTAAGACATTTATACAATATAGTATATATAGTATACAGAGAAAATCAGTCCTGTTGGAAGTGAGACATTTATACAATATAGTATATATAGTATACAGAGAAAATCAGTCCTGTAGGAAGTGAGACATTTATACAATATAGTATATATAGTATACAGAGAAAATCAGTCCTTCAGGAAGTTAGACATTCATACAATATAGTATATATAGTATACAGAGAAAATTAGTCCTGCAGGAAGTAAGACATTCATACAATATAGTATATATAGTATACAGAGAAAATCAGTCCTGTAGGAAGTGAGACATTTATACAATATAGTATATATAGTATACAGAGAAAATCAGTCCCTCAGGAAGTTAGACATTTATACAATATAGTATACATACAGCATACAGAGAAAATCAGTCCTTCAGGAAGTTAGACATTCATACAATATAGTATACATACAGTATACAGGGAAAATCAGTCCTTCAGGAAGTTAGACATTCATACAATATAGTATATATAGTATACAGAGAAAATTAGTCCTGCAGGAAGTAAGACATTCATACAATATAGTATATATAGTATACAGAGAAAATCAGTCCTGTAGGAAGTGAGACATTTATACAATATAGTATACATACAGCATACAGAGAAAATCAGTCCTTCAGGAAGTTAGACATTTATACAATATAGTATACATACAGTATACAGAGAAAATCAGTCCCTCAGGAAGTTAGACATTTATACAATATAGTATATATAGTATACAGAGAAAATTAGTCCTTCAGGAAGTTAGACATTTATACAATATAGTATATATACAGCATACAGAGAAAATCAGTCCTTCAGGAAGTAAGACATTCATACAATATAGTATATATAGTATACAGAGAAAATCAGTCCTTCAGGAAGGGAGACATTTATACAATATAGTATACATACAGCATACAGAGAAAATCAGTCCTTCAGGAAGTAAGACATTTATACAATATAGTATATATAGTATACAGAGAAAATCAGTCCTTCAGGAAGTAAGACATTCATACAATATAGTATACATACAGCATACAGAGAAAATCAGTCCTTCAGGAAGTAAGACATTTATACAATATAGTATATATAGTATACAGAGAAAATCAGTCCTTCAGGAAGGGAGACATTTATACAATATAGTATACATACAGCATACAGAGAAAATCAGTCCTTCAGGAAGTTAGACATTTATACAATATAGTATACATACAGCATACAGAGAAAATCAGTCCTTCAGGAAGTTAGACATTTATACAATATAGTATATATAGTATACAGAGAAAATCAGTCCTTCAGGAAGGGAGACATTTATACAATATAGTATACAGAGAAAATCAGTCCTTCAGGAAGGGAGACATTTATACAATATAGTATACATACAGCATACAGGGAAAATCAGTCCTGCAGGAAGGGAGACAGTAACAAAATACATTAAAAGTACAGGAAAATATAGGAAAAATGTTAATTTTGGCATAATTATCAAATATTTCAGCTACAACATCAAACTCGAGTCCACTTTCATCTAAACAAATATTGCTCTGTTTACTTTAAATGCACATGCACTAGATACAAACAGTATACAGACCGGGATTTCAAAGTGAACATGTTAATAGAGAATTTCAAAATGTGAGATAGTTGTTATAAATATTAAGATAAGGAATAAAACTGAACTATACAGACCAATAGTCTTTACTGGAATTAAGGGAAACATCCAGAAGGAAAATCAGAAAAAGGTATAAATTAGTCAAAAAAATATAAAAATAAAGAATTGGGCACACCTAACCTGTATATGAAATACAGAGGATATATTGTAAACCATTTTCAATTGTAAAAAAAATTTAACATGATAGCTTCTTTAATAAACATTGATTTTTCAAGATTGATGATATAGTAAGATTTTGTTAGGAATCAGTCGATGATTATCTGAAACTGAGTTAATTGAATTGTTTAATCTGTCATACTGTAAAATGTGGGTTTGCAGGTGAGCGAGTGTTTTCATTCCCTGTGTTCACTAAAGAATTTTGTCAGCTTTTTATGGAAGAACTTGAACATTTTGAGAAAAGTGACTGCCCTAAGGGACGACCTAATACAATGAACAAATATGGAGTAAGTTTCCATTGTTCTTCATTTTAACATTTCTATGGAAAGAAAATAAATTTGTTGTATTGATATTAAATTCTTTTCTGATTGAATGTCTTAGACATCAAGAATTAATATCACTTTTAAATATATTTGAAAATTGCAACTACGTGTATATTGATTTCAATGGGTTATTTGTATCTAAAGTCTGAATTTGTTGGCTGGTATTAACATATGATAAAGATGTTTATATGTAACTTTCCTCAGTCTCTATGTATTGGGGGCCAAAATTTTCTTTATATAAAGTATCATGGCTCTTCATTGATATCTTATTTGGCTGTCTAGAAACATATTCTTGTTGCAGATATTATTGAATGAACTCGGATTTGATGAAGGCTTTTTAAATCCATTCCGAGAGAAGTATTTGCAAAAGTTAGCCGCAATCCTTTATCCTGAATGGGGAGGATCACAGCTTGACTCGCACAAAGCCTTTATTGTGCAGTACAAAATGGGAGAGGACCTTGACCTTAACTATCACTATGACAATGCTGAAGTGACATTAAATGTGTCTCTGGGTAAGACTTATACAGGGGGCTCGCTATATTTTGGAAATATGAGGACTGTACCACTAGAAGATACAGAGTGTTCAGAGTATAATCATGAGGCTGGTATTGGGATCGTTCACCGAGGTCAGCACTACCATGGAGCATTACCTATACACAACGGTGAGAGGTACAACCTCATTGTTTGGATGAGGTCGTCCAAGGTCAGGAACAACTTATGTCCAATGTGTGACCATAAACCACAGCTAGTGGAGACGGTCGGATATGGGGATGGGTTTACCCAGCCTACTGTCAACTTGTGCACACTTAATTGACCTGTCAATTAAATTCTAACATGTTGTCAGCATTGACTGTGTATATCTCACAGTTCTGGTGATTATGAATTGATCACTCTTGTTGGCCTGGATGGAAGTATGCAAAGGGTCTTTCTGTGGGAGGAAACCAGAGTATCTGGGGAAAAACCCAAGTGGTTGGGCAGATGCTTCATGCCTTTACATGTTCATTCTGTGAATCAAACTCTGGATACCTAGGTGTAGGGAAGTGCGTTACCTGACCAGCCATATAAATTGATTACATTTTATCATGTGATTGCCTTATTGTTCATGGAATATATATATATGTAATATTTTGGCTAATACACATGTAAATATAAAATATTGTGACATCAAGTTTAGATAATAACACACTCACAGATAGCATTATGAATTAACAGTATAATGGAAACCATAGATATACATGCAGTGCAGAAATAACAGAGTTTTATGTGGAAATGTCTGGGTTTTTTTAAAGGTGTTATTACGGCTTTTGAAAGGCGTTATTATGCAAATAAAAGTGTAATAATGCGATTTTATATTTTTTCCCTTCCGAATTAGGACTTTCTAGGATTTCATATATATAGGCAAAAATTTATATCGTGAAAATTCAAAACCCAAGACAAAACCACGACTTAAGTCCTTATTGGCTACATCTTCGTTGAGTTTGGTGATAAGGTTCCAACAGCCTCTATTGGTATATCCATCTGAACTTAATTTGTCTCTCTTTGTGAAAGAGCTTGTCAAAAACAGGTTACAAATATAAGTCTTGGTTATATCAATGCTGTTCCATTTTCAAAGAAGTATATTTAAAATGTTAATAAGATATATTCATTAGACTTTGATTAAAAAGAAACATCACTTGTTTACCTTGGTGTGTACTCACAACACACGGCCTCCCATTGAACTGTATGATTATATTTCCCAAGGCTGTCACGACTTTTTTATTTCTAAATAAAATACATTAAACATACAGAACAAAGGGAAGTAAAGGCCCTCATGGGAAAATGTTGATTTTGGCATTATTTAACAAATATTTCAGCTTCAATATCAAACTCGAGTCCACTTTTATCTATAACAAACACTTCTCAGTTAACAGTACATGAATACATGTACCAGATACAAACAGTATACAGAGCAGGATTTCAAAGTAAACATGTTGATAAAGAATTTGTCAAAATGTAAGATATTTTGTTTATTAATATTGAGATATGGAATAAAATTGCACTATACAGACCAATAGCCATTACTGGAATTAAGGGATTTATCCAGAAGGAAAATCAGAAAAAAGTACTAATTAGTCAAAATAAATATATTCTTATTTCTAGATAGTAAGACCCCTGATTTCCAAACATGGTGTTTACATGTCGGAGTTGATTCAATATTCTAGAGCTGGTTCCCAATATCGATTTTCGTGATGTGGACACAGATAATGATTAAACGTCCATCTGGTGTAGGTTGATGAAGACCGGGTAAGTTTTACATCTGGAAGCGAATATCATCCCATTGTGAGGTTTTCTATTTCATTGTGCGTTATGGAGTTAGATTGCCTCATTAGTGTGCCTCATGGTTTCGTTCATACTTGTAATTATATGTATTTGGTTCTCCTTGTTGACCATAGCGGTACTTGGACAGATTTTCATGGCGAGAGTTGTAGACGAAGCAGTAGACGCTTTCTCTTTTGCAAACACCATTTTTTGCTTGTACTTTTGCAATGGTCTGTGTGTAAACCCCGCTTTTGTTTAAAATCTCCCTCCGTATTCATTTCACCGATCTGGAGTTCTACATTCAGGCTTTAGTGATATGACTGTTCTGTTGTACCCAGAACATGTTCTCTTTTGTCTTGTTGCAGTTTTCAATTGTATGACATCTTCCTTTTAATAACAACCATGACTTAAAGACTGTAACCATGACGATGAATAACAACAAGCAGACAAATCAGACTCACAAGTAAGAACTTTTATTTTGCTGATAGAAGTTAATTACAAAGACAGGAGGTTTCACAGACGGGGAAGGTTCAACATGTTTTCTTTCAGTAGTCTTTTTTTCGATAGATTATAAATCTAAGCCTTGCGTCTCCGTGTAAACATAGCCATAACTGATCTGGTGATGAATCAAGGGGAAAACCTATTTAAGTAACGAATTTCTGATATGAATCTCGCATACTGTTATACGCATTGAACGAAAATGGTGGAATTCATTTGCACGTAAATGTTGGAGGTAACGGGTAGGGGTATATTGAAAAATAATTGTGATGCCTCAACATTAATTGAATTAATCAAGTAAGCGTTTTATTTCCCGTCATCAGTGAGTTCTTTACAATCTGATCATTTTAGACAATAAAGTACTTTATATAGATACATCATCGAAACGTACTTGACTATAGTAGTAATTCGAGGGATGTTAAAATCCTCAGGCCTCCGCGTTTGGTTTCAAAACCTTACAGTTTAGTTTTTCGTGTTTTTAATACAATTTATTAAAACGCGCCAGTAGAAGAATCACCTCTTACCATCGGTGTCTATAGCTTTATAAACTTATGAACAAATATTTTAATTTATGTATTTTAAAAAAGGTTCTTTCATTAGTTTAAAAAAATGTAACAAATATTAATTTAATTTAATTAAAATTGTTGACCATGCAGAAGAGATTCAGAGTAGAGAGTTTAAGGTACCTTGTCACACACTTCATTTGGAAAATATTCTAAAACTACCAACAATATTGAAAATATCCAATTACATTCCGTTTAAATATTTTAGCATGATGATTGATTTTCCTTTACACATCTCGCACGATATTCAATAAGAATCAGGTCCTATTATTTGACACTGAACCGTTGCTGTTAACAGAATATTAACCTTATTATTTTCTAACCAAAGATTGATTTAATGACTTTGTTCCTTTATTCCAGAACGCGTGAATTACTTCATTCCAATTACTTCTAATTAAATCAACAGCTTAGGTATTCTCAAGCAGTCTTCACGATTTTTTTCTCATTTTATCATTCCCTATACCGCCAAACGAGAAAGACAAATTTCAGAAGGATTTATGATTGATAAACCATTATCATTCAAACGTGAACTTAACATAAAAAACAATAACTGATTACGAAATCCGGAATTGTGCCGGTGGACAATGGTCGTTCCTATGTATACGATATTTGTAATATGATAAATTTAACGATATTAATCCAAAATTGAAATTCTCTGATTATTTGTTTTCGACTTTTAAGCATGAACAATTACATGTCAAGTACATCAACTGATATCTACTAATTTTGCTAGAGAATAAAACGATATATTTGTACATGATTTTGGACAAATATAACTGAATCATATGTACACACTAGAATAATACTATATTTTAAATTATTAATTAACATTTGATTATGAATTATGTAAAAATATATAATTAGAAATAAAAAACATTTACACCGAGTTATGTACAGTACGCATTCTACCAAAATAAGATGTACTGACATCGCTGGCTACCAGCATATGGTGTACTGACTTCGCTGTCTACCAGCATATGGTGTATTGACAACGCTGTCTATCAACATATGGTTTGCTGACATCGCTGTCTACCAACATATGGTGTTCTGACATCGCTGTCTACCAACATATAGTGTAATGACGTCGCTGTCTACCAACATATGGTTTGCTGACATCGCTGTCTACCAACATATGGTGTACTGACATCGCTGTCTACCAACATATAGTGTATTGACAACGCTGTCTATCAACATGGTTTGCTGACATCGCTGTCTACCAACATATGGTGTTCTGACATCGCTGTCTACCAACATATAGTGTATTGACAACGCTGTCTATCAACATGGTTTGCTGACATCGCTGTCTACCAACATATGGTGTTCTGACATCGCTGTCTACCAACATATAGTGTATTGACAACGCTGTCTATCAACATGGTTTGCTGGCATCGCTGTCTACCAACATATGGTGTTCTGACATTGCTGCCTACCAACATATGGTGTACTGACATCACTGTCTACCACCATATGGTGTACTGACATCGCTGTCTACCATCATATGGTTTGCTGACATCGCTGTCTACCAACATATGGTGTACTGACATCGCCGTTTACCAACATATGGTGTACTGACATTGCTACATCTACCAATATATGGTGTTCTGACATCGCTATTAACGAACATTTAAGTACTGAAATCGTATAGTGTACTGACATCGCTGTCTGCCAGCATGAGGTTTCTGACATCACCAACATAAGACTAGTGGCAACGTTATGTTTACGAGCATATGGTACCTCGCTATGTTACTAACATATGGGATGCCGACATCGCTATGGTCACCAATATGGGGATGTTATGAAAAACAAAAAAAAAACTGTACGATGTCGATTTCTTGATCATATGAACACTTTTCCGTTTAATTGTATATATCACAACGTGAAAACATTTATCCCTTAGTACTGTCTGTATCACTACTCTATGTATGGTATTTACAATATCTTTCCTAACAACACAAAGAACACTAAACGATACCTTAAATGAATGATAAAGCCAAATCTTACTTCCGAAATGGGGTAAAAACAAGAGACCATTGTTGTTAAAGGCGAGAACGTTTCTTCATAACTTGCTTAAATTACTGTGAGACATTATGATTTTAATCGTTCCATCGTTAGATTATTCGTCATGAAACAAATATGTTTTGATTGAAATCAAATTGGACCATTTAATGTTTAGCGAGGGCTTCTTAGCCCACAATCATGTTGTAATATAGATGAATAATTTCCATTTAAATAAAACACAAAATCATATATATCATAACTGACATAGCGAAAACTATAGTAAAATATTTCAGTGGACAAATAGCGTTCTTTAACAATGATAAATGTAAAATATGTAAATATACTTTGTTGCTAAATAAATTTCTGGACACGGATCATAAGTACTGACATATAATAAAAAGATTGAAAAAAACACGATACTAACAAAACCCAGTCGTATCATTGCACATAATACCGATACCTAAATGCTAAATGACTTAAAAAGCTGTAAACATAAGAAGGCCTTACTAAGCCGACGAAGATTAAAGAGTATACCGACAACTCTGTGACTACACGTTATTAACTGTATTGTGCGGATAATGAATATCTATCGGTATAAAGCTGAAATATCGTTCTATACAACCTGTTTACAATAAAACATTGATTTCCGTTCTTACAGACTGTTTAAGTTTGCGAACACATACATATATATATAATTTAATGGACTTGTTATAAACACCAGTAAGAACACTAAATCCTGCCAAGACATCATCTAGATAGAAAATGCCGTATATCACAGGAATAAAAAAATTAGGTTTATGGTATAACTTCGAATATTTAAAAATAAATAACATTTCCGGAAACAATCTATACAACTAGAATTAAAGCTAGGAAGGAATACCGGGTATGTTACTTACGATCGGAAAAACCAGTGGCAAAATTCAGATATTTGAATCGCGATAAATATAGGTATAGTCGCAGATTATCTCCCTTGTTCAAGAATAACATTATGTCTTTTTACTACTGTAATGCAGTTTGCGCGGGAGATATTAAGTGTTGTATATGATTAATATTTAGTCGCAGATAACTGTTCTCACATTCTTAATATGATATAATATGTAGGATTTGAACATAGAATATGGAAATCAAAGCGGTGCGTTAAGAGCACATATCTAAAAATACCTTGCTGTATACACATGCTTGACATTCAAATATTACAAGATGATAGATAGATCATTGCACAAAATCGAAATGTTTCCTGTAAGAAGAAAAAGATCAATCCAAATGACGATTATATTTTAGTTTTCTTCTTTGATGTCAATGTGTTTGTTTTTCGTGGGAAAATGTTTCGTCATGATTGCCCTCCCACAATTGGCTTAATACAATCATTCTGGTGATGAAAGCTGTATGGAGGTTCGTCTTAAGGGGGGTCGGGGTTTTCCACGGGGTGTACGCTTGTCCTAAAAAACAAAACAGAAATTGTCAAGGCTGATAAAAACTTATGCACATGTGTAAATTCAACTTTAACCAATCGAAGCAAATTACGCAATATCGAAAAGTTACTTTTGTCTTAAATCTTAATTCGTTAATTAAGCACGTAACACAACACTCAGTTTTAATGTTTATTGATGAATTCACATTGCTTCAAGATAGAAAAATGTAAATATTAAACACTTTACATAGCCCAGATTGCTTAAATCGAGCATTGTCATGATAATACAAGATCAACAGGATATATCGGTGATATCTAAAGCAGGATATGGAAATTATGGTGACACATAAGTTTAGGTAAAAAAACATGCAATGTTCCGATACAGGAAGGCAATAAGTGATTGATAGATTTTATACAAATCCAGCAAAGGAAGGTATGGATTTCAAAATAATACAGTCACGTTAAGGAAGAGATGACGTGATTGTTTAAATAAGTGTTTGATAAACAGAAATAAAGAAGAAAGGTATGTTTATCAAGACCGCGTTTAACTCTAGTTACCACCCTATAATAACTGGTACTGTTTTCGTTGTGGTTTCAGAAAATCACTTTGCTGATTAAGATTACGTTGGCGACTAAAAATGAAAATGGTCGAAACAAATGTTTTGAATATAGATAAAATTGAGATATGCTCCTGCTACATAATTAATTGAAGTTCGCTCATTTTCAAAATTGATATTTAAAAATTAAACTGAGGTGGTATTTTGAGTTAACTCAAGAGAAGGTAATGTAGTGCATGTGAGTCAAGGACGTAAAAAGGTACTACAGCTCATGCATGGCAATCCTGAATCAAACATAGAATGCATTATACAAACACTTCTAACGAAAAAATGGTTATATATATGATATCAGGATATTTGTCTTTCATTTATAATGCTGATTATGTGCGCGATATCTACCACAAATCTCTGTTGTTGTAAGTAAAGATTACCACTGTATATAAACATGGGGCTACATCCTCCTTTCATACTACATCCTCCTTTCATACTACAACTGTATATAAGCTTGGGACTACATTCTCCTTTCATACTGCATCCTCCTTTAATACTACAACTGTATATAAGCTTGGGACTACATCCTCCTTTCATACTACATCCTCCTTTCATACTACAACTGTATATAAGCTTGGGACTACATCCTCCTTTCATACTACAACTGTATATAAGCTTGGGACTACATTCTCCTTTCATACTACAACTGTATATAAGCTTGGGACTACATTCTCCTTTCATACTGCATCCTCCTTTCATACTACAACTGTATATAAGCTTTGGACTACATCCTCCTTTCATCTTTCATACTACAACTATTTATCAACTGAGGTCTACATCCCCTTTTCATACTACAGCTGTATATCAACTGGGGACTACATCCTCCTTTCATAATACAGCTGTATATCAACTGGGGACTACATCCTCCTTTCATGCTACAGCTGTATATCAACTGGGGACTACATCCATCTGTCATACTACAGCTGTATATCAACTCGAGACTACAGCCTCCTTTCATACTACAGCTGTATATCAACTGGGGACTACATCCTCCTTTCATACTACAGCTGTATATCAACTGGGGACTATATCCATCTGTCATACTACAGCTGTATATCAACTCGAGACTACATCCTCCTTTCATACTACAGCTGTATATCAACTGGGGACTACATCCATCTGTCATACTACAGCTGTATATCAACTCGAGACTACATCCTCCTGTCATACTACAGCTGTATATCAACTGGGGACTACATCCATCTGTCATACTACAGCTGTATATCAACTGGGGACAACATCCATCTGTCATACTACAGCTGTATATAAACTGGGGACTACATCCATCTGTCATACTACAGCTGTATATCAACTGGGGACTACATCCATCTGTCATACAACAAGTAGGACTAAAAACTAAGTCAATTCGCCCACCCTTTGCTCAACGTAACTCAGCCATTCTATAATTAACGGTTTTAAAAACAGTGTGATAATGATATACAGTTATTTTAACTATAATGCAATCTTTACATTTATCAGCTACCGTCCCTTTACAGCAGTGCTATACAGCCAACTTTGAAATTGCAACTGGCCTCGCTCGCGCTTTTCTTGGTCACTTGCAATTATATTTCATTAAATTCGGGTGATATTTATTTCATGGATAATACAGAAACGTTTCAGAATGTAGAAGGAGAAAATTAAAAGATAACTTATTAGACTACTGCTTGTAGTAAAATGAAATATGAGATGAAACATCGATCGAACGAAAAGGAAGCAAAAATAAATAAATAAATAAAGTAATAATAAAAAAGGCAAATTAAAACTCCCTATTATAACAGGATAAGTTGCAGATCTAAGTTACAGTGTCTCTAAAACGACGCTATCCGTGAACTGTGTAGTACCTTCATCTCAGCTTTCCGTTAGGTCGGACTAAATGAAATATAACTTAATACAATGATATGTTCAGAGTAAAGCATTGTTACAGGTCACGATACAAATCCTAGACGCATGTACGTACAAAGGTATATGTAAACCTGGTGTGGATATGAAAGCACGTGAAGGAAAAAGTTGTTTTGATGAACATTTATATTTCTGTTAGAAGCAGAACGTTATATCACCAGTTAGACTAGATATGCAGTTGTCATTTGTGTTAGGATATGATCCACAAAGACTCAAGCCTTGTTTCTGGTGAAGGCAGAAATAGATTTCTCTTGTTAGACTAGCTTTTAAAAAGTACATATATCACAATGTGGCATTGTACTGAGTGTTTTACACACGTTTAATAACTGGTGATGATTCAACCGCTTATGTTTACGTTTATATTGTATTCCTACTCAAACATTACTGAGGATATGCAAAACAGGTGCTACAATATATATAGTAAATCGTGTGGTTAGTACATTCTCTCCTGACCGAAGTCTTTATATGGCTTAAATGTACGGAGACATTTCCATGGTTTGAATTCACGAAATATCTTTTGATTACGTTTACCATTCACATGACTCAATACCAAATCAAACGTGGAGATAATTTTACAATCTGAAGATCACGATAACTAAAAAATCTTAAAATGCTTGTTCAAAATGAAAAGTTTGTTTAATGAGCACCAGCAGTTGAATACGACATCACCAATCTAAAATACGTGTTGACAGCGAAGAGATATTAACTGTCTGTTGGAGTATTATCTAGATAGATTCAGATCATATTATAAGACTAGGTTGTTAACTGTACATGATTTATATTCAAAAGGTTATGTCTTTGATACAATGTATGTAGTTTGCATATAATCAGCATAGCTATATAGTGAAAAGTTGGTACACGATTCGCTTCTCGTGCTATACAACCTTGTTTTGAAAAACGGGAATAAACAACATATGCCCTGAAAATTGAAATGTTGAATATTGATTCTCAAAATTTAAGGATTGTTTGACAGAAACTGCATAAACTAAATGCTCACAACTTTATGCTTTCAATATCAAACAACCAAAACGTTGTTGTTTGTCGCTGTGAATAATGCAAATATTCAAATGTCTTCCTTTCATTGGTGAAATCGGCAAAGTATCTGACTAATTTCATCCTTCCTAATTATGTTAAGATACTATACCATTATCTGACTAATGATGTTTTCTCCTGTTATTTTGCCTGTGTAAGTGACACTGTCGTACATGTTGAGAGTATATTAATGGCTGGTGTATAAGTAAATTTGTGTATTGTTTTGTTAATTAGGTCAGTTTGAAGTTAATACTAATAACCTGTTAGATATCTGTTGGCTCGTGCAGTATGAACGTCATTTCGATAAAAGTTATATGTTTAGAGAAGAGGTTAAATCTTGATACCAGTGTGCTACAGAGTGGTTGCAGTGAACGGGATCACAACGTTACAATAAAGTAAGTTTCTTGTAATCGAAATAACAGCGTAAAAGAAATTCGACGATATGGTTTTGTGAACTAATTACAAGGGATTTATTACAATGTTCAAAAGGATAAATGTGTAGATATATTCACATATATATATAAGTAAATTATTTACAAGGGATGGCATGACAACGTTAAACATAATCATATATATGTTTCGTACAGTTTGTATACGGGTTGACATATCAACGAAAAAACATAACCACACACATGTTACGTTAAGTATTATTAAGGGTTGGCATAACAACGTGAAGACGTAACGATATGTTTGTTGTGTAAAATATTCACTAGGGAATGTATGGCAAATTTAAATTATAATTATCAAATATTTACAAGGGATTGCATAGCAACAACGTTAACAAGAAGATAGAAGGTAACAAGTTAAAAGTTTAAAATATATTTAAAAGTGCGCATTATGACATCTTTACATGGAATGGAATTATAAAGTTAAATGTAATAACATGGATTGGCATGACAATGTTATTAAATATAAATATGTTATTATTCAAAAGGGAAGACATCACAATATTAAAATATTCATGTGCTGTTTGGAAATTTTAGGATAACATGAAACATTACAATATCAGTGACTTAACATTAAATAAATGAGCTTTCACCGATATGTCAGCATACTCACAGCAGCAGGTATTGGGGTGACGACCTCTTTACCCGACGTCGGCTTACTCGCAGCGTTGATATATTTCCATGCACGCTTAGCCTGGTCACGTGCAGTTGCCTCAGACTTGATACCAACACCAAAAATGTCCTCATGGAACCGATTGGCCTCCTACGAATAACAATGATATGTTGTTTATCTTATTCCTTTTTGTACGTCATCTATCTGTGGAGATACTCTCCTTAACTAGAACCTCACGTCTTTCTCGACAGAGAAGAAGATTGTAAAAAGACATGCAAGTAAATAGCCCCTTAATTCATTTAATGGATACAGGAGGAATCATACAGGTATTTCGTCCTTCTAGGACCTATCAATGATGCGAACTGCCTCCTAATTTGTTGAAACATAGAAGCAATTTAGGAAATCCAAATCAGCTTAAATGAATGTCAAAATTCTCACAGGGAGGTGTTCTATAAGAAACAGGACCCAAGGATGTCTGACACAATACAAATAGCGTGTTAGAACCTAGTGTTATGATATCGGAATCTTACAAAGCAAGGGATGAGAAGAATATTTCAGTTGGCACTTGGACTGGTGAGAAACCTATGTATTACGAGTGCCATTAGGAAGAAGAGGATGCTAGAGGTTAGAGTGACATTAGTCATCATGTTATAATGTCATAATGAAATAACCAGTGGCGAGATATCTGGACTGACACCACAGCCTGAGAAAACCGAAAAGTTTAATGTAAATACGCACGTTGGTACTGTGCTAAAATCTCGTAAAACCGAAGGGTAACTGGAACAAATCCACAACGGAAATGAGACCAATACCGCAACGTACTAAATAAATCAAGGACATGTCATATTCTCACGAACATAACATTCGTAAAGTAAAGACGGTGACCGGTCTTAGTCGACAACTATAACGATCTTCTTTCAATCGTTTTACTTAACCGTATAACTTCAATGTGACTTTTCTTGTTAGAATTTTTTCTGTTTGACTTACCCTTAATTTTAGCATGACAAATTTTGCATCCTCAGCCGATAATTTTCCGAACTCCTGAATGATTTTGCAAAGAGTTGTTGAAACGTCGTTCGCCATTTGCACATCACCACACACGTACACGTGTCCTCCTCGGCGTAGAATCTGTTCAAACACCTCCTTCCCGTTCTGTTTCAACACATCCTGGACGTACACCTGTAGATGATTAAAAAGGTTTCAATAATGAAATGCAAACCATAAACACCCCAACACAGGGAAATTCTTATGACAGATTACAGTTTTTCTTGTGTATTCCAGATCCGAGAAAAACGTGATAGCCTTTGGCTCCAAACTTATCCCAGTTATGACAAGTCAATTTCAGTTATCTGTTTCCTGTTCCTAAACTAAAAGATTATTACTTAGGTATAAAAGTATCAGCACACTAATACAACAAATTTAACCTGTTGAACACTAGCTCTCCTTATACTTACCTTGGGTACCCCCGGCTCCCGGGACAGAGCTGTGTACACACGTGTAAGAGATTTATCAGTTTCCGCCTGGGTCAACTCGGACTTGTATATATGGTCAATGTCGTTTTGCCTACATCCGAAGTAAAGGAATGACTCTCCCCATCCCTTCTTCTCTCCGTCTGCAAAATAAAGTCAATTTGTTATGAAACATTAAAAACACTGCACGTCTTTATGAACACACTTGAGTCTGGTATCATAAATCTTCCCTTACAATGCGATAGTTGCACTCTTGACAATCAAATGTCGGGAAGAAATACAAGCACAATGCAATATTGAGATGAAATGCTACCAATTACCTTGTTTTATATTTGCTTCTTATTAAATTGTTTTCGTATATATTTTATGATATTTTCTTCTTTATACGTGTGTATGAAGACAACTGTAACTGACGTGCGTAATTGTGATTGGGAACATTAGACCATGACATCTAACTGGTCTGTCATTAACATTCAGTTTAGCATGTAGCTTTCACACCATTCAATGTATTGACTACAGATTGTGATTAAACCATTATAAATTAAAATTAAGATACAGTTTTAGTAAAATCAAATCGAATCCACAGCTTGAAAATCATGAATCATAAAACGTCGATAACAACGTTCATAGAATACGGCGAGACTTACGTGTAGGTTCCGGTAACATGTCTCTGTCGATCTTCCGCTGCTGCCAGAAGCTTCTGAATGGCGCTATACCAGTACCTGGGCCAATCATAATGATTGGCAGGGTGGCATCCTCGGGCAGATGGAACTGAGGTGCCCTGATAAATCGTAGTAAACCATTAGTTATTGTTATATCGTCAGTATATCCTAAATCTGGCATAGAAGCTGTTCATTAAACAAGATAAATATCAATCTGTATCGATAATAATGTGAATCGATACATTGAACTGAATGGAAAATACAGAAGTATGGTCTTGAAGTTTAATGGTAGTTTTTGCCTTATTTTGAAATCCGAATCTGTAGAAATTTTTTTAATATTATGTTTTATATCTAGAATTGCGTGTTATAATGCTGTAATGCGAATATGATCTAAATTTGTAGAGTTGTTCATGATAATATAATTTTTTTCTGTTCGTTATCTTTTTGCTATGTATGAACGAACAAAAACTGAAACATAGTTATTCAATGAAAAAGCCTTGGAAAAGCTAAAATAGAAGACGAGACATCTAGTGGATATGAAATTCCTATAATAAGTTATTCTCTTAAAATTTGTGCAGTAAATTGGGCTGAAGTACTCACGTTCTCACAAGACAAGGCACATTATCCCCTACTTGTAGTCTGCTTAGCCACGTTGAACACACTCCCTCGTGTTCTGGTCCCACACCACCTGGAAAGATTTTATTATCAAAATTATGAAAAAATATAGTATACCTACAGTGCCAAAACAATGGAAACTTATTATTCTGGTAAGGATTTATTTCCTAACAGTGGAAGTACTATTGAACAATCCATATTATTTTATTGCAAATGAAAATTGACAATTATGTAATCATTTTTGTTTCGAAAAATATGAAGTTAATAAAAACGCAGTTTGTTTTTCTGTATTACTGTTCTTGAAAGTAATATAAGAATAATTTCATGACTTCTCCAGAATGGCTTAAATTTTTCAAAAATATAAAAGATAAAAATGGTACTGTTGACTGCATGTCAACTAAAAACATTTTCTACTTTGCAATATCAATTTCTGTATACGTCTTGTTTAAAAAACACATAACAAAACTACATTCCGAGAGACAACTAAAAACAGCTCCTTGGTATCCAGTTAAAATAACAGTCACTTGTACAAATTACTCAAGGTTATATAGCCCAAATAATGCTTGTTCTCGCAAGAATATGAAACAAGTGTTAGAAGGATTATTTTTCTTGAAACAAATAATCGTTTGCTGTTGACCACACGTAATGCTTATGAAAACCAGTGAAAGTTTAAAATTAATTATGCCAGTTTTTACTTTATAACGGTAATCGAAATGACTCTTTCTGGTAAAAACGCATAACAAGTGCCCCTTCAATGGATTATACTTTAAACAATAAAACAGACATTTTCATTTTATACCATACTTATTTTATATAAAATCTTCTGTTCAAGAGGTGACTGTTCTATCATACCATCCACTTAAATCACACAGATTTTAGATAAGTTGCTTCCCTTTGAACATGTACATGGGAATACTTTCTCTATAACACAACCAGTAGAAAATTTGAATTGAAAGAGTTTGGATAGTCACCTTCATCAGACAAAGTACATTGTTATCATCGTATGTACTTTTTTCTATAATTTGTCTACCTTCTCGTCACACTATGTTCGACCTAAATATACATATGATTATAGTAACAGCCGAAAACTGTGTCGTTTCCTTACCACCTCTTACACTACGTATGTCAGTACTAGTACGCTTCCATAATATCAGAATGTAGCAAAATTATGAAATTTATTGAATTATGGGTCTAGTGTACCGCCATAACTATATTTTGACATTTCTTTTGATCGATTTAATATTTTATAATTAGCTTTCTAGGTTATAAAATTTAGACCCTAAGCATCACTGATGAGTCCTGTATGATGCAGCTTAATTTATAATCTTTCTCTACTGTAGCTAATTCTATTTATCTATTTATAGGTGGCATTCGCTTGTGTCTTCCAGGATCTTAATTCAAACTCGGAATCGGAACCTGGGCAAAAACATTTACATGGAGACCCCTGAAATGTGCAGGGAGAACTGTGAATTGATTTAACTCTTCTGAGTTTGTGAATTTCCCTATTGTATGACATGTAACCACGGAGGCTGTGGCGTAAGGGTAAGACCACGGGTATTGTTATTATAGACTTACGCATTGTCTGGAATCTAACCACGGCGACTGTGGCGTGGATTTCCCCGGGATAAGCCTGTGGGGAGGAGCTGATGCTGTAGAAACGCTGCTGAAGCAACGGCATCTGCGTCATCAGCAAGGACGGGTTGACCTTGACAGAGGGGAATTCCTCCAGAATCTCCACTAGGTTTGGCTGAGCCTCCGCCTTCCAGTCCTCGTACGCGTGAATATCCTGAGTTGAATAATTAGAGTCTTTATTTCCTTTCTCATTGTTTACATATTGAGTCACAGACTCGAGTTACATATAATAACACATAACATATATGTACATTATGTACAACAACAATAATAAAATATTGATAGTCATATTAAGATAAGACACGAGCATTCCGGTGGTGAGGGGGATGGTCCTACTTGCATCTTAATTTTAGAAGAAAACTGAAATTAATAAAGAGGCAAATAAAGCAAAATGCTTGTGGAGTTTATAAATCCGATATGAACAAGGGAGGTCCGTATTCTTATCCTTGATATGCAATCTAAATGATTGTAATACTGAAGTAAGATTATTCAGTTTTCTTCTTTCGAAAGATTGCACAATCTATAGACGGGGTTTTCCTTTCCTTATTGAGTACGCCTTGTCATTCTTTGTATGCAGGAAAAGTTATAATGACTGCAGACAAGGATAAAAATATTGGGCGCCTTGCTATATAAATATGGAACATGTATACATCACATTGAAGACATATCAAAGGAACAAGTACATTTTTATTCAAATCTATTTACAATAGAGGGTGTAATTGAAAAAGACGTGAATGAAATATTAAAAAATGTCCAGTGCTGATGAGAAAAAATGGTGATTTGCTTCGAATAGAAAAAGATATTACGTACAAATTGACAAATTTAATGTAAAACATCCCCATGTGCAGGTGCCATGATTTCAAAATTTTATGAAAATTACTACTACTTCATAAAAATTTCAGACAAATAAAGTAACAGAGAGTAAACAAAAATATAAGAACTGTGTTGTGTAATTGAACATGTGAAGAAATCATCAACCAACACCTTCTTGATAATAAAACAATGAGAATCAAAACGTTCTTACCAAATATCATACAGTCAAGCCAAACGGTTGGTAACAAACGGGAACATTGAAGAAAATTTACGATTACTTGTGTATTCTAACTCAGAAAATACGGAAGGTTGGTTTATGCATCAAAACTTTAAGTTAAATAACAAATTGGTTTCTCACTTTTTTCAAAATTTAGTAATTTATATCATACAAGCTGAATCATTAGCTTGTCACTTACATAAAAAAATAAAATAAGTATGTTTGCGGATGTCAACTTATAATTGTAGGTATCAAAAAGAAATCTTTAAAACACTTCACAAATATAAAAAAGATGCCTCTGGTGTAATAATTAATTACCAGAAAACAAAAGGAATGTATTTAAGTCTTTGGAAAAAAGACCACCAATATAGCCAGTGAATGGTAAAATAAAGTCGATTCAAAACATTATGAATGAGTCATGAGTGCAACATTGACACAAAGAATCAACACACTGCGAGACAAATGGGACAGAAAGCAGTCTTACTCTGTAAGGAAAAAAGATAATTATGACATCACTGATATTTTCGACAGTTACATGCCATATAGCCGGGTATTTTCGCGGGAACGATATTTTCGTTACTTCGTAGTAAAATTTATCCATGAAATAATGAGACTTGTGTGTAGTTAATGTTATCCGTATAGCGAAAATCCAATTTGTTTGAATTCGATCGTTTATGGCGCGAAAATTTGGACTGAAAATTACTCGCTGTACGGTATGAGATAGCTAAGACACTGTATACAGTACAAAGATAAAATCTAATTCCTTTGGAAAAGTACGGTAATTAAAACATCCAAATAAACTTGTTACAGAGATAAATCCAAGGATGGGTTAAACATTACAGCTGGTGATCTGTAGACAATGAGGTACAGAAAATCTATAAAATTAAGAATTCAGTATAACAAACCTGAAATGGCTTGGACAAATATTGGCTTCAGAAATATGTTAATAAATTCCTTCGTATTAGTTGTTCAAAATTTATAGATATCAGAATTTAATAGACCACTATTACTGAAGTAACTACGTTCTGTAAATACCTTATCCACAACGCTGTAAAAAAACGGTATCAGAGACAAATGATTTGTGGAAAATAATCTTCAAAACAAATATTTAAGAACTGGACTAAAGCTATAGCTATGATAACGGATATGTAGGAAGTATCACAATAAACATGTACGTCTGTACTAGATATACGACTACAAAAACTAACAGAAATAGAAAATTGGATATCAGAGTTCTCTAGAACCAATCAATGTATGAATTAAACTGAAGGGAAACAATCCTGAGTAAGCTGGTGACCATTACTTTGTAATGACAGAATAACTTGATTCTAAAATATCTAAATGATATAATTTAACAAAGAAATCTTAAAACCGATCACATGACAAATATTATATCAGACGAAGGCTACCAATCTAAAGTACAATGAAAATGGGAATCATTGCATCGAAACGAAATTTTAAAATTGATGGAAAGTATTAACGACAATAATCTATTGCAAACGGAAAAATTAAAAAGGATTCCAGTGGAAATGTCTTTAAATGTAGTCTCTACCATTTATGATTTATTGAAAAACTTTTGCACAATTAATCTTGAAACACGACATTTATTTTACACATGTACTATTACAACTGAAATATGGAAGTGTACAATACAGATAAAGCAATAAAAGTATATCTCGACAACATGACATTTATTAGCTTTCTGAAACAGATGTTATGTTCTAATGTTACTACTTAAATATGAAGTCAAACTTAGTTGTTCATGTCATAACTCTTTACAAAGTGGTATATGTTGAAATCAAAAATAAAAGTTTGAAAAGAAGGTTGAAAGTAAACAATGCAATACTGAAGTCTTCAATTACATTTCACTGTGTTTGGGATTTTCACATTTAACAGTGTGTGGTGTACTTGAAGCTTTACATTATAAATTCATAAATGATAGTTATGAAATTAAATTTTATGTGAAATAAGATGATTTGATGATTTAAGCAAACTTATATCAAATTTTATTTAAAATAATCTGCATAAGAAGAAAGACAGAATATAAAGTAATCAAGATTCTTGGTACATTGTATAATTCTATTTTAAATCTATGGTATTCTACCAAAATATACAAATACTTTTGTTCAATTTAGGAAGGATCACAGGGCTTCTCAACTATGACCTTCTTTCTCGCAAGAACTGTTCTGAGGGAATGTCAATTCTCGACAGATCAGGAATGATAATAATAAGACTCCAAAATTTCGTTATCAGAACTAAATGGTTTACTTTCCATTAAGTTTTTTGTACATAAATGTACGAAACAAAGTTTTAAAATAATTTGCAGAATATTGAAAATACATATCGAACTTTTGCTAATAACGGGTCATTTAAGAAAACTGTGTTTCAGAATGTGATTGCTGACCATCCAATTTCGGTGTCGGCATATGAATACATTATGCGATACCAACAGAAACACTTACATTAGCTAGATTTTCAAGCTTGATCCTATCCACATCCCGCGAAGACTGTGTAGCCAGTAGGTGCAGAAACGCTTGTGATGGGGGTGTAGTTATATCCAAGAAATTCGCAAAGGCTGTTCGCATCGTACAGACGGGGATTCTTTCAAAGTGACACCAACTCTTCGTCGTCCCTAAAACAAAAATGAAAATTGTCCTTTATTAAAACGGAAAGATAATACTGACATACTATCTAGGTTTAAATCAAACTGAAAACTGATGATCCTAGGGGGATACGAACAAAAGAATATCTACATGGAGAACATTGAGGAAGAACAAGTATAATAAGGCCAGATGTTCCGGAAGAAGTGAAACACTCCAATTTAAACAGGTATTATGAAATACCTTCCATATACTCACTGTCCAATTTTGTAATGCTAATATAACGTAGCGCGGGAGTGTATAAAGATGCTGAGTTACACTGACTGGCCTGTCACAAATCAACAAACAATCTGCATACCTAAGGGTGTTGTCCTCTCCTGGAGTACTTCCAACTTAATCAGCTGATCAGGGGGTGGAGCGTTGTGCAGTCTTGAGAGAACACCATCCACAAGTTTAGTGGAGTTGGCTGGGAATATTGCTATGTGGTCCCCTGGAGCATAGTTAAGATCCTCCGCGCCCATTGTGTCGAGTCTAACAAGCATGGTCTCTCGACTGGTAAACAGGAAAATACCAACATTTAAAATAAATCAAACAGCTTTTGTTATTTACTAAACTACTAGGTACTTTTACATTTAAACAAAATGTGACGAAGAAGGTAAAACAATCAATTACATTAATAGATACAAGTCTTCATCATCGATAGATAACTTAAAGCCTATCATTAAAAAATCGTCACATATCAAAACAGATAGATAGGAACAACTGCTTACAGCTTATTATGATGCATGCAAAATATTACAGATTTATGCCTTATGTTATTAACCAGAACTTGACATGTAACGAAATTTTCACGCTATGGTAAGGTACCTTGACTCTTTTGACTGTAGTTGTTCTATGGATATCAGTTTACAGGACTGCACTTGTCTGCCGTGGAGTTTAGTGAGAGCTGGAAGTAGTTAAAGCTCATAATTTGAAAACATTTCCGTCATACAACGTTACCATACAGAACATAATGAGCGTTATTTGCATAAACGTACAGCGATATTGTTCCTCTGAAAAATATTTTGACACGAAAAACTTTTACACGAGAATCTGTCAGAGGAAACATTACATGTAACACAATATCAGTTATTGATCATTGATTCGGTACATAAATCTGCACTGATCGTAACTTACATCCCGTGATGTCCACCTCCTTGTCATTATCCTCTGGTGTAAGTCGGAACTTTCCAGGGGACCACGAGAAGTCGGTACTGGAGAGTGCACCTGTCGCCTCCTGGATTGCGTTAGCGTCGCCAACGCAAAAGGTTTCGCACGCCATCTGCAAAATGGGGTATTGAAGGTGATAGATGGACAATATATTGGTAAGTTAATCACAATTTAATAACAAAGTGAGTGGTATTGTTTGTTTTTTTAAATTCTTTTAACTAACAAAACTTATTTATGTTGGTTCATATAACATCCCCTGGTGTGTCTCCGAAGTGTCTACATAAACGATATTTAATCGATTATGTTATGTCGGAGTTGTCTCCCTTCCACCTTGATATATGGACTGATACAACAATCGGTTGTGAAGTCAGTAAATCTCTTGAAAAGGAAATCAATTATGGACAGAAATTATTACATTGTGTTGTTGAGTGTTTTGACCTTGACACGATTATAACAATTCAGAGTGGCAACACTATAAAGCGGGTGTTGAGGGTTAATGTATCTAATAGCATACTTTGAATGTATCTTGAGCCCATAGTTTGAATGACTCTTCCTGTCCGCAGAGCTCGTCGCCTTCTCCCATCTTGTTTATCCGTTCGCCTCCTAGAGCATTGAGCATGTTGTCAACAAAGTGAGCGAACGCACAAAAGTTCGGATAGGCACGGGATCCTAGGCCGAACACAGAGTAACGAAGGTTACTGAGAGGGCCTGTCTCGGCGTTCAAATTATCATCCTCATCTTCTTTCTCCTTGTTTTCTATTGGTGAATCAGTATCGCTGGCCGTGCTCATCCTGAAGTAGGACATCGACACGCTCTCCCCACTGTAGATACAATACAGGATACCAGTTTATCTTTTTCTTTGAATTACTTCAACACGTTATATTCATATTATGATATTAACATCCTGGAGTACAATACTTTTAGCCCTGGCATCACGCAAAAGCACGAGAACATAGAAAAGTTGTATGGTACAGATTTTTACAATATCTTATATATAAAGAGATGTAGTCTTTTCGTACATGCTTTATTAGACGAATATCTGTAAGTACTTCCTTAATCATCAGGACTATGATAATTACATTAACAGTCGTTAAAATGACCTTTAGCATGTATCTGGGCTTAATGTCGAATGTGTGTTTATGTGTAATAAAATCCTAGTAACAGTGTCATTTTTCCAATGTTTAAACTTAATGTTGGGTTTTTCGGTACATGACAGGAAAGAAAGGTTTCATCTTACTTCTTTGCATTCTTGGGACTTTTGAGGTCGTGGAGGTTCTTGGCAAAACTCTGTAAAATGGAAACAAAAATCAATCATACTTTCTATATAGCCATTTGGATTCTGTATTGTCGTTTAGTAGGTATATTGTTAGAATTAATTAATGCAATATCTATGAATAATTATCATGAAGCACAAAAATATTATGTGGACCGATTTCAGGATATTTGTAAATTTCCGAAGATACGATTGACAGTACCTCTCCATTTTCTGGAGGATCACCATTGCCGAATGTGCTGGACACAAATAGGACGAGTGCTTCGTGTTCAAGGTCAATGAAATCATACGCATCCATACTGAGGACCTGTGAGAGGACAAAGAACAAATACAAATTACTGTTTGAAAAGGATATCGTTAGATTTATTGAATATCTAACTTAGATACTTTAGATAGACTTTAACTCCAACCATTCATTATATATTCGAAATTCTCCATTTTGTGTGCTACCGTGACTGTGGGTGGGACACTTTACTCCATCAGTTATGGATAGCACTTGATGGACCTTTTTACAAAATATGAACTGAGACTAGATGTAGACCATGCCTCGAAAATGTTTTATTTTCGAGAGTAAATTGGAAGAGACTATTTTTTCCTTTTTTTAAATTTTTTTTTCTGGACATTTTGTTGTACGAGCGCTGCATCTTTGAACAAAAGGTAATATTAATAGCTAACATGTTGACATTATATTTACAATTAGATTAGATATTTTCTCAGTATGATCTATGTTCAGAATATACACATACACTTGAAGTTGCTCTTAGATTATCAGATACATGAAAATTACAAAATGTATTCAATAATGGGACTAGTGCATCTAGATTTTGACTTTTCTTTCGATAACTTTGGATTTTCCTTAGCCACCTCTTAGGCTTTAACATTTAGGCCCTTAGCATCACTGACGAGTCCTAGAATGACGAAATTTCTGTATGATGCAGTATGATTCATTGTTTCTAACTCGTAAGTATAAAACGGTGCTATTCACTTGTAAAAAATGGTATATCCATGGCTTCTAAGGATGTGATCGAGAGATCGATTTCCTTTCTAGACTTCAAGACATGGTGGTTAAAAGGTTCTAGCTTGATGATATTGCACAAATAAACAGAAGGTTGTGTTTAGTTTTAAATACTCAATTATTTGTTTATACAACGGCTCCCTGAAGTTGCACCATAAGTTCTCTAATTATTAGACAAATAACCAGGTTAATATATATATATATATATATAAACTTATCCCTATAATGGAATGGTTCCTTAATCAAATGTTTTGGAGACTACAAACAGAAATGTTCGAGAAATCAATGCCTTACCTTCGCATCGAATCCATGTTTGAAGATCTCACACAGGGTGTTTGCAAACCTTTCCGATTTACCCGTTTCTGTAGCGTACAGTATGGTACATTTCACACGACGTGCCAGAGCCTTATTCATTAACTTGGCGGAGAACTTCACAGCCCTACAAGAAAAGAACAATGTAATGTTTAATTATTCAACATACGATCGTCTTGGTATGAAGTCAATATCCCTAACAAGTCCGCTTAGGTCGTTTGTAATCATTATTAAGGTTGGGTTAGGCCACTGTTAAAACTATAATAAAACTCAGATTGACTGTAAAGTACAGTAGCATGTTAGGCCAATGACTTCTAACCTGCATGCTACGTTTGAATTCATTTGAATAGTGGTACAGTTCAGAATATACTCATGAACTTGAATTCTTTTGAAATTTATAGGGTTAAGTCCATCTCCCCATCATTTTAAGAGTTGTATTGGCCAATATTGATCTAAACATCCCACCTAAGGCCCCTAGCATCAACAAAGAGGGACGGAACAGCTGTATTGGACAGTTTCATTCATTATTTGATATATATAATCTTAAATAGTTGAAGGTCCCTCTTCATTTGTCTTTTTTACACAAAAATTTCCAGACTTCCCCCCATTGAACGTTTTAGGGCTCTCTGTTTCAAGTTTTCCTTTGTTCAATTTTAGCCTTTAACAATATTTACACGTCGTTTAAAGATGAGAAGACAACCTTTTAGACTCTTCTTCAGAAGCGCTGTTAAATGGAAGTTACCTCTTCACTGAACAAGTTTTACCCGTTTTATATTCTACAGTTCCTCATCACATATCTATATTCATCTTATTCATAAAGGGGTTTGGGTGGAAGGGTACTAGTTGCTGAAGGCATACTTAATCTGACGTTTTATTAACGACAGTAATTTAGCTAACGATACACTGTTCTTAGGATATGGATTTGGTAATATAAACTGAAGTAACCTTCCCCTCCCTGACCACACCCACTTCCACGTGTATACTTTAAATGGACAAATTCACTAACACCACTCAGAACTGCCGTCATGGCTGATTTATAAAACCCTAGTGGTACCCTATTATACAGTGTGTAAATGCCTCTCAACTGTCGATGTTATGTCAACATGATGTCCATAATCAGGAACTGGTACAATCTGATGCCGTGGTATTGACGATGGTCTCATATTTCAATACTACAGAACCTGACAGGGTTGATCAATTAATGTCAGTCGTTTAAACAATACTGTTGACATTTTATCGCCTACATGACAATCACAGGTATTGTGATACCAATTTACACTAAAATGAACAATGCTTTACATGAGGATGTCTTTATTTTTTACTCCAAAATTGATTTCAATGTCACCTACTCTTTAAACATACAGTTCGATCTGGTACATTCGTACGTTGGGTTTTACATGATGTGCTTTAGCTTTGTGAATATTGACTTCAAATGAAGCCTTCACGATTCATCAATTATTTTTACGATCCCAGTTTCTGTCATTTCTATACAAATCACACTAACTGATCAAATATCCTCGATGATTTATGCCGGTACTCACCGTGCAAGTTCTTTAAACCCGAATTTTCTCTTTGGCCGGTCAAGGGATTTCGTTTTGTCTCTGTCTTTTTTCCAGACATATGATTTCCATGGATCTTCCTGTTTGGTAGAGAAGTAGTTGTTAATATGTGAACTGCCCAGTATTTGCTACGTGATTTCTAACCATCTAAATAAAATGTTGGATTCTTTGATTGATTGGCTTTACTGTACAGTCGCAGATGAACGTTTAAAATGTGTCATCTAATTTTACATATTTTACTTCCTGTTGAAATATATCTGTAGATCTTAACTGACATCACGATGCACTCCCTTGCTTGGTCAGATAAAACGTGCTTTGATGATCGACACCTTGCCTAATCTGACGAAAAATATAGCTATGGTGGTAGACAAAAACATTCAGTGTAATTTATATCTAATCGATGAAGTCGGGGTGTTATAAAATGAATTAGATATTGAATAATGTGATAAACCGTTCCTAGGAAAATGCTTCTTTTTCATATTCAATATAAGAAAAAACTTTACCATAGGTTCGTACGAGGGTTTGATTTTGTATCGCAGCATCTCTTGATGAAACACAGGTGTGATGCTTCCACTCATCGGGGGTACCACCCACACCCAATCAGCCGGACAGCCACCGCGATTTCTTTGTTCATTCTCCATAAACTTCATAAACGACTCCGAGGCGGCATGGTGATCAGTGATGGTCACGCCTTGGGACTGGAAAATATAACATAAATCACAATATCTATAATACAGAACTGATAACGTTAGGAAACATGACTGTAGATAGTTCGTTGTCGACGTTTTATCTTGAGTAATAAAGACAAAAGGCACCATTCCGTTCATTTATTATTTACCTGTGGGGAGAAAGTAAAAGATTATATTTCTCGTCTGACAATCTATAGATAAAACACCTTTTGATTCCGTGCTTACTTGAAAACTATGAAGAACTGATATGTTCATTTCCACGAGGGCTCTGTCTTTCCACAGGGAAGAACTCTTGCGTGTGTCCAGTCCCATCTTGGTCGCAATCACCTGGGCAAAAAGACAGGGAATCAATACATAAGGGTTTGTTAGCGGTGACCATTCGGACATGAAATATTTCTTTTCTATCATCGCACATCATGGTAGTAAATGAGATGTTCACAGAGAAATCCATGACTATAAAGAATGTATATTAAGATGTTAAGCTTACTTTGTGCCAATGTAATTTTCGTTAGATTGCAAAGACGATTCTAAACGATTGGTTCATACATGTACATGTCTTTACATTTAGCCATTGTATAGTATTAGAAAACCACGACTTATTTGAATAAAGTTATTGTTCCTATCGTCATGTCGAACAAGTTTCGAATCTAATCCATATCAGGATGTCCCAAAGTTCTCAATATAGAGGTGTAATATCAGTGAGGAGGTTAATAGAGATAATGTGTTTACAAACGGTAAAGTATAAAGATAGAGATTACCTATCTGTTATCATGTTACCTCTAGCATGTTATATCTCTGCGCATCACAGAAATCCCTGGCACCTATTTCGGTCCCCATGTACCAGCCATTGAATGGTGCCGCGGTAAACTCCAGACCACCACAGTCAAACAATAAGCAGCTGACAGCAGGCAAACCATACCACTTCAGACCCATGTCGGCAAACCACGGGAACCTATATCATATATATATGTGTGTGTTGTGTTATCATTGAAGAAACATATATATAAATAACAGATATGGATAAGAATGTATGAAAGTTGGCCGGAAAGGGGTGCGTGTCTTTGTTACTATATTTGAATTTTGGATCTGGTGATGATCTGTTGAAAGATTAGCTTTTGAAAGTAATTATAATTTTAAAAGCAAAACAAAATCAGTATGTTTCTGCATGTCTTCCTCCATTACAGCCGTCAGGATATTTGTAAGAGAAAATATCTTTTTTCGCTCGTTAAAGCTATCAATGTCAGGAAAAATCGCGAGAAATGCTAAGTTTTCGTTTGATTTTGCCAGCTCAAAACTTCACAAAGACAAAAAGATAAATAAAATAAGAAGGCAAATAATTTGAAAGATGGCGCCCACCATCTTACATTTAACATTATTTAGAAATCTAACTATTTTGAGACTTAATGCTTTGATAGAAGAATATCAGGTTACTGTGTTTACTTTGTTTGCAATTTTCATCCGAAAACTTTTTTTCTAGGATAAAAAAAAACCAACTGAAATATTTACTTTCGGGTCAAGAAAATTAAGTAAATTATCACCAAAATTACGATTCGCGTATTTCAAATCTGTGATTTGTAGCGAAGATTTATGCAAACCAAACTGAAATCTACCCAAGACTACCAGCGTTCTGCTCAAGAGAAGTGCCCTAGCGACAACGTTATACAGTAGGCTAATAACCGAATAACAACTACGCTGTCAAATGTATTCCTAAAGAAAACTTCCTAGAAAATATCCTATGAAGTACCACTTAAGTCCGTCAAAACATAACATGCTTAAAAGTTACATACTTGGGGTGTTTTAGGTTCACTTCCATGACAAGGTCCTGTGGAATCTCGAACAGTTCTGGGTCCAGTCCATTTGCCTGTAGTATTAATGGCAGGACATCAAACATGCCGTTTTTGCCTTTCCATCCCATCTTCTGACAGATCTAAAACAAAGTTCAACAAAGAAACGTCAGTAATGGCAAGAAGGTTAAACGACGACATCAAAAATCAAAGCTATTTAAAGTCAAAAATAGAAAATACAGAACATAATACGTAAACACACATAAAGACATGTTTAATAAAGCTACATATCGTCAGATAGTAACACAAGATACTACATATCGTCAGACAGTAACACAAGATACTAAATACCGTCACATAGTAACACAAGATACTAAATACCGTCACATAGTAACACAAGATACTACATACCGTCAGATCGTAACACAAGATACTACATACCGTCACATAGTAACATAAGATACTACATACCGTCAGATCGTAACACAAGATACTACATACCGTCACATAGTAACATAAAATACTACATACCGTCAGATAGTAACACAAGATACTACATACCGTCAGATAGTAACACAAGATACTACATACCGTCAGATCGTAACACTAGATACTACATACCGTCAGACAGTAACACAAGATACTACATACCGTCAGATAATAACACAAGATACTTCATATCGTCAGATCGTAACACAAGATACTACATACCGTCAGAGAGTAACACAAAATACTACATACCGTCAGATAGCAACATAAAATACTACATACCGTCAGATAGTAACACAAAATACTACACACCGTCAGATAGTAACACAAAATACTACATACCGTCAGATAGTAACATAAAATACTACATACCGTCAGATAGTAACACAAAATACTACACACCGTCAGATAGTAACACAAAATACTACATACCGTCAGATAGTAACATAAAATACTACATACCGTCAGACAGTAACACAGAATACTACATACCGTCAGATAGTAACACAAAATTCTACATATCGTTACACAGACAAAGTAGTAACACAGTGTTAAACAGGGTTAGCAGTGTCAAACCCAAAATGATATGATACCAAAGATTACATTGTAATAATGTTATATTGTTACATTGTATTACAATGTCAGCGAGTGCGTACCCAAAAAAAAAATATTTCAACAAATACATCAACCTAAGATTCACAAAAGTCAATGAATTTTAACCGTAAATTGATCCATTGATTCAAAATTACATTAAAATCATTCTTGATGTCTTTGATCTGTTGTTTAATGCTCTAAGTGACTGCTTCTAGTCTTACAACGCAATGGATCAGGGTCAGTAGAAATAACAAGGTTTAAACATGACTACTGGCTATGATGGTTCCCTAATTACATTTCAGCACTTAGCTCCAATATTTCATCAATAATCAATGAACATAAGGTTAAGGTCATGCAACGCGTCCTTGGGTAGAAGTACAGAGTTTAACGGTGAATCCACGGTTTATATTTTTGTTCATTAAATTACCACTGTTAAAATGGCTTTTATTGATTTATATAAAACAATCTTTTTCGGAATAACAATCTTGCATTGGGTTGGAGATAACTATTTGGACAATCTCGAATCTGTGTCTACACACCAAAAGCTAGCTTTACAGGAAGTTAAATTTCTTTAGTGTCCACGCGTGACTATATTGTGAAGCCGTTCTAAGTTGTGACTTACTGAAACGTAATTTGTTAAAGTGTCGTTCATTTTACACAACAGTGATTTCATTTCTCTGCTGCAATTGCAACTGTTATGTCTAAAATGGCAAAAACCAATTCATGTATCTACTTGCATGTTAGGTATTTTAACATTTCCATGTACATAGCTATGATCAGTCTAGCAATAATGAGCCCATTTCCCTTTTTTTTTTTTTTTTTTGATATATGTCACAAGATCTTTAATTCGATATATTATCACTCTAATCCAACTTGTAACATGAACCAGGTATAAGTTGTTTCAGGTACCTCTGTAAACTCCACGCTTGCTGGGTCCCCTATCACAGACCCGTCAGCCATTTTGTAGCCAGCATACCGAATCAGTTGAGAATTCCACACTCGGAAGTCGTGTTTTCCGTCTGTTCTGGCCGGGAAAATAGTAATTGCCGATCTGGAGAGTAGAAAATCAAAGTGAAAACTTGATAAGGTAATATTAAAGAACACGAGCTTTTCGTAAAATATTTTTGTCTACATGAGTTTTATATTACAAAACTCTACCATTATCGAAAAAGTATGAAGAAAAAGAATAAAACAAGGTTGCCGCTGATTAGTTTGCTAATTGTAACAGAGTTTTAATTAAAAACTTTGTTTGAAACACAACTGAATACACGTCAGCATGTAGCGTTGTAGTGCCTGTAAATAAGAATCGTCGGTAACCCACGGTGCTGACCTTCTGTGAGTGAGTGTCAATACGGTTACCGATGATAGGGCACAAGAAGTCCCAAGATGTGTAAAGATTTTGACCAATGAAGGCAAATGTACTGACATAGGCATGTATTGTTTGGGAAAAGACATAAGACATCATGGATATTGTATGGAAATATACTCATGGGAAGACCGATTTATATCGCTGGTATCAGTGTACTGGTTTAAAAATTAATGTATAAAATATTCTAGATTGTGAAGATGATAAGCGACACAATTTGATATAACAATTATCAGAACTGTGGAATAGGTTTATTGTTAAAGATAATAAATGAACAAAATCAACACTTTTAAATAAGAGAAGTGACACAGAATACATATCAGTCTACTTTTGTCTATTCGTCACTTTCAGCGAGAATCTGTCGGTGAAGGTTTAAACACAAAGGGAGTAAACATAAATCAGCATACAACTTATGGAATATATAAACACAAGCATTAAGAAGCCAATCAAATCCCGAGGAGAACAAAATGAGCCAATCAGCTGCAGCTGTACCGACCTGATATTGCCTTTGTTGTTTCCGTATTTGATGTGGTTACAGATGGCCTCAAACATACCCCGCGCCGTCGTGATGTGGCGGGCGTCAAACACCTAAAACAAACAGCAGCCATTGTGTAAACCTGAATCCTGGTGTCACATAAGTCAACTCAATCCGTTACTTCTGTCATTTAAAATCTAGGAGTGCTAGACTATTACTTTAAAATTAGGAGTTTTTGGTTTCAAATTTCTTGAAAATTGAATTTATTTATGTGATTGGCTATAATCCATTCAATATATCTTCATTCTCAACTTGAATTCGGTTTTACTGAAAAATTGTACTTTTGTGTTATGGCTTAAGTGTAATGAACAACAATGCGTATACCGGAAGCACTTTGGTCCAATGACCCACATTCACCTTCGTCCATTGAATACTGTTATTTGACCATAATGACGTACCTGTAATTTATTCCACTGAATACGCCCAATACACCTGGCCTCATTCCTCCACGCGGTTTTCGCCCCGTACGTAAGCTCGTTAGTGGTCAGTTCATAGGTGCCCCTTTTCTCTATACTGGATTCCACTTCCTGCCATCGCTTCTGATAGGCCTCTGTATTCAACCTGAAAAAAAGATCAAAGAAAATTCATAGGGAATATTCGCCCGTGTTTGACAAATCACATACAGATCTTAGAATGTACGTATCCGGATATTTCTTGGATGGGTAAAAAATGCACGCGCGACTGTGTTTGATAGGTCACAAAGTAATGTTGGATATTAACCGTACGACTCCTTGTTTAAGAGGTCACAAACTGATTAAACAGATCACGTGCGATAGTTTTAGCGGCCACAAAAAGTTTAAACATATCACATGCGACTGTGTTTTTCAGGGGACACAAAAGTGTTAAATATTGCACGTATAAAGTTATACAAAATGTTAGATACGCTACGTTCCGCTATGAGGTTGCTCAATCATAAAACATAGTTATATATGCGATTATGAGTTAAAACAGCGAGTTGCCGGATGACAATGACTTCGACCGATAAAATACAAATATACAAAATATGAATAAAAAAAGAGTGATGGAGTTCCCGGGGGACAATGACGTCGACCGAACAAAGTAGTTGCTTTTTATTATCCAGCCAGACTGACCTCCAGCATACGGCGTATAAAATATGACGCTTACTTTTACTAGCCACCTTAAACCAAATACCATAGTAAAAATGTATCTTGAATTCTGACGGACATCTCATCAACGCAGCATTTCGGCGATTAATGTTGATAACAAACGGGAATTACAAAATCGCCAATGTGATTTCATTTGAAAAAAAAATATGGGCCAATATGTGCTACTCTATTTTTTCTATACACCATGTACCGCCTTGCGGTTTAGTTTTCACAATCCCGTTCCAAATTTTAAGAAACCACTATTGAATTTCAAAAAGATTGATATTTGGGTCTATCAAAGCTCCTCTTGTGTGAACATTCTAATAAACGTGTTCCTGTTTCGCTAGTTTCCTCGATTTTTTTCATTAAGCATGTATTCCCACTAAGGATTTTAAACCTAATCTGACCAATTAATAATCGTTTATAAATGGAACTCAGCACTATACTTTTAAAGAGAAATGTTAAATATAACATATTGATCGACTTACCGTTGATGGTGAGTTTCGAGGGAGCTGAGACTTCTAAATTCTAATTTTTGGTAAAAAGCTAGCACCAGATTCTAAATTATTTAAAGTTACAACTCGGAATAAAAACTCCTACGAAATAAAGTTCATGGTAATTTCCAAATAGGGAATCACAACGTAAATATATTTGTGTCGTCTCATGTTTTCCTTATAAATCCCAGTACCACGCTTTTAAAAAATTTACAAGCTTTTCAAGCATTTCAAGCTTTAGTGTTTTCTGGGATCTGAATCATGTTGTTTTACGTGTATCTTCAGACAAGTAAATACGTCATTCGATTTGTATCACGTGCTTTGGATATGACGTCACAGTTTAATATACTATGTAATATTACTTCCGTGTTCGTTATATCATAAATATTATGATAGTGTAAATCATGTATAACATTCGTATTTTCTTTGTAAGCCAAGCAAGAAGAAGTTATTAAAATATTGCAAAAAAAAAGTTTTATATATATCTCGTTCTCTGCGTACTGTGTACGCCATGTCGTGTTTGCATCATGTTTATATTTAACTAACTGGCTGTCAGGCCAAAGAATAAAAGAATTGAATTAAATTGAAATTTCCAAAAACGACGAACATGCGTAGCGTGAGTGAGCGGTTGGTCCCGCTGATAGCATTACTACTTCAGATCAGGTGTTTGACATTTAGCTGCTTAGACCTGACTACGTTGAGCTAAAGTTCAACTCTCCCCAAACTGTATCAACCGTTAATCTGCCATTTTGTTGAATGGCCTCGTAGTATCATCTCGTATCCTGTACTTGACTTGTTGTGGTTTTTTTGCCGAGATAAATTAAGACTGTCCCTCTTCTTAAGAGTGTAAATTATATTATAGAAAATAATTTAATTGAAGATACATTTGTAGTTCCAATTTCCTAAGAAAATCGAGCTTTCTATAATTTCTGTTGTAAAAGGAGAAGAGGAGACAACAGCTATCCCCATATAACACCGATATATCAACAGAACCTTAATCCAAACACAAATCGATGAAATAAGGGCAAAATAGGAAACACGGCGTTCTGTGCCTCTATTGTTTGTAGTATTCTATAACGGATCCGACATAATGGTACCTACATACTATGTAAATTTTCCTCGTTGACTGTTGGTTGTTTTATCCTTAATTAGTTTATTAATGCTTTACGTCCTATTAACAGGCCGGGTCATGCCTGGGTTTGGTGGTGGAGGAAAGCCGGAGTTTCCAGATACATAAATACATTGTATAATAAATAATAATAGTAAAAAACAAAAATGCAGGGAATCAAATTAACACAAGCAGTCAAGACAATTAAAGATTAACCTTTTGATGGATGTGTAGTATTCGTCTATAAACTCCCTGGCCTGTGTCAACAGCTCCTCCTGTGGCCGAGGTTCTCCGACAGGACGAGAGGGCGGATGGTTCATGATAGAGCCTAGACATTTGGAGTTTGTACATGGTACTACCTGGAAAGACAGTGTGATCGCTGTTATTACATGTTAAAATAACCATACCTTTATAATTAAGAATCGTTAATACAAAATTAGATACAAAAACGAATTAGGTGGCATCTTGCAGTTTTTTTATGAATCATCAGTGATGCCAAGAGTCTTCAGTATTGAAACATAAAAAATGAAATTTGTTCTGCTTAATTGATGAAAAATCAAGAACGTGATAGGAATGACAGAAATATTTATACGAAACTATGGAAAGGGGAGACCGAAATGTAAACCCAGCCTTCGACGAAACCAACTGTGTAGATGGTCATATTCAAATTTGTAAAACTGTTTTCTACCAAGATTGTTCAAGTGACACACAAGTGAATGACACATTTCAATACATAGTTAAAATTAGAGCCAAATAACGCATCAAACTGCACCATAAAGCTTTTTCGTTCTTCCGTGATTCGAAAAAAGTTTGGAAATCTAGGAGGCGATTGAAGAAAATTAGAAAATACTACCAAAAGAATTGCAAAAAATTTACATACAATGAATAAGTGATTGCTGAGCGGACACATGAACTCATTAATCACAAGATTGAAAATACAAATTAAATAATGATATTTTAAAGAATTGTTTTGGTAAAGTGTAAATTTAAACCTCAGGTGAAACTTTAAGAAACGTGGTAATTTTGTTGACTGCCGAGATTATAAGATGATAGAAGTAATTATACAAACATAAAGAGATCAGCTACAATAGGTTATTATACAACAGTGTAAATGAGAAGGTGATTTGTTTTTCTTGTACACGGTAAACCTACCATACTGGTTGTCCTACCATTTGTCACACGTTAATTTACGCCAGTCAGTAAGCTGTCAATTCCGCCTCAAGGCATATCAGTCTGTGATTATTTACTATAGGAGTTAGGCGATGTGTGCAAAGTAAGTTGGTTGTAATTGGATTGTTGACACAGCCAATGTTTATATTGACTTAAGGAAAGGTTATAACGAATTGACACCGACTAGTCGGGCACTGACAAACGACAGACTGGTGACAATGCGGATGCAAATGATAGTGAATTAGTAATATATCTACGGTCGGAACATATTACACCTGTAGGTTGTGATATGTTCCACAATTACATGACTAATAGGAAAAACTCCTTCATCAACAACATTCTTATTACCTTTCACAAAGGTCGTGATACGGAAAAGTGTTAACACTTTTAATGAAAAGTTCTAAACATTAAATCTGATTGAATTGTTCACGTTTTGGTTTAAAAGTGTTAACATTTAAACATACACATGTACGCGTGGTTCTTTTGAAATCGGCCAATATGAAATACTATGGTGAAATCACTGGATTAGTGCAGATCACATCCATAATTTGAAAATAGTTTGGTCGATTTAGTTATCACAGAGATGCAACATAGATTTCAACACTCCAGGCCGATAGAAAGACGAAAATGCTGCACGACACAGTTATCATGTAATTAATTGTTTTGATACCTCGTGTCTAATTCTGAATTAATATTAAAAAATGCTAATCTCTTGTGCGTCTTCAATACAATTTTCACGAAAAATAATTATCTGTATTCTGTTAGATAATATTAAACATTAATAGATGTGGCGTAAATCGAGTTGGTTTATCAAGAATCCTCATTCATATAATGACGATCAAGTTCGTTAATCCGTAAAGCTTTTCATTCTGTATGTTGAAGATCCGGTTAGTTAATCCATAAAACGTTATCATTTTTCTTTTAGGTAGAAGGTCAGTTTAGTTAATCCCTAAACCTTATCATTCTTTATGTCGAGGGTAAGTTTAGTTAATCTCTAAACCTCATCATGCCTTATGTTGAGGGTCAGTTTAGTTCATTCTCAATCCTTATTTTTATGCCATTGGACAAGGTGGTAAATCTACAACCATGCCTTAGCTTTTTCACGTGTGACTTCGATAAGGAGTCCTTGCTAATTCTTTAAAATGATTTTTAAATCTTTTTATCCAGGTAATGAGGCACGTAAAAAAATGTTTTATTCAACACAAGATCCCGCATGTTTTCGCTGTGTAAGGGCGCTTGAAATTCTTCAATTCTTCCATTATGAACGTACTAGACCTTTAACACTTTCCACAAGGCGTTCAGAAAGCTCCCTTTGTATTGACCAGTAATATCAGAAAATACTAATCCTCATTAGAATTCATGTTATATACTATATAAATCATTTACTGCCTACAGATGTTTTAGGACTTGTGTTTACATCCAAATCGATCATATATCATAAAACATGTCAGCACGCTTTCCCTCTCTTTGAATCACACTTAATCAATATTCAATCAAGCGACACACCCAATTAAGGAGACGTTCAATAGAACACATACACATGTATAACGGCAAATTACCATCTACAATTGTCCGTCGATTGCTTATTTGTGAATGACCGAGGAAAATATTATTAGGGCCATAGAATTGGTTCAAAGAAATGTATATGTACATATTGAAAAGTACTTTTGGTAATTTTTGATTGAAACATTCACACTCACCATACCCTTGGTGATTTTACGCTACACGCTGAACACACGAAGGATTGTATTTGTCAACTTAAAGGCCGGGAACATTGCATACGTCATTATATTACGCCAACAAAACACCCCAACCTACTCTCTCTGCTTTGGTCCTACTTACCAAGTTTACAATAATGACTTTATGTATAAGAATCTTACACGAGTGTCCTTCCATATGAGATTTATGAAATGCAAATCGGCGAAATCTCACTCTACATCTCTTCTTTGCTGATGTCACTCTGCACATGACACCATGAAGTTATGACGTCATAATGGAATTAATGGAAATCCTCAGTCAATCATAGACCGCTATTTACAGTATTACATGTAATTATCGCTGATTAAGTGACTGATGGATTTGTCAATAGATTTTTACATAGATGGTATGCCTTTTTAGGTATCAATGCAACTCAATTGTAAATAGATATCGTTGATATACACTACTGTATATACATATTGTCAATACATGTGTTTTCACATACATTCTGTTAATTTACATATATTTACAGTATTACATAAACTGCCTGTAAATTACCCCATGTATTATATGTTCGCACATTTTGCACTTTGCAATATACCTGGGACGTTTTTACTATTTAAGGAGGTTGAAACACTCCCTTTCCAACAGGTTTACGGCTGCTATTGATGACGATCCTTTCACTTCTTTTAGCAGAACCTTACCTTATATGGCAATAACAACAACAATACATAATGGTCACGCGATTTTCAGTATATATTATTTCTATTTTTCATGTTTCAGTCTGATTGAGAGACTTTATCACATTGAAAGCTCTTCCTTATCATTTTTTTTTTCATTTTTAATACTTTCGTATAGGTCTCGATAAACATTTAGAAATCAAATAATGCGCAATATCAGTATATCACTTTATCACTGCACTGTACATCTAATATACTATCAGCTACATAATTCAACATGGCCACTACTGCCGTCACACAGGCCTTCGTATACAATGAAATGGTGTAAATAGCTTTCAAATTATTTTCCTAAAATATCATTATTCATCGAAACATCCGGTTCGGGAATAAAACACTTTCGACGAGAACATACTAAACTTATAAATTCATAATCAGCAGGAGCGTGAACTGTATTCACAAGAGACCATAATCAGATTTGTAGGTCATTATTAAACATTGAAATGATCATAGATAATATTTCTTCGAGTCCCAGTAGATCTCACTTGTCCTAAAGCTCTACAAACAGTTCAGGTCAAGCTACGACAGCGAATGCTGCTACAGTCGCCTCCTTGTATTAGCCTGGTTTCGCACAGACCAATCAGATCATACCATCTTTCTTGTTAAAATGCTGTATCTAAATATCAAACCAATGTTCAAAACAACAACATAAATGTATATCAAAAGACGGATCATCTTGATTCGATTCCGAAGTCGAACAAACTGATCTACGAAATACTCTCATAGTTTTTAGATCAGTTTTGTAGTGCCGCATATTGCCACTTATTCCGTCGTGCGGCCAGCGAGAACCGGAAATTAATTGGAGAGTTTCGTAATTGTTGGATTTTGACGTTACGATTGATGCCCGCTTTCTGCTATCAAACAAAGTTAGATAGAAATCACATGTATAGGTCTTACTGAGTTGGTAATTGGCAATATCATGTACTGTATATGTATTTCTATATTACGTTGTTTTTATACCTTGAATAGGCATTCTAGTTGATAAATTTTTAATATCACTTTCTTTGAGTGACATTACTCAATCTATTTCTGAATCAAATGTGACCAAAATACAATGTCCACTGTTGGCGAATCCATTATTTATAATACAGCTTGTTTTCTCAGACGCTGTATTGTAAGCTGATCCTTAACTGCGCATGCGTTTTGGCTATTACGACGTTTGTAGTGTTGTCTGTCTTACTGCAGTGCTTTGTGTTATTAATGCCGGGATCACAAACTCGGCCCTCTTTATAGCAATATGGTGCTCATTCTGGAGAAGGCTTATAAATAAGTAATCATAATATACTTCAACGGATTCGCTGCAGTAAGCAATTAAGTGTTTTAACATCTTCGTTAACAGGTGCTTGTTTCATCTTCTGTACTTATAGTACGAACAGAATGAGGATTCTGCTGCCGGCGCCAGCCGAACAACAATGCAAAATGAAAGAACGAAAGTTTTGTTTAAAGTCATTCCTACCACTTATCGTGCGCTGATCAATTGTACAGTATGGGAACTTAAATTGTAATAATATATATCACATATTTCAAAAAAGCAACGTAATGGAAATGTAAGTTATGTTACCAGATCTATTCTGTTTGTTTCGCGATTCAAACTTTGATACTAAAAACGGATAATACATGATATCGCTGGATAGTTTCAGTCATATCAAACATACATTGAAATTTGACATCTAAAGATATTTACTTCTACTATTCATATAGGGAGTAACCTCTCATGTGATTTTGGTGTAACTTCAAGTGTTAAAGCAAGCAGG